GATTAATTTTTCTGCATCATTTTTGGACAGAACATTTCTGATTTTTGCAATGTTACGTAGATGGAAAAAAGCTGTCCTTGAAACAGTCTTGATATGTTCGTCAAAAGAGAGATCAGGGTCAAGAGTAACGCCTAGGTCCTTCACAGTTTTATTTGAGACGACTTTACAACCATCAAGATGAATTGTCAGATTTAACAGAAGATCTCTTTGTTTCTTGGGACCTAGAACAAGCATCTCTGTTTTGTCCGAGTTTAAAAGTAAAAAGTTTTTTGCCATCCACTTTCTTATGTCTGAAACACAGGCTTCTAGCGAGGGCAATTTTGGGGCTTCACCATGCTTCATTGAAATGTACAGCTGTGTGTCATCCGCATAGCAGTGAAAGTTAACATTATGTTTTCGAATAACATCCCCAAGAGGTAAAATATATAGTGAAAACAATAGTGGTCCTAAAACGGAACCTTGAGGAACACCGAAATGTACAGTTGATTTGTCGGAGAACAGACCATTCACAGAGACAAACTGATATCTTTCCGACAGGTAGGATCTAAACCAGGCCAGAACTTGTCCGTGTAGACCAATTTGGGTTTCCAGTCTCTCCAAAAGAATGTGGTGATCGATGGTGTCAAAGGCAGCACTAAGGTCTAGTAGCACGAGGACAGATGCAGAGCCTCGGTCTGATGCCATTAAAAGGTCATTTACCACCTTCACAAGTGCAGTCTCAGTGCTATGATGGGGTCTAAAACCAGACTGAAGCATTTCGTATATGCACAGAAACTACACACCCTGGCTCAACATTTCAGAGTCCCCAGAGCCAGGGTGTGACAGTACCCCCCCCCCAAAGGCGCGGACTGCGACCGCGCCACACAAACACAACAGGGTAGGGGCCGGGTGGGCATTCCGCACTTTCTCTCCACCTCCCCGTTCCGCCCCTGATCTGGTCTGGCACCGCTGACTGGAGCTGGACCCGACGACGGTGGATCAAACCGTACAGGCTCCGGACTGGAGCCGCTGGCCGGAGCTGGACTGGACACCGGTGGAGCGGATTGCTCTGGCTCCGGAGTGGATCCGCTGACTGGAGTTGGACCGGACCCCGGTGGAGCGGATTGCTCTGGCTCCGGAGTGGAGCAGCTGACCGGTGCCGGACCAGGCACCGGTGGAACAGGCACGGGCCGTGCCGGACTGGACACACGCACCACTGACTTGGTGCGGGGAGCAGGAACGGGCCGGACCGGGCTGACGACGCGCACCACTGACTTGGTGCGGGGAGCAGGAACGGGCCGGACCGGGCTGACGACGCGCACCACTGGCTTGGTGCGGGGAGCAGGAACGGGCCGGACCGGGCTGACGACGCGCACCACTGGCTTGGTGCGGGGAGCAGGGACGGGCCGGACCGGGCTGACGACGCGCACCACTGGCTTGGTGCGAGGGGCAGGAACAGGCCGGACCGGGCTGGCGACGCGCACCACTGGCTTGGCGCGAGGGGCAGGAACAGGCCGGACCGGGCTGGCGACGCGCACCACTGGCTTGGTGCGGGGAGCAGGAACAGGCTGAGCTGGACTGGGAAGACGCACCACTGGCTTGGTGCGGGGAGCCGGAACGGGCCGGGCCGGACTGTGGAGGCGGACTGGAGGTCTGGAGCGGAGAGCTGACACAACCCGTCCTGGCTGAATGCCTACTTCCACACAATACGTGTGAGGCATCAGCACAGGACGTACGGGGCTGTGCACTCGTACTGGCGCTACAGCACGTGGCACTGGCGCAGGATATACGGGACCGAGGAGGCGTACTGGAGACCACGAGCGTTGAGCCGGCACACCCCGTCCTGGCTGAATGCCCATCTTTGCACGACACGTGCGTGGTGCTAGCACAGGACGTACAGGACTGTGCCGGAACACTCGCGGCACAGTACATGGCTCCGCATAACACGGAGCCTTCCCAGTCACACGCTTCCTAGCCTGAGTACGGGGAGTTGGCTCTGCTCTAACCCTAGGCTCCGCCAACCACCCTTTTAGCCCCCCCCAAAAAAAAATCTTGGGGCTGTCTCTCGGGCTTCCTCCTCGGCCGGTACCCTCTGCGTTGCCGCTGCTCCTCTCTATAGCGCGCCTCCACAGTCTCCTCCCAAGGACGGCGATCCATTCCGGCCTGAATCTCCTCCCAAGTCCAGGATCCCTTCCCGTCCAGGATCTCCTCCCAGGTCCAGGCTGGACACGCTGCTTGGTCCTCTTTTGGTGGGATCTTCTGTCACGATCGTTTACTGAAGATACGGACCAAGGCGCAGCGTGATAAGCGTACATTTTATTAAGTACTTAACACAACACAAAACAACAAACAAACGATACGTGAAGTCCTAGGTTACACAAAACAAACCTTTACGGAACAAGATCCCACACCGACTAGTGCCAAACAGGCTGCCTAAGTATGGTCCCCAATCAGAGACAACGAGATACAGCTGCCTCTGATTGGGAACCACCCTGGCCAACATAGATCTAAACGATCTAGCACATCAACATAGAAAATATAACACAGAAACGACACACCCTGGCTCAACATTTCAGAGTCCCCAGAGCCAGGGCGTGACACAGGGAGAGACACTGAGATACTGTGGAACAGCATAAGCATACGGCTCAGTCTAATGTATTAGGAGGTGGCTGGATATACAGTGGGAAAAACAAGTATTTAGTCAGCCACCAATTGTGCAAGTTCTCCCACTTAAAAAGATGAGAGAGGCCTGTAATTTTCATCATAGGTACATGTCAACTATGACAGACAAATTGAGAAAAAAATTCCAGAAAATCACATTGTAGGATTTTTAATGAATTTATTTGCAAATTATGGTAGAAAATAAGTATTTGGTCACCTACAAACAAGCAAGATTTCTGGCTCTCACAGACCTGTAACTTCTTCTTTAAGAGGCTCCTCTGTCCTCCACTCGTTACCTGTATTAATGGCACCTGTTTGAACTTGTTATCAGTATAAAAGACACCTGTCCACAACCTCAAACAGTCACACTCCAAACTCCACTATGGCCAAGACCAAAGAGCTGTCAAAGGACACCAGAAACAAAATTGTAGACCTGCACAAGGCTGGGAAGACTGAATCTGCAATAGGTAAGCAGCTTGGTTTGAAGAAATCAACTGTGGGAGCAATTATTAGGAAATGGAAGACATACAAGACCACTGATAATCTCCCTCGATCTGGGGCTCCACGCAAGATCTCACCCCGTGGGGTCAAAATGATCACAAGAACGGTGAGCAAAAATCCCAGAACCACACGGGGGGACCTAGTGAATGACCTGCAGAGAGCTGGGACCAAAGTAACAAAGCCTACCATCAGTAACACACTACGCCGCCAGGGACTCAAATCCTGCAGTGCCAGACGTGTCCCCCTGCTTAAGCCAGTACATGTCCAGGCCCGTCTGAAGTTTGCTAGAGTGCATTTGGATGATCCAGAAGAGGATTGGGAGAATGTCATATGGTCAGATGAAACCAAAATAGAACTTTTTGGTAAAAACTCAACTCGTCGTTTTTGGAGGACAAAGAATGCTGAGTTGCATCCAAAGAACACCATACCTACTGTGAAGCATGGGGGTGGAAACATCATGCTTTGGGGTTGTTTTTCTGCAAAGGGACCAGGACGACTGATCCATGTAAAGGAAAGAATGAATGGGGCCATGTATCGTGAGATTTTGAGTGAAAACCTCCTTCCATCAGCAAAGGCATTGAAGATGAAACGTGGCTGGGTCTTTCAGCATGACAATGATCCCAAACACACCGCCCGGGGAACGAAGGAGTGGCTTCGTAAGAAGCATTTCAAGGTCCTGGAGTGGCCTAGCCAGTCTCCAGATCTCAACCCCATAGAAAATCTTTGGAGGGAGTTGAAAGTCCGTGTTGCCCAGCGACAGCCCCAAAACATCACTGCTCTAGAGGAGATCTGCATGGAGGAATGGGCCAAAATACCAGCAACAGTGTGTGAAAACCTTGTGAAGACTTACAGAAAACGTTTGACCTGTGTCATTGCCAACAAAGGGTATATAACAAAGTATTGAGAAACTTTTGTTATTGACCAAATACTTATTTTCCACCATAATTTGCAAATAAATTCATAAAAAATCCTACAATGTGATTTTCTGGATTTTTTTTCCTCATTTTGTCTGTCATAGTTGACGTGTACCTATGATGGACATTACAGGCCTCTCTCATCTTTTTAAGTGGGAGAACTTGCACAATTGGTGGCTGACTAAATACTTTTTTCCCCCACTGTTTTGCTGTTCTTCAAAAGGACACCCCTGTCCAAAATAATTCAGTTAATAGTCAGAGATCAGAGGAGCTAGAGGTGGTATAATATAGTAATAACATACTTAGGGTTTAATGGTCAGAAGAGATAAATGTAACAAAAAAAAAGAACTTTTGATGATACGTTTTTGTGCAAAATCGTCTGAGTCAGTCAAAACATTAGCTTTGAGTAATTTGATGATTGATGGATGGAGAATACATTTCCTGCAGCATGGTTTCTTGATCAACAGAGACACTACAGCAGCAATAAACATGGAAAAGTGAAGTGTTAGGGAATCTTTTAATACTAAGTACAATACAGAAAATGTGTGGTCCTAAAAGAAAAGGTGTATTTTGTGCCCTTGTCACCACGCCAGGCAGAGAGAGTCAGAGAGTAACATCAAGAAGAGGATGAGGTTATTATGACACAATCATTCTAGCCTCAATGAGAGACACTCATTGTAATCTTCAGCTGGAGATCATGAACAGGGTCTTTATGAAGGCTTTAAAGTGCAAAGAGTGTTCCTCCTTAGGGATGACAATGCACGCTCAAAATAACTTTCTCAAGTATATAGCTCTATAGCGCTGTGCATCCTGGAATCAAGTTGAATAGGAAGAACAGACTATAGAACAAACATCAATATTGTCTTTTCCATGAAAATGTGGATTCAAGCTTATGAGGCAGGCTGGTGAGAACCCCCCCCCCCCCCCCCCCCATAAAAAAAAAAAGCCTTTAAAAGAACAATCCACATCCATCTTCGAACAGAATACATTTTTCCAGTTATGAAAAAAATCAAACCCAAAACTTCCCAAAGACTTGACTGGCTGACACCACGTGATGATGAAGACAGGTTAACGTGGTGAGACAGAGCAGCATGAGAGTGTCCAATATGCTGTAGTAGAAGAAGTGGTCCAATATGCTGTACCTGTGTCTAGTAGGTGTCCAGTATGCTGTACCTGTGTCTAGTAGGTGTCCAGTATGCTGTACCTGTGTCAAGTAGGTGTCCAGTATGCAGTACCTGTGTCTAGTAGGTGTCCAGTATGCTGTACCTGTGTCTAGTAGGTGTCCAGTATGCTGTACCTGTGTCTAGTAGGTGTCCAGTATGCTGTACCTGTGTCTAGTAGGTGTCCAGTATGCAGTACCTGTGTCCAGTATGTGTCCAGTATGCTGTACGTTTCCAGTATGTGTCCAGTATGCTGTACATGTTTCCAGTATGTGTCCAGTATGCTGTACATGTTTCCAGTATGTGTCCAGTATGCTGTACATGTTTCCAGTATGTGTCCAGTATGCAGTACCTGTGTCCAGTATGTGTCCAGTATGCTGTACCTGTGTCCAGTAAGTGTCCAGTTTGCTGTACTGTAGGTCTTATGGAGCTTTACCAGATCTCTACCCCTCACCCTCTCACTTTCCCTGTGTGGAGAGCCTGTTGAGGCAGGCCTGACGGAAGGCCGGTCGGTCCCTCATCTCCAGCACACAGTCTTTCACCATCTCCATGAACATGGAGGGCCACAGCTTGTGGAGGGACTCCCCCTTCAGGTTGGTGTCAGATGCCCTCTGGACCAGATCCTGTATATACTGCTCCATCATGGCTCCGCGCTCCGATGATGACTCCATAGCACCCTCCTGAGGAGATCCAGGGAACAGAGGACGGTTAGCATGTACACTGGGGAGAGGAAGTCTCCATTGATCATCCTATTGGATGGTAATCATGCTACACTGTAAATAAGTGATCCTCAATTCTTCTCCAGGAGAGCCACTGTCTTCAATACTTTTATTGGCTAAATCAGGTGTTTCACTGCTCAAGGAGCAGGAATGAGGTTTACTGCTGTAAATGTATAAAACATGCCCTCAATAAATCTAATACAGTATGAAGCATCAGGTATACAGTGACAGGTAGTGCTGATGTCTGCAGTAGCAGAGTGAGAGCAGCCAGTCTATCCTGGTCCCAGATCTCTTTGTGCTGGAAGAGATCTGGGACCACCAGGCTAGACTGGCTGCTCCCACTCTGCTACTGCAGTCATCACCACTGGGACCAGGCTACAGACAGTGATAGTCTGACAGTGCTGACCTCGGGGCTCTCTGCTCCCACACTGCAGCAGCCTCTACTGGGGTAGTTGAACAGGGCTCTGCTCAGGCCCTCTCCCAGCAGCTTGCCGTTGTCACGCAGCTCCTCTGGGCTTAAGCCTGCACGCCGCCCACGCCCCTCCAACAGAAACTGCAGCTGACGCTTCCTAGAGAGAGAGGCAGGGAAGGAGGGAGGGAAAGAGAGAGAGGGGGGAGAGCGCGAGAGAACGAGATCCAGGGAGAGAGAGAAAGAGAGAGAGAGATTGAGACAAGGGGGAAGTAGTTTCGGGGTGGGGGTGCTGTTTTTCTTGTTGCAGAAAAACAAATTTGACCGCGCTGAAGACGTCCATATCGGTCCGCTAATACAGGACTAGTAAAGGCCCAGTGCACTACTTTTGTGATTTTCTTTGACACTAAATGTATTTGAGTGTTTACCAGCATTTGTAACTTGAGTCTGATAATTATCTGTACAAAACAGTTAATCTGATAATACTTGTGGAATATAAAAATTATTGCTTGATATACAGTACCAGTCAAAAGTTTGGACACACCTACTCATTCAAGGGTTTTTCTTTATTTTTACTATTTTCTACAATGTAGAATAATAGTGAAGACATCACAACTATGAAATAGCACATATGGAATCATGTAGTAACCAAAAAAATGTTAAATACATCAAAATATATTTTAATAGCCACCATTTGCCTTTATGACAGCTTTGCACATTCTTGGCATTCTCTCAACCAGCTTCACCTGGAATGCTTTTCCAACAGTCTTGAAGGAGTTCCCACATATGCTGAGCACTTGTTGGCTGCTTTTCCTTCACTCTGCCGTCCTACTCATCCCAAACCATCTTAATTGGGTTGAGGTCGGGGGATTGTGGCGGCCAGGTCATCTGATGCAGCACTCCATCACTCTCCTTCTTGGTAAAATATCCCTTACACAGCCTGGAAGTGTGTTGGGTCATTGTCCTGTTGAAAAACAAATGATAGTCCCACTAAGCCCAATCCAGATGGGATGGCGTATCGCTGCAGAATGCTGTGGTAGACATGCTGGTTAAGTGTGCCTTGAATTCTAAATAAATCACAGACAGTGTCACCAGCAAAGCACCCCCACACCATAACACCTCCTCCTCCATGCTTTTCGGTGGGAACTACACATGTGGAGATCATCCATTCACCCACACCGCGTCTCACAAAGACACGGCAGTTGGAAACAGAAATCTCCAATTTGGACTCCAGACCAAAGGACACATTTCCACCGGTTTAATGTCCATTGCTCGTGTTTCTTGGCCCAAGCAGGTCTCTTCTTCTTATTGGTGTCCTTTAGTAGTGGTTTCTTTGCAGCAATTCGACCACGAAGGCCTGATTCACACAGTCCCCTCTGAACAGTTGATGTTGAGATGTGTCTGTGACTTGAACTCTGTGAAGCATTTATTTGGGCTGCAATTTCTGAGGCTGGTAACTCTCATGAACTCATCCTCTGCAGCAGAGGTAACTCTGGGTCTTCCATTCCCGTGGCGGTCCTCATGAGAGCCAGTTTCATCATAGCACTTGATAGTTTTTGCGACTGCACTTGGAGAAACTTTCAAAGTTCTTGACATTTTCCGTATTGACTGACCTTCACGTCTTAAAGTAATGATGGACTGTCATTTATCTTTGCTTATTTGAGCTGTTCTTGCCATAATATGGACTTGCTCTTTTACCAAATAGGGCTATATTCTGTATACTCCCCCTACACAACTGATTGGCTCAAACAAATTAACTTTTAAGAAGGCACACCTGTTAATTGAAATGCATTCCAGGTGACTACCTCATGAAGCTGGTTGAGAGAATGCCAAGAGTGTGCAAAGCTGTCATCAAGGCAAAGGGTGGCAATTTGAAGAATCTCAAATATAAAATATATTTTGATTTGTTTAACACTTTTTTGGTTACTACATGATTCCATATGTGTTATTTCATAGTTTTGATGTTTCACTATTATTCCAGTTTCTTGAAATACTTTGCAAATGTATACATTTTCATACTTTTTCGTACTAGTCCCCTGTGGGAATCGAACCCACAACTGAGCCACATCATCACAAACCACTTGATGGCTCAATGTACTTAATTACTGTATTGTGCATTGTTTATCTTCATGGTGATGGAAAGTCTACAGGTGCAAACCTACAGTAGATGACCAGCCTATGTAAAATACAGTAATGTACATTCACATTAAGTGGTTTGTAAGGATGGTAAATTAATATTGCACAAAAAGGGGTTGTTTTCCATGTTATTTGATCAAGAAAAATCTTTAATTTGATGTGGATGTTTTGTGTCTTTGCCCATAACTTTTCACCTTTTGATGTAAATGTTTGAGGACAGTGTTTTGTACTTTCTGGATTCCATTAGAATGACAATCACAGAGAAAGGGACAGGGCAACAACACTTACAATTCCAACTATTGAATCCTGCAAGATAGTGAAACAATGTTTTTGCCTGCGCTACAGACGTCTATATCGGTCCGCTAATACTAGTAAACACCCACCCACTGCACTACTTTTGTGAAAAAAATATTATTTTCAAATAATAATGTTTTTGTAATGACATTGTATTATCTTTTCAGATGTTTCACCCTCAGCACCCCTACATCTATGCAAGGGGGACAGGTGAGTTTGACATGTCTGTGGCATCTGGGCATTCAATAACCCTGCCAGGGGCAGTGCCATCGTCAAAGAAGGGAATAACAAAGTATCACAGTACTCGTTTCGACAAATAGTAAATGACATCACTCAATGCTCCGCATTAACACACCTGTCAAGACTCTGGTATCAGATACTATTACAGTAGGCGGTGCCAACATGAATTCCATGGAAGCCAAACAATTACTTACAATGAATTGGAAATGATAAAGTACTTCTACATAAATGTTGTTAATCTTTACAGCTTTTTCATCCGTTTTGTCAGTCGTATGGTTTTCAGCAGTAGGATTGGTACAGATGTAACCAGGATGAGAACATTAATAAAGGATGTTAGCTACATCAAACGTCCCTGTCCATCATTATTAATCTCATGAAATTCAGCACTGCACCAACATGTTCCAAACGCTGGTGCCAGAACTCTGGAATAGTCATTGAGGCGGAGGCTGCAGGCTAAAATACCTACTGGGATAAGTGTGTGTGGTTGTGTGTGGGAGACAGAGAGCCTGAACACTGTATGTGTAGGTGGGCAGAGGATCAACTGAGTGGTGTGTATCTATCAAACAGCCCCCATTCACCATAGCTGAGCATGTACTCTACTGTACAATGATACTGTACAGTAGAGTGGAGGTTGAAAGCAAACACCCCAGTATAACAGCCCACAACTCAACTTAATCAACTTAGAAGAAGGATGAACCACTCCTACATTGGGTTCATGACTCTTTTCTGGCCTCCAGTCATTAGTATTGTATCACAAATATGAATATCAATACTATCACCTGATGGTTCACACAACAGGACAAGCTGTCTCCCCAAAAAATCCCTCTCTTCAGGCTTTTGGCCTTCTCTCATGTTCTAGGACTTTTGATTATGACTTGGTCCTCAACCGCAATACACCAAAAGCATAATAGCCATCATAGCCTTTGCTCTGGCTACCATCATAGCAATATCTACCCTACCCATGACCATATGTGTTCCCTCATGGAGTGTTCAAACCTAAATATGACTGTATAATGCATAGCTCAGGGTTATACGTCTGTACTGGATCTGAAACCATTCACTAATGACTGTAGTGCACTCCCATCCTAATTATTACAGGACTACACTCTCCATCTCTGAGGAGAGGTTTTCCTGGAAGGACCAAACTACAGGGAGTAGTGTGAGAGCACTGTGCACTGTGCAGAGGCTGAGGGGGGAAGTTTATACATTGTTTATATGGAAGGTTAAACCTTAATCAAATACACACACATTACTGGACTTAAAAGGTTAGGGCTGCTGCAGAGTACGTCAGTGGGCTCAGCTGGGGGAAAACAGGATGAATTCCATAAGGCAGCTCAACAAGAAAGTATTGTTTGATACTCAGACATTTCTTCCATGCTCCGCTCCAGAAGGCCCAGGGGTGTTGTGGGTAATTGTACAGAGCGAACCTGAAGGGACAGATTAGGGAACTGAACTAACTGCCATGCTCGTCCGTTTCTCACATCGAACGATGCAAACGACAGCTGCTAGGGACAGACATGCACTGGCCTGTCATCTCAAGGCCTCACACAGAAAGAGATATACAGTACATTTACAGTACATTACACATACCTGCGGCACACACAAGCATAAATATATACACATTCAAAGACATTCCAAAGCCACAGCCCTTGTAAAACAATATATTAGTCAGATACACATTACACACAAAATGCTCTGGCACTCATTCAACTTTTCAGAACATATTTTGCACTGTACCAACAAAAGTGTATTGTGATTCATAAAGAGGAATTAATTCAAGCCAACAGGGAAGTAGGGAGATTTATGACATGAATAACCGTAGGCTACATGTTTGATCTCCATGGAGTGGCCATCACATCAATAGCGTTTTCATCTGCCCTGTACCAGTCTATAAAAACACTCTTTATAAGATCAAGTTAATGTTCAAATAGTATTTCTGAAGGAGGTCGAAGTTCATGTTATCAACCATACTATACATATAAAATGTTTATTTGACAAAACTATGCATTATCATGCAATGTCAGCAGGTCACAGTGAATACCGTTTCACTGTTGATCTGAAAATAATGATCAGCTTCAGGCTATTGGTGTGGTCCTTTGTAGCTCAGTTGGTAAAGCATGGTGCTTGTAACGCCATGGTAGTGGGTTTGATTCCCGGGACCACCCATATGTAAAAATGTATGCACGCATGACTGTAAGTCGCTTTGGATAAAAGCGTCGGCTAAATGGCATACATTATTGTGCTTTCCATATCGGGCGTCAGGGAGTATGAGTTATGAAAGAGGAACTGGAACTGGAAGTCAGTAGAACAGCAGTTGGCCTTTTGTTTGCCAATGAACTTTTAACAGTATTCCATCGTTTATGTTTGTTTTGTTGTCATTCGGTGTTTGCACTTTGCTAGAGAATTAAGTAGTAGTTCCAGTCCACACTCTGCCCTGGTCCCTTCAAACCAACGATCGTACAGGCTTTGTTATCCTTCAGTCTGTAAAAGCAGGCACCGTAACCCATTAACACTAGGGTTTGATTCGGAGCTACCAGGTTGTAAGTATGCCGTGACTGTGTGTTTGGTAATGCGTCGGTTGGTCAGTACATCAGTGTGTGCTTTCATATCGGGCGTCCAGGGTTGAGTTATGCAGGTACCTGGACTGGAGTCAGTCAGCGCCAGACCAGTTGGCACTCGTTTTGTTTGTGCCAATACCAGTTTGTACAGTTCTGCCTGGACAGGTTGGTGTCTGCCGGGGTACAGTGAACGGGTCCCCTACAGGCTGTGGCAGTAGTGAGGTACCAGTTGGTCGATACAGCGCCAGGACTGGTGTGTTTCAGTGGACCAGAGATATAGTTAGAAGAGCGTTGTGCTGGGGAGAGGAATGTGAACGTGAGGAAGGTACCAGGTACCCACCCTACCCCTGGGACACCGCTTCCAACCAACTCCCTATGGCTCCTCCATACCAGGCTTTGTCTATCCTTCACACACAGACTCATTAACATACGCACACACAGACACACACACGCACACAGTACACACATTCAAAAACACACTCAGACAGGTTCTGTAGAGAGCTGTACCAGGTGTGTGTAAGTCAGTGCCAGGTACCATGTGTGTGTTAGTCAGTGCCAGGTACCAGGTGTGTGTCAGTCAGTGCCAGGTACCAGGTGTGTGTTAGTCAGTGCCAGGTACCAGGTGTGTGTCAGTTAGTGCCAGGTACCAGGTGTGGGTCAGTCAGCGCCAGGTACCAGGTGTGTGTCAGTCAGTGCCAGGTACCAGGTGTGTGTTAGTCAGTGCCAGGTACCAGGTGTGTGTCAGTCAGTGCCAGGTAACAGGTGTGTGTTAGTCAGTGCCAGGTACCAGGTGTGTGTAAGTCGGTGTCAGGTACCAGGTGTGTGTCAGTCAGTGCCAGGTACCAGGTGTGGGTCGGTCAGCGCCAGGTACCAGGTGTGTGTTAGTCGGCGCCAGGTACCAGGTGTGTGTTAGTCAGTGCCAGGTACCAGGTGTGTGTCAGTCAGTGCCAGGTACCAGGTGTGTGTCAGTCAGTGCAAGGTACCAGGTGTGTGTTAGTCGGTGCCAGGTACCGGGTGTGTGTCAGTCAGTGCCAGGTGCCAGGTACCAGGTGTGTGTTAGTCAGTGCCAGGTACCAGGTGTGTGTCAGTCAGTGCCAGGTACCAGGTGTGTGTTAGTCGGTGCCAGGTACCGGGTGTGTGTCAGTCAGTGCCAGGTACCAGGTGTGTGTCAGTCAGTGCCAGGTACCAGGTGCTGTGGGTAGGGAGCTCACCTGGACTCCTCCAGCAGCACTAGCAGGCGGCAGCGCGGTGTCTCGGTGGCAGCGATATGACCCAGCGTCCCAAACAGACGCTCTGCAGAGATCACGTCATTCATGGTCACCTGGTGCACACACACAATATAAATGCAAACACATACACATAAAAATGCGCACACACACACACAAGAAAAATGCCATCAGCTAACACCTTGTTTAGAACATTACAGCACAAAGATGCTGAAAGACAAAACATGTTGGTAGATTTTTTCTGAGTGTTAAAGGTGGATCCTACCTCCAGGCTGTTGATCTTGTGCAGGTTGAAGTGGTGCAGGCGGTAGATGAGGAAGGATCTCCACAGGTAAAGGCTGACTACAGGGTTCCCCTCTGGGTGGATGGTCAGCTGGTCCAGACGTCTCACCTGGGCCAGCGCAGCCAGCTGGGGAAGACGGCTGATGTTGGTCTCCAGGAAAATCAGGTGCTATATGGAGGAGACCATAATAAGTCAGTAAACCAGTTAATGAGTGACCATATCAGTATCCTTTGGCCAATGAGACCCCTCAGTTTAGAACTCCAACGTGTTACCATGGTAAGAATATGGCTCCTATCATAGTAGCCAATAAGAAGACACTTTATTGAACAGTATGTAATCTGTAGTAAATGTGTTCTCACAGATAGGTTGGGGAACTTGACCCTTATGCGTGGCAGTGTTGGCACGATCGCATCAAAGTGGATGTAGCGGAAGGCTATGACAGTGACGGCCCCTGCAGTCTGGACCCCCCAGCCTCTCTCCAGGGCCTCCAGGGCCCCGAGGCCAAACAGGCGCAGAGTTTCCCCATCCAGCTCCGCCAGGTGGTTGTCTGACAGGGAGAGGCTCTGCACGCTGGCACCCCCTGCCTCCAGGAGCCTGGAACACACAGAGAAACAGACAGTCAGCACACACACCTGTGAGGATGGGGACCTGATTTGTTAAGGAGGATGCCCAGCCCCCCCCAGCCCCTGGTAATTCGAAACATGATGGCGGCTCCCCAGGTACATTAAGTAATACCCACCTGGACAACTCTCCACCCACCTGGCACAGTCACAAGTTTCCAGGATCCTCTGACTATCATTAAGACAAAGGTATCTTAGTTTACATGTGTCTGAATAAATGGGCCAATCAGTGGAGGGGAGAGAAACAGCAGTGAGCGGGGTAATCAGAGCTAAGTGAATGTAACATTTGTCTTTCAATGCTGCCTAATTGCTTTCCATTCTCTGTGACAACAGTTGAAGTGCCCTTCCCCGATAAGGAGTCGTGAGAGTAGAGAATCAGGGTGAGTCTCAGGGAGACATGATCTCTCTGTCCCTGTTGGAGCCTCACTAGCTGCCCTGGGTCTCTCTGACCTATCTCCCTGCCTCCCAGTCTGCTGACACTCAGGAGACCTGCTGCATACCAGAGGATCATATGGCTGCACGGACCAGCAGTCAACACTAGCCATTAGAGTTCACCCACCAACAAACTAATCAGTCTATTCATATTTTTCACCCTTTAGAATGTAACACCGCTGAACATGGAAAAAGAAAACACAAGGGAGGACTAATCCTGAGACTATTGAAGCTGTAATCCTATAGGCCAAGTCTTGTTGGGCTGATTGTTACAGAGTCAGGGGAGGGAAACAAGGCTTCTTTAAAAAGCCATCATTGTTGTCACACACCAAACCTGATCCCCTGGAGGTCACTTCTCTCTCTCTAGAGGACTGAGGACTGACTCCTATCCTCCTCTCATATCTATGTCTGCTGCACCTTTTAGTGCATCTAAGACCTGGCAAGATGCTGTCCAGGTAAGCAGAGACAGAGAACAAAGAGGGATCAAGGTCTGAGAACCTGAAAGAGGCTTTGTACTGTGAGCTAGAACAGGAAGAAGAGATGATACAAAGATGGTCAGACAAGTGTGCTGACCCAGAAAGAGAGGGCCGAAGAGAACATGGAAGGTTCTGGTACAAAATAAGGTGTATTGGAACAGAGGAGAGATTAAAAAGTTGATTGACTTGTGATTATCATGTAATAACCATGGCAGGAAATTCCAAAGCCCACTATCAAGGCCGCTGCTGCAGAGGGACACAAGGGAGCAGTTTGTTAACAAGCTGCAGCGTTACAGCTCTAGGGTTGACTCCAGCACTAGGACACAGACAGGTGAATGTGAGCCAGAGAGATTCAGGACACCAGGGTTAAAGGTCACATAGCTACAGTGTTAAACCGTGTTAAGGCCACCATGACTGGTGTGTGTGTGTGTGTGTGTGTGTGTATGTGTGTGTGTGTGTGTGTGTGTGTGTGTGTGTGTGTGTGTGTGTGTGTGTGTGTGTGTGTGTGTGTGTGTGAGTGAGTGAGTGAGTGAGTGAGTGAGTGAGTGAGTGAGTGAGTGAGTGAGTGAGTGAGTGAGTGAGTGAGTGAGTGAGTGAGTGAGTGAGTGAGTGAGTGAGTGAGTGAGTGAGTGAGTGAGTGAGTGAGTGAGAGTCAGTGAACTGCCCATGGCTGCCTCAGAGTTCAGTCATTAACGCCTGCTGTAATACTCAATTTCCCCTCAGAGTTTTAATAACCTGGGAGAAAACCCAACCTTAACAAAACAACCCAGAAATTACATTAGCTAATAAACACAACCTCCGGATAATCCTAACATTCAGTACGAGCCGCTTCCAAGAATCCAGCAGTGACTGACAGAGTAGCGTCCAAATCAATCATGGAGAACAATTTTTCTAGCAGGCCTTGTTGCTGCCTACATATTAATATAAGACGACCCACCACGCGGTGGGTGTAAAACCCAATCTTAATTAAACAGTGTCACGTTTCAAGGAAGCGCCGCGTCTGACACCGAGGGGCAGGCGAGGAATGTGAGTGGTGATGTTAGAGCAAGGGGGTGCTACTGGCCACACGGAGGGAAGCATCTCGTTCTGGGAGCTACTATCTGGAGGTCTCCTCACTCACACACACACACTGGGAGACCCAGGCCCCATGGAGCGTAGCGGAGGTCTGGGCCAGCGATAGACAGACGGGCGCCAGTCAGTGAAAGACGGTGCTAATCTTCAGGACACGCCACACCTCTCAGAGGTGGCTTTGCCAAAGGTACTAAATCAAAAGCAGTTGGACAGACAGACAGAGACAGACAGAGAGAGATAGAGACAGACAGAGAGAGAGAGAGAGATAGAGAGAGAGAGAGAGAGAGAGAGAGAGAGAGAGAGAGAGAGAGAGAGAGAGAGAGAGAGAGAGAGAGAGAGAGAGAGAGAGAGAGAGAAAGGAGACTAGGTAACATGTAGATAGAGTAAAGAAGAGTGATGGTAACTTTTCATCCCTTTCTGGGGAAGTCTGGAAGCATGCCATCAGCACACTCTGCACTGTGTCATGTATTGTTCCTGGTAATCACTCTTGATAGACTGCCAGGTGCCTCCAAATTCCCTCCTGAAACACTCCGAAACGTGCCCTCACAGCCTCTTTGAGGAAGAGGAGACACAAAGATGATCAAACTGAAGAAAGTCGAACTGTGGAAAACATTTCCTGATGTGTTCAGCAGCTCTGAACTAAAATTCTATTATCTGGACCTAATCCAGCAGGAACTTCAAAACGATGTCTGCCATTTCTGAGCAGTTATAACCCATCAATTTGACATGTAGTAGATGAGCCTACATTTGTCTCCAATTCTCTAGCTATGATAGACCCACATAAGAAACATGGTTATTTAGCTTGTCATGATGTGAGAAGAACCTTTCATAATTTTCTAAACTGAAAGAAAAATAAAATTGTTAAAGCAATTTCTCTATTAGCATGGTCGCAGATCTGTACAGTGTCTGCAATAAAGCATGAAAACGATAGTCAGATGAGTTGGCTAGAGCAGAAACAGATCTGGAATCAGGCTATCTCTGTATATCTCTCCTGGCATGATATAGACACAGATCTGGAACCAGCCTATTTCTGTATATCTCTCCTGGCATGATGTAGACACAGATCTGGAACCAGCCTATTTCTGTATATCTCTCCTGGCATGATGTAGACACAGATCTGGAACCAGGCTATTTCTGTATATTTCTCCTGGCGTGATGTAGACACAGATCTGGAACCAGGCTATTTCTTTATTTCTTTGGCATGATGTAGATGTAACATTTATTGAATGAAGTCTTGTGGTTTATTGAAGTGTTTCTGAGAGGTGGTGGCATCATATTTTATCTCTCATTCCCACACTTCCTTCTCTCATCATAAGTAGAACTTGAAGATTTATGTGCTTGCCCCTCCACCTGTTTGGAGACCCAGCATGCCTCTGTATTTAATTAATATATACATAGGATGTGGGCACTGATGTCTCCCCTCCATTCTCTGGCCAGCCCCAATATTGGATTTCTGGGTAATAACTCTTCCCTCCTGTCATATCTCAAGGGAAACAAAAACGAATAAATCTTCCTCTAGTCTGCTCACAAAGAAATATAAAACAGAGGCTACCTTCCAGCAGTCGGACGGGCACACACACACCCGCAAGCTTGCTCCCGCATGCACGCACGCTCACACACACTCACGGACAGACATTCACACACACACAAAACTCGCTAAGCACTCAGCGAGACAAGCCATTCTCCTATTCCAACTCTCATCCTAACACACTAAAAGGGGTTCGTTCCTTGCTCCATTCTAAATGCACTGTAAACATTTGCTCCTGTGTTAATTATTCTCCAGCTCTGGTCGGGCTGCTAATGCCAAACAGAGATGACATCATATGTTTCCCTTTACCTGCTGAGGGGCAGCGGCCCATTTCAGTCAACCCATATCATCTACCACTCCAGCTTGATGTGGAACATGGAACTTGAAAAGGTCATTGACAATACTGATAAACACTTACTGCATAAATACACAAATTCTAGCCAACTAGGTATAATTGCACAAGGTTAGCCAAAGTTCATGCCTCTGTGTGTGCCAAACATCACCATTTTGCCCTGACAAGTGCTCTGAAGTGATGAGGTGCAGTACTTTCACTGGGCGCATTCCTTTCAGCTAGTTTCTCAAGCACTAGTAAAATCAAACAATTCAACTAACCTGCAGATTGCTCTATCGCATCTATTCATGTTTATGTAGTTGTTAATTAGCAGGACTTTAGTTGGGCCTCTCTCACATGCTCTTACAAAGACGATGATCCATGTGTCTTCACACAGCAGCAGCAGTAACGTGTGAACTGTCCCACGCTGATTTTTTGTGATAAATGTGAACATTCCCGGTCACTCCCAGGGAACAACAAATAGCATATCCAGAGCTAATGGATCTAATACTGCAGACGCCAGTGGTTATTTTTTCTCAGAAGCCCATGTTAATGTAAGCGATGTGGGGAGAGAGCAGCAGGCAGCCTCCAGGCCCTCCATCTCTCAAGGAGGAAAACCCTCCACACCAGGGGGTCCCCCTGCTCCCCCTGCCCCCCTCCCCGGTCTCAGAGCAGAACCAGATGTGGAGGACAGAGAGAGACAGGCCCAGTTATGCCCAGCATGTGGGAATGAAGAACCCTGTCTGTCTTGAGGATTAAGGAGGAATATACCGGGCCAGGACAGACTATCAATCCACAGATAAAGCTAATCATTCATGCTTTGATTTCACAAATTCAGACCTCCACAGAGGCTGGTAATCCCTTACCATGGGATGATAGAGGGTCATAACTGTAGAGCATCACATCTATAAATCACTGCTCAGTCCATCTATCATCTCCTCTTCTATACTTTCAGGAACAGGAATATTCCCATGGGCATATTTACTGTAAAATATCTACTGTAAGACACCCAAAGTAGTGAAAATCAAGAATCACAAACATACACTTAGAGTCAAAAGTTTGGACACACCTACACATTCAAGGGTTTTTCTTTATTTTTACTATTTTCTACATTGTAGAATACGGTCAGTAAATACAGAAAATGTCAAGAACTTTTAAAGTTTCTTCAAGTGCAGTCGCAAAAACAATCAAGCTCTATGATAAAACTGGCTCTCATGAGGACTGCCACAGGAATGGAAGACCCAGAGTTACCTCTGCTGCAGAGGATAAGTTCATTAGAGTTACCAGACTCAGAAATTGCAGCCCAAATAAATGCTTCACAGAGTTCAAGTAACAGACACATCTCAACATCAACTGTTCAGAGGGGACTGTGTGAATAAGGCCGTCATGGTCGAATTGCTGCAAAGAAACCACTACTAAAGGACACCAATAATAAGAAGAGACCTGCTTGGGCCAAGAAACACGAGCAATGGACATTAGACCGGTGGAAATTTGAGTCCAAATTTGTGATTTTTGGTTCCAACCGCCGTGTCTTTGTGAGATGCGGTGTGGGTGAACGGATGATCTCTGCATGTGTAGTTCCCACTGTAAAGCATGGAGGAGGAGGTGTTATGATGTGGGGGTGCTTTGCTGGTGACACTGTCTGTGATTTAGTTAGAATTCAAGGCACACTTAACCAGCATGGCTACCACAGCATTCTGCAGCGATACGCCATCCCATCTGGTTTGGGATTAGTGGGACTCTCATTTGTTTTTCAACAGGACAATGACCCAACACACCTCCAGGCTGTGTAAGGGCTATTTTACCAAGAAGGAGAGTGATGGAATGCTGCATCAGATGACCTGGCCTCCACAATCCCCCGACCTCAACCCAATTAAGATTGTTTGGAATGAGTAGGACGGCAGAGTGAAGGAAAAGCAGCCAACAAGTGCTCAGCATATGTGGGAACTCCTTCAAGACTGGAAAAGCATTCCAGGTGAAGCTGGTTGAGAGAATGCCAAGAGTGTGCAAAGCTGTCATAAAGGCAAAGGGTGGCTATTTGAAGAATCTCAAATACAGTGGGGGAAAAAAGTATTTAGTCAGCCACCAATTGTGCAGGTTCTCCCACTTAAAAAGATGAGAGAGGCCTGTAATTTTCATCATAGGTACACGTCAAATATGACAGACAAAATGAGGGCGGCAGGTAGCTTAGTGGGTAAGAGCGTTGTGCCAGTAACCGAAAGGTCGCTGGTTCTAATCCCCGAGCCGACTAGGTGAAAAATCTGTCGATGTGCCCTTGAGCAAGGCACTTAACCCTAATTGCTCCTGTAAGTCGCTCTGGATAAGAGCGTCTGCTAAATGACTAAAATGTAAAAATGTAAATGAAAAAAAATCCAGAAAATCACATTGTAGGATTTTTTATGAATTTATTTGCAAATTATGGTGGAAAATAAGTATTTGGTCAATAACAAAAGTTTCTCAATACTTTGTTATATACCCTTTGTTGGCAATGACACAGGTCAAACGTTTCTGTAAGTCTTCACAAGGTTTTCACACACTGTTGCTGGTATTTTGGCCCATTCCTCCATGCAGATCTCCTCTAGAGCAGTGATGTTTTGGGGCTGTCGCTGGGCAACACAGACTTTCAACTCCCTCCAAAGATTTTCTATGGGGTTGAGATCTGGAGACTGGCTAGGCCACTCCAGGACCTTGAAATGCTTCTTACGAAGCCACTCCTTCGTTGCCCGGGCGGTGTGTTTGGGATCATTGTCATGCTGAAAGACCCAGCCACGTTTCATCTTCAATGCCCTTGCTGATGGAAGGAGGTTTTCACTCAAAATCTCACGATACATGGCCCCATTCATTCTTTCCTTTACACGGATCAGTCGTCCTGGTCCCTTTGCAGAAAAACAGCCCCAAAGCATGATGTTTCCACCCCCATGCTTCACAGTAGGTATGGTGTTCTTTAGATGCAACTCAGCATTCTTTGTCCTCCAAACACGACAAATTGAGTTTTTACCAAAAAGTTATATTTTGGTTTCATCTGACCATATGACATTCTCCCAATCCTCTTCTGGATCATCCAAATGCACTCTAGCAAACTTCAGACGGGCCTGGACATGTACTGGCTTAAGCAGGGGGACACGTCTGGCACTGCAGGATTTGAGTCCCTGGCGGCGTAGTGTGTTACTGATGGTAGGCTTTGTTACTTTGGTCCCAGCTCTCTGCAGGTCATTCACTAGGTCCCCCCGTGTGGTTCTGGGATTTTTGCTCACCGTTCTTGTGATCATTTTGACCCCACGGGGTGAGATCTTGCGTGGAGCCCCAGATCGAGGGAGATTATCAGTGGTCTTGTATGTCTTCCATTTCCTAACAATTGCTCCCACAGTTGATTTCTTCAAACCAAGCTGCTTACCTATTGCAGATTCAGTCTTCCCAGCCTGGTGCAGGTCTACAATTTTGTTTCTGGTGTCCTTTGACAGCTCTTTGGTCTTGGCCATAGTGGAGTTTGGAGTGTGACTGTTTGAGGTTGTGGACAGGTGTCTTTTATACTGATAACAAGTTCAAACAGGTGCCATTAATACAGGTAACGAGTGGAGGACAGAGGAGCCTCTCACAGGTCTGTGAGAGCCAGAAATCTTGCTTGTTTGTAGGTGACCAAATACTTATTTTCCACCATAATTTGCAAATAAATTCATAAATAATCCTACAACGTGATTTTCAGGATTTCTTTTTCTCAATTTGTCTGTCATAGTTGACGTGTGCCTATGATGAAAATTACAGGCCTCTTTCATCTTTTTAAGTGGGAGAACTTGCACAATTGGTGGCTGACTAAATACTTTTTTCCCCCACTGTATCAAATATATTTTGATTTGTTTAACACTTTTTTGCTTACTACACGATTCCATATATGTTATTTCATTTTTTTTATGTCTTCACTATTATTCTACAATGTAGAAAATAGTAAAAATAAAGAAAAACCTTTGAATGAGTAGGTGTATCCAAACTTTTGACTGGTACTGTACATCAACTACATGAAACAAATAGAAACATTCACAGACAGAGAGGTGACAAACTGCACTTTTTACAGAGGTTATAGATGTAAAACACCATAAAATGGTTATTCTCTTTTATCCTATAGGATAATTGTGCACAACAATAAAAACCGGTTAAGGTTACACATAAGTAGACCACATCACACAGTATGGTGAATCACTTGAGCCCTAGCCTTGGCCCCATTTGTGACACAACCTGCTATAAGTGAGCCTATAAGGGAACTAGGGCCATGAAGGATTGCGCTGGTTGACACAGCCACAGCGTCCATCTCAGCCTGACCCCTTATAACTCACAGGCCTGGTATACAGTCCCTCCAGGAGACGTTTCAACATAGCTCCACACTCACATTAGGGGCTGCACGGGGGCTCAGCCTGGTCAGGACAGGCTGGGGGAATGGCCATATGGAGAACAAGGTAATGACACAGAGCGAAGGTCTGCTTCCATTCTCACACATACTGTACAGACACAGTCCATGAGACCCTCACAACAAAGTTAGCTAGCTAAGTAATGGGGCCCTGTGCAGTTTTGTGAAAAACATCAGTGTAGCAACTAACAAGTGTTAGAGGGTGAAATGTTGAGTGTGTAAACAGAGCGAACCATGTCTCTATTGAGGGAACTGTTATTGAAGAGGGATGTCCTTTTGTATGCTAGTGTATAGTGTAGACAGTCCACAGGAGGCTGGTGAAGGGAGGATGGCTCATAATAATGGCCAGAATGGAATGGTATTAAAACATATGGAAACCATGTGTTTGATGTGTTTGATATCATTCCATTAATTCCGTTCAAGCCATTACAATGAGCCCGTCCTCCCCAATTAAGGTGCCACCAGCCACCTGTGGTAGACACCCGTCATCTGACACATATGGAGCCTGGGAGAATGAAACAAAATCCTCAATGTTTTCCAACCATACAGTTTTATTGGCTAAACTTGAAACAATTATAATGTGTGAACAATTATAATGGGACCATGTTTTATTGCATTGGAAGAATGTTTACATTCCAATATCCTATCCCCTGTGAGTATGTGTATCAGTGGAGGCTGCTAAGGGGAGGATAGCTCATAATAATGGCTGGAACAGAGCGAATGGAATGGCATCAAACACATGGAAACCATGTGATTGATGTATCTCATACCATTCCACCCATTCTGCTCCAGCCATTACCACAAGCCCATCCTCCCCAATGAAGGTGCTGCCAACCTCCTGTGATGTGTATGTGTTCCTGGGTGTGGTGTAGTACCAACTTGGGGTCTCGAGGACTGTTGGGGCGACTGGTGGAGCGTAACCGGTTCTCATTGCCCCCTGTTGGCCTGTCCGGAGCCGACACTGGACTCACCCGTCTGGCAGAACAGAAAACATAGTATGTATACCTCTAAAACAGTCCTGCAACTATAACTACTGTCTTCCAGAGCCCAAAGTGCCACCCCTACGCATGGCCCCTCCCCCCTAACGTTACCTGAGCTGCTCATCCGGAGAAGGCTCCTGTGCAAGGCCATTGGTCTGGGCGGGGCTGTGGGCGGGGCTGGCCTCTGGGCTGACTTCCTCCTTGGCCCCGTTCTGAGCCGGGAGCTCCAGGCAGGCCCTGACCCCCTCCCACTGCAGTGCTGCATTACGGATGGCCAGACGCCGCTTCTCCTGCACACACACATAAACACACGCAGACAGGCACACACACGAGCGCACACATGCACAAGCACACATGGATGCACACACACACACACACGGGGAACAGAGCAGGGTTCAGTTGGCATTGGTCCTCAGCAGGGCACACAGAGGACACGATGAGTTTATGAAACTGACCATCTCTCTCCTGCTACAGCCTACAGACAAAGATATTCCACCTGCCTTGCTTGTCACTGCGGAGTCCTGAGACTTGAGTCCAAGTTGAGTGTAGAACTGCTGAGGCGCAACATGAGCAGGACTCTATGGACACAAATACACATTTACTGTTTAACTTCAAAAAATAAAACTTCAAATGTTATTCTAACTGATAGACTGTCACTTAGCCTACAGTACCTACAAACATGCCTATCTTACCAATACCTAGTCTCCCACAGTTACAAAGGCTCTGTTGTAATAAAAAGGTACAATTTGTGTGTGCTGGATAGGCAGGGCCGGATTACCGAACGGGCACGCAGGGCACATGCCGCAGGGCCCCGACCTCTTGATTTTGTTCTTTTTTTGCCATTATTCAGTTCCGTTTCGATACACGCAGGTATGGAATGGAATGCTCCACTCACACACATGGGACGGCTGGCAAACAGGATCCATAGTGGATCATTCTGAGACTACATGAAACCTTACGGAACATTCAATTTATCATTATTTCCTCAACTAGCTCAATTAGCTGGCTTGGATTACACACAGACAATTAAACTCCCTCCAGACCCCCAGCCGATCTCTCAGCATGGATCAGTCAATGCAGCAGGAAGGCAGGAACACACACACGCAATATACACTGAGTGTAGAAAACATTAGGAACACCTTCCTAATATTGAGCTGAACACCTTCCTAATATTGAGCTGCACCCCTTTTTGCCCTTTAGAACAGCCTCAATTCGCTGGAGCATAGACTCTACAAGGTGTCGAAAGCTAAACTACCATACCCCATTCAAAGGCACTTAAATCTTTTGTCTTGCCCATTCACCAATTGAATGGCACACATACACAATCCATGTCTCAAAGGCTTAAAAAACCTTCTTTAACCTGTCTCCTCCCCTTCATCTACACTGTTTGTAGTGGATTTAACAAGTGACATCAATAAGGGATTATAGCATTCACCTGGTCAGTCTATGTCCTGGAAAGAGCAGATGTTCCTAATGTTTTGTACACTCAGTATAGATACAGTACAGTATGCATTCTCTAACACATACAGTACAGTACAGATACATAATGATTGGACAAGCATGTTTTGGTGATTTGAACTGAAATCATAACCAGTCTCAAACAAAGGTTGGTGGCACCTGATATTCTGTTCTTAATGTTTTGTACACTCAGTATAGATACAGTACAGTATGCATTCTCTAACACATACAGTACAGTACAGATACATAATGATTGGACAAGCATGTTTTGGTGATTTGAACTGAAATCATAAACAGTCTCAAACAAAGGTTGGTGGCACCTGATATTCTACAAGAGGAGCACTTAGAAACCCTGTAGTTAGAACAGTTATTGTGAGGAACACTTAGGGAAGAGAAAATAGAGGGAAAAAGACAAATGACTATTGAAGTGGATTGAAACACTTTGAGAATTGTAGCTACAGTCACTGTTATTTGAGCCCCCTTGGAAACGTAACTGCCTCAAAATCGAAACATAAATGTAGGGTTACTGGGGAATAGTGGGTGGAGCCTTTATCTAGCTGTGGCTTTTCTTCATCTCCCTACTATAATGCCCCCATTGATCAACTCATGGTTGGGCGGTTAATGCAAAGCAGATGAATCCTCTTTACATGACGACTGAACACCACAGTGCATTTCAAGTAGTTAAGAATTAGTGGCCATTGGGGAGCAACACTCAGAGCGCTTTCACAGATATCATCTGAGATAAATGCTGACCCGTACCTCAGCATCAACAGAAATTGCTTACAGACATATGACAGCATATCATAGATGTTGATATACAGTACATGATTTGATACATTGTTCGACGTCAAAAACTGCCCTCTTGCCCTCTCCTTAAACAATGCAGTTATAGTCTAACTCCCACAACACATTAGTCATCCTCATTCACTGTCTACAAGGGGTCATGCAGTGTATGTTACATGTGCAATGAGTTTAAACAAAAGCACACCTAACATCCTATTGTACTCATAATAAACCCTAAAGGCCAGCAGACAATAAGCATGTTCATATTTTCACTAGTTTTGGCTCTTCATATGAATAAACAGGACATGTTTTGGAGGTAAAAACCTTTTTACAAACAGCATTGAGGGCCAAGGAGTTTGGTTATTGTCCAAATAAGCACTTTCCACAAATTAAATCTGTATGGCTTAATCATGTTGTTGACATGCGTCCGGCAGAAACGCTTATATAACATATTATAAGCTACAAAATATTTGAAATATTTGGTTAAGGACAAACTCGCACCAGCTAGTCTGCTCAGTTCGTATCACTGACCTGTGACATTATTTGGATTCTATGTTATCATTGTGGAATTCTATTGCCGCTTATGTGACAATCTACTAGCTAACATCAGTTTGATATATGTCAGAGCAGAAGAATATATTGGTCAGTCAACATGGCGAGAGATTTGCGATAGTAACAATATAGTACAGTATGTTAAACACAAATATGGACAGAGATCAACAAAAGGAAAGTCAGGTACCTTGTGCATGGCCTGCTTGTGACTCTCCCTCCTCTTCTCATCCTCCTTTCGGGCCATAACGCAGGCCATACGTCTCTCCTCCTCCTGCAGAACAGAGGGTCAATAACACAATCAGGGTGTCGCTCCATTCATGGAGAGTCTGAATTATTCAACATGAGACAGAGGCACAGTCAGAATAATGTCTGTTATGTCGGCTGCAGGTTTTCCCTCTACAGGAAGGACCAGTTGGAGAGGCAGCATCTCCTGCTGCATCATAGGATTATCTGTGTCTGTCTCTCTGATATTCGGCTGCAGCCTCAACTGAACTGAGCCCAGCTGTTTGGGTGTGCCAGGCAGAGCTCCCGGCATGCAATGCACCAGCAGACCCAATCTGAGACTGCCAGCTGAGCTCTAGGGGATGTTTAGCGCTGGCTACTCTCGGCTGAGAAAATATTATTTGATATGGTTCACTCAAAATGCTGTCATGGCTCCAGAATCAAAGCACTATCTTTCATACCCTTTGCATAATGTTTTTGCTATAAGGGCAGGCCTTTTATAAAAATGCTAAGTTAAAGTTAAATCAGTATGTGAAATCAGTTTGAGTAGAGGACCTTAAGTGCTGTCACAACTAGGCTATTTGTAATATTATCAATAATGCATTGTCATCCTTTCCCACTAATTAGTAGACTAGAACATTGGTGAAATAATGTTGAAAATCTTTAGTCATTAACACTGTTCATTTCCACCTGAACAAACCCAGTCTGTTGTGTTGACACAGATATCCCACGAGGAGCAACGGTAACCGTTTCCTGGCATCTATTGATTCTATTCTGCCTCAAAGCAAGAGGAGTTCAGCTCCTCCACATCTGCAGCCAGCTTTAACTTACATTATATTCAGAAATTATATCTGCCTGCCCTGGCACTGACAGCAAGTATGTTATATCTCAAACTATGTTACTACCAGTCACATAGAGCGAGTGCTCATCTGGGGAAAGTTGTGCAAATCAGATTCTGATCTCAGGAGGACTTGCTCATCCTACTGGCTGCAGGGCCATTCCTCTAAAGCAGCGCTACGACACAGATTAAATAGAAAGCTACATATTCTGAGGGCAAGGTGTGTGTGTGCTACCTCAGGGTTCATGTAGCCTACAAGCTCAGACCTGGGTGTTGCCTGCCTGCTTAACAGCTTTCAAATACATCAACCTCTGAACTCAAGTGTCTCGTATGTAGTGTGAATACAATGACATCATCTTTGACGGGCAATTCAGCTTTTATGCCTATGGATATCAAGCATGTGGAAGTGTCAAGGATTCTGTAAAGTGTTGCTTTACAGAATCCTTGCAGTATTTACAAGTCAAGGTCAACATTCAGTATTTACAAGCCAATGTGTTGTTATGCCTTGCATGACTACTGGAAATACACACAAAAACACAACCACTGCCACGCAAACTCAACCACATACAAGAAATGACAGACACACATGAGCGTGCACACACCCACACACCGAGCCTATTTTTTACCGTGACACGTTTCATGTCCAGCTGTCTGAGTTGAAGCACACAGCGCAGGGCGGCCTGCTTGTACCATGTCTCCAGGGCTACTGGGTTCCCATCCAGGGTGAGCTCAGAAAGGGAGCCCGACTCTCCCAGGCAGGCTAGCTCATCAAAACTACACACAGAGAGAGAAAACAAACACCACACAAGTCATTAACAACATATCAATGGGATAAATACTATTTGTTAATATAATGAGTCATTCACTTAGAAAAGCTCCCCCAACCTCCATTTTGGTTGAATGAACCTTATCCTCCATAGGTCGACATTACCACCAGGGAACAGGGCCCGTATTCACAAAGCGTCTCAGCTTAGGAATGCTGATCTAGGATCAGGTCCCCCTAGTCCACATAATCTTATTAAGGCAACACTGATCCAATATTAGCTCTCCTACCTGATACCCTTTTTGAATACCCAGGACCCAGAGCTCAACAAAAAGAAAACATGGAAACGTGCTAATTGGGCCTGGGACTGGCAGTGGGAAGAGGGCATTGAAAGCAACAGACATGGCCTGGGGCTGGGTGAACAGAGTTTGAGATGGGAAGACAATAACTAGGCTAAACAGGGTAGTAGGTAGCCAAGCTAACTAGGGTGGCAGGTGACCTAGCGGTTAGGAGCGTTGGGCCAGTGAACGAATGGTCGCTGGTTAAAATCCCAGAGCTAAATTACAAAAATAGAAATGTAATGTAAACAGTTGATTCACTACAAATGTAAATATAAATTGTGTGCTGGGTACAGTGTGCACAGAGGACTTCTGATTGGCCTAATTTGTGATCATGTTCGCTTCAACCAAAGGCTTTGCTGAGCCTGGGATTCTCTCTCAGCTACAGCTATGCAGACGTCAAATAAAGGCACTTGTTATCCCACCAGGACTTCACTGCCATGATAATAGTAGCCTACATTTCTCAGACGATTTTACACAAAAAGGATCAAATGCAAGCCAGATTAGGCTAGATGTTGTATTTTGCCATCATTATAGATTGATATAAGCTTTTTGTTTGGGCAAGGCAGGCTTTAAATTATTTATTTACTGCCTAAAACAGAGTGGGCTAGCAAGAGCTGTCATGAGAAATTAATCACAGCAGTAGTCAACTGTGGCCCTCTGGGCTGGCAACACTGTCTTATTAAATCGGGATTTCACAGGACTGTTTTCACAGGCAGGGACAGTGCTACTTCAGCATTCAGCCTCGGTGTCCTCCTGACTGAACTCAATGACAACTCCACTGTTTAAATAAGGCTAAGGGAGGCAAAAGGCATACCCATACAAAAGAACAGGGGTTTGAAAACACTCTCTTCACAGCAACAAAACACTTCCCATTCATGCGACACGCCGACACACCTTCTCTTCACCTCAGCAGTCATTAGGTGTGTGCTCAGAGAGAGAGAGCAGGCAGTATGGGTCCTCCACTGCAGCAGAGGCCAGGCCCAGCCCTGAGCTATAGGGAGCTGCCTGGGAGGGGAACCTGCCAGCACTGAGCTCTATGGAGAGGAGGGGGTTAAGCAGTAGCAGAAGATCTTACCTGGTGATGCTGTTGCAGCTGAGAAAGAGGCGCTGGAGGCAGGGCAGCTGGTCCACCTCTGTCTAGACAAAGAGAGGGAGAGAAAGAGGGGGATGAAGAGAGGAGAGGGTGCTCTAGAGGGGCTTGGTGGTGGTAGCGGCGGGACACAGTCACAGCGTGGCTCAGACCTTCCCATCCCTCTCCATTCCCTCAGTCACCTTGCAGCTCCCAGCTCCGGCATACAGCCCCATCCGCCCTGCGCGCGCAGGCACACTGCCGCGGCTGCACAGGGAGGGGAGGGGGAGCGCAAGGAGAAGGGGAGGGAGAGGAGAGGAGCGTGCACTAATGCAGAGATCCCCTGCTGCAGGAGCTCGCTCACTCACTCTGCTTATAGAAGAGAGAGAGAGCGAGAGAGAGAGAGAAAGAGAGAGAAAGAGAGAAAGAGAGAAAGAGAGAGGGGGGGGTGAGCTACTGGCACACAGAGACACACACACAGACACACACAGAGACACACACACACACACACACACAGACACAGCAGGGCAGCAGCTGAAGAACAAAGGAAGGCGACAGCGATATGGGCAAATGATGAATTCAACAGGAATAGATTAAAGTCTCCAGTGGTGCCGTTGCCATGGAATCTGTTTCCTCATCAGGCTGTTTCAGGACCAATGGAGGAGGGAGTCTGGGGGAGGATGGGAGGAAGTGAGGAGGAGGAGCAGGCTGGCTGGCTGATGAGGACACAGAGACACAGGCAATGTCACAGCCAGCTACAGGAGAGGAGACAGGGGGATGGCAGTGGGGATGACATGTTCAGCCTCGCAGTAGGGCAGGGCAACTGCTGCTGTAGTGTGTCTATGAGGATGGATAACCAGCGCTGGGATGCGTGTGTGTGTGTGTGTGTGTGTGTGTGTGTGTGGACACTGCTAGGAGGGACTTAAAGCGCTGCGTCAGCCCATACTGCAGAAACACACTACCTCACACACAGCTACTGTACAGTCTCCACCAGCACTGCCTGTGTCTCTGCCTCTCCTAAGACAACAAGAGCTTAACCTAGCAGCCATCCACATAAACTCCCTCTACACTACCAATAATACTATCCACATAAACTCCCTCTACACAACCACAAGTAGCCATCCACATAAACGCCCGCTACACTACCACAATACGCATCCACATAAACTCCCTCTACACAACCACAATACTCATCCACATAAACTCCCTCTACACAACCACAATACTCATCCACATAAACTCCCTCTACACTACCATAATACTATCCACATAAACTCCCTCTACACTACCATAATACTCATCCACATAAACTCCCTCTACACTACCACAATACTCATCCACATAAACTCCCTCTACACTACCACAATACTCATCCACATAAACTCCCACAATACTCATCCACACACGCTCACTTGCACGCACACCCCCAACCCCCCATACTAACAACCCAAACGCCCACCTGCCACATTAGCCTAATGGAGGCTAATCTGTGTGGGTTAAAGATGTGATGGCCAGTTATGGTGGATTCCCTCTGATCAGTCTACTACAGCTCTCACTATGCCCAGGGCCAACTGGTCAGCCACTAGACTAGAGCACAACGTTTACTGTGTAATGGCCATGCTGACCTCTATAGCCATATCCATGCTCTCTGTTACATTCATCAGATCTGTGGGGCTTGGCCATTTAGTTTAGTTTAGTTTATTAATCCAACCATTTAAAAAAACAAGCACACATACAACTCGAAAAAGCCATACATGCACATGAGTAAAACCATCGAGGATAACACACAATAAAGTCTGGGACTTATTTTCATTGTGGTCCTCTTGAAACAAGATGGCTAGGCAAGATCCAACACGGTTGAACACAGTACGACAGCGAGATAATAAAACATAAAAACAAAGAAGAATAACATCTATCTCATCATTGCAGTTACATCGTAGGGTACATGTATATGGGCACAGAATACATTTTTACTATATTTTAAAAAGCTGCCCAGAGAGAATGTCGTTTTTATGGGCAGAGGCAACTCATTCCACTCTGAGGCTCCAGTTTACAAGAAAGTACCTTTCCCAGCATTACTCCTGAACCTGTATAAGCACACATTAGCAACACCTGATCTGGTGCTGTGATTGTGTGCATCCCTAACATGGGGAAAGTAATCAGTTAGATATCTGGGTGCAGAACCATAAATACTCCTGTAAACCAATCCCAGTCTAATCTAGGACACCCTCAACAGGCAGCCAGTTGAGTTCCTGAAAGCAGCTCCTGCCTATGTGAGTACGTGGACTCACCTTCAATACTACCCTGATCAGCTTATTCTGGGCTATCTGGAGCTTCCCCTTCATAAGCTTAGCTAAGCCCCCAAACCAGGAAGTACTAGTGTAGTCAAAATGGCATTGAATGAGGGCAGTGGCTAGCACTCCAATGGAGTCCTTATCAAGCAGCTTGGACTTTCTAGCCAAAAACGTAGTCCTGGCATTAACCTTCCCTAGCACTTTAGTGGCCATGCTCACACCTCCCAAGCTTCCACCCCAGGTAGCCAACAGCGGTTTTAGTAGTCAGGACCTCACCCCCTAACTCTACACAATTTAGGTCTGGACCCAAAAAGAATTGCCTCAGTTTTACCTAAGTGCAGAGATAGCTTATTATCTCCAAGCCATTTGCTAATGTTAGTAAGCGCTGTGCTAAGTATGCTCTCCAACATAGTTTTACTTTTGTGAGACACCAGAAGTGTAGAGTCATCCACATCAAGGAAAAGACGGCAAGAACAAGCATCTTTAAAAAAAAAATAGAGGCCCAAGCACGCTCCCCTGCGGAACGCCATAACTCATTGGTTTTGCCTGAGACAGTGAACCATGAACCTCTACTACTTGCTCCCTACCTGACAAATAGGACTTTACCCAGCCTAGAGGGATACTGCTTAACCCCAGTGCCTCCAGTTTGGAGATTAGGAGACAGTGGTTAACTGTATCAAAGGCCTTCTGTAGGTCAAGCAGTACCATTCCACAGAGAATTCCCTCATCAATTTCTTTCCAGATGAAGTCAGTCAAGTAAAGTATACATCAATCAGCGGAGTATGTTCTTCTAAAACCAGACTGAAAATCATACATTGTTTGTTGACATATTCATACATTTGCTCATGTACAACTCTCTCCAGGATCTTTGATGTTATACCAAGGATAGATACAGGCCTATAATTCCCAGGGTCAGACTTTATCCCCTTCTTATACAGAGATATAACTTTAGCTTGTTTCATGTCCCTGGGAAAGATGCCTTGTACCAGAGAGAGATTAACGATATGTGTAATACAAGGGGCAATTTGCTCAGCAGAATCTCTAAGAAACCTTGCAGGAATATTATCCAGGCCTGTGGTTTTGGAGCATTTAAGCTCTGCTAGCATACTGGCTATTTTGGCTGTTGCTACCTTTGCAAAATAAAAAGAGTTTGGCTGAACTCCTAACTCGGCATAATACTTATTGACTTGGTAATTTCCATACAAACCAGAACTGGTAGGCAGCTTGCTAACCAGCTTGCTGGCAACAGAAGTAAAAAAAGAGTTACATTCATTGGCAACCTCTGTTTTTTCATATACCATCTCCCCCCTGATGTTCAGTCCAATACTGTTTTCGTTTGTTTTTGGTAGTACTACTACAGCCTAGTTCCTTAAATGACTTCCAAAGCTTTTTAGGGTCATTTTTGTTGTCAATGATTTTATCAGCAAAGTAACCCCTCTTAGCTTCATCCATCCTGCTCTGTGCTTCATTTCTGTGACATTTATATAGGACAAAATCAGGCTGCTCTTGAGGGTTCTTACATTTCTTGAAGGCCTTATTCCTTGCTTGGATAGATTCTAGAATCTCATCATTAGGGCTAGATCTCTGCTTTACTCTGACACACATCTAATGGGAGCCATCACATTCACCACATCAAGGAATCTACATTTAAAGGCTTCCCAGGCCCTATCTACCCCTACACTTTCCAGCACAGGTGACCAGTCAATTTTACCCACTTGCTCCCTAAACATTTCAACACAGTATTTTATTAGTCCTCTGATTCTAACAGTTTTGTGACACTTAAATATATCTTTAAAAACCCTCCTTGTGCAAAATGTAATAAAATGATCACTGATTCCATAGACTATTACTCCACTCTGCAATATTTTGGATTTATCAGACACCAATATTAAGTCAATCGTACTTTGCACTGTTTCACATACCCTGGTGGGATCTTTTATCTAAATGTCGGGCTAGCTGTCTGCAACCAGAACACTGAACCAGATCCAAGGGCACAGCTTAGAAAAAAGAGAACATGAACAGTGCATGTTAGATTCTAATGTGTGCCTGGTGCTATAAACAGACTAAACTAGTACTGACCACACCAATAAAATACATAGGGATGGATTTTTGATCTGGATTTACTACAAAATGTACTACACTGTATATAATATAGAGTACTATATTATATAGAGTACTGAATTAATCATAGAATAATTTGTCCACTATGTTAAGGCAGCTGAGTGCTCATAGATCAATATTACTTATGAATAGCTCATGCTGTAAGCATATGACCCAGACAGTAAAGTACATTAGAAACCCATGATATAGACACCGCATTAACATCCAAGGAATCATCAGTCACAATAATAAAGGACAGACATCAACATGCCTTAAACTCTCATTCTACTCTGCTACCACATATGAAGGGCAAAGCTTTCATGGGGTCCGATTGACTTAAACATTAATATATTTCACTCATATTATACTCATATTCCTTTTGTTTACGTTATGTTCATACCCCCTGAGCACTAAGGCTCAAAATCATTATCAAAATGCATAATTTCCCTTGGAAAAAGATTCCCGGCAAATACAGGAAAAGGTTTCTAAAGCTGCAGCTAATGAGGATGAAACAAAACAAACTAAACAGGGCCAGGCTGTCACGATCGTTATACGGAGTAGACCAATGCGCAGCGTTAGTTGCAAACATATTTATTTATTTAATGAATGCACGAACAAAACAACAAAACGAAAACGTGACGTCCTCGGTATAACACAACCGACACGGCAACAAACCAAAACGGAACAAGATCCCACAAACACAAAGGGAAAACAGACAGTTTAAATATGGCTCCCAATCAGAGACAACCAGCCACAGCTGACACTCGTTGCCTCTGATTGGGAGCCACTCTGGCCAACATAGAAATAGCACCCATAGAATACACCATAGAACAAAAACACATAGAACTTACACACCCTGGCTCAACATATAGAGTCCCCAGAGCCAGGGTGTGACAGTACCCCCCCCCCCCCAAAGGCGCGGACTGTGACCGCGCCTGAACAACAACAAACCAGTGGAGGGCTGGGTGGGCATTCCTCCTCGGAGGCGGTTCCGGCTCCGGGCTAGACCACCACCCTCTAATAATCCCCCCGTAGCGCCCCTGGTCCGGTCTGGCCCCGCTGGCTGGAGCTGAACTGGACATCGTAGGAGCGGATAGGTTCAGCTCCGGTGTGGAGCAGCTGACCGGTACCTGACCAGGCACCGGTGACCCAGGCACGGGTTGTGCCGGACTGACGACGCACACCCCTGGCTTGGTGCGTGGAGCAGGAACGGACCGGACCGGGCTGACGATGCGCACCCCTGGCTTGGTGCGTGGAGCAGCAACGGGCCGGACCGGGCTGACGATACGCACCCCTGGCTTGGTGCGTGGAGCAGGAACGAACCGGACCGGGCTGACGATGCGCACCCCTGGCTTGGTGCGTGGAGCAGCAACGGGCCGGACCGGGCTGACGATACGCACCCCTGGCTTGGTGCGTGGAGCAGGACCGGACCGGACAGGGCTGACGATGCGCACCCCTGGCTTGGTGCGTGGAGCAGGAACGGGCCTTACCAGGCTGACGACTCGCACCCCTGGCTTGGTGCGAGTGGCAGGAACAGGCCGGGCCGGGCTGGCGACGCGCACCGTAGGCTTGGTGCGAGTTGCAGGAACAGGCCGGGCCGGGCTGGCGACACGCACCGTAGGCTTGGTGCGAGTGGCAGGAACAGGCCGGGCCGGGCTGGCGACGCGCACCGTAGGCTTGGTGCGAGTTGCAGGAACAGGCCGGGCCGGGCTGGCGACGCGCACCGTAGGCTTGGTGCGAGAGGCAGGAACAGGCCGGGCCGGGCTGGCGACGCGCACCGTAGGCTTGGTGCGAGTGGCAGGAACAGGCCGGGCCGGGCTGGCGACGCGCACCGTAGGTTTGGTGCGGGGAGCAGGAACAGGCCGGGCCGGGCTGGCGACGCGCACCATAGGCTTGGTGCGGGGAGCAGGAACAGGCCGGGCCGGGCTGGCGACGCGCACCACAGGCTCGATGCGGGGAGCAGGAACAGGCCGGGCCGGGCTGGCAACGCGCACCACAGGCTCGATGCGAGGAACAGGAACAGGCCGGACCGTACTGGGGACACACACCACTGGCCCTACGCGGGGATCAGGAATGGGCCGGACCGGACTGGTAACACACCCCAGTACCTCTCGCCGTGCCTCTACACTTTCCTTCCCCTTTAATACCAGTGGCCCCCGTAACCTGGCGGCCTCCTCTGCCAACCCACTGGACCGCTCTATCGCGGCCTCCTGCTGCCCCGACGTCCACGTCGTGAGCCCCCCCCTAAAAAATGTCTGGGTGTCTCTCCTCCCCGTGGACCAGGCCTCCCTAGTTCTCGCCAGACTCTCACCCCACTGCTCCAAAGTCCAACCACTCTGCTCTTCACTTGGCTTGGCCCAGTCGAGACTCTTAATCCACTGCTCCATAGTCCAACCTCTCTGCTCTTCACTTGGCTGGGCCCAGTCGAGACTCCTACTCAACTGATCCCAGGTCCATCCTCTCTCCTCTTCACGCTGCTTGGTCCTGTCTTGGTGGGATCTTCAGTCACGATCGTTATACGGAGTAGACCAATGCGCAGCGTTAGTTGCAAACATATTTATTTATTTAATGAATGCACGAACAAAACAACAAAACGAAAACGTGACGTCCTCGGTATAACACAACCGACACGGCAACAAACCAAAACGGAACAAGATCCCACAAACACAAAGGGAAAACAGACAGTTTAAATATGGCTCCCAATCAGAGACAACCAGCCACAGCTGACACTCGTTGCCTCTGATTGGGAGCCACTCTGGCCAACATAGAAATAGCACCCATAGAATACACCATAGAACAAAAACACATAGAACTTACACACCCTGGCTCAACATATAGAGTCCCCAGAGCCAGGGTGTGACACAGGCACAGAATAGAACAAGCCCACGTCCCCCCCCGTCCCCCCGTCCTCCGTATGGCCTCCTGTTGCTGCACCATCCTGCTCAGCTATGTGCATGACAGTGCCAGTGTGCAATGGGTTACAAAATATCCTACTTTAGGCATAAACAAAAGAAGGCTACTGTACGCATACAGTACGGTCAACCCATCACACCAATCAGTGACTTAGTTAGGGGGACTTTAATGGCGGGCTGCTCTAACTCTATTATAAACAACTAAGGCGGTGAGGAGGGTATTCACTTCATGGCGTTCAGGCACCATTACACAACCCTTTTAAGGTGCTGTCTCTAACACTAACGGTATTACAGGGATGCTGCCTCCGCAGGCATGCTGTTGCTGTAATTAGGATTATGGCTATGTCTGATTGGAGAAGTTGTGAAATAATTAAATCAATCACTGCATAAATTATGAGAGAGACAGATGCGAGGGAGGCTGTAATCTCTGCCATTTGCAACACTGCTTTTATAGAAAAATGTCTCTACTGCTACTTGAGTACACACATTAACAGTACTGTCTGCTGCTGCATCCCCATAGTGACAGGAACGCTCTGCTCCTGAAATAAAGGCATTAGATGATTGTGCACTCCCACTCACAGTGTCACACAGTCGGCTTTGAGGAGAACACTGCAATGAATCCTTATAACATCCATTTCTACATGCTGAAAATGCAATTCATACCACAGTATAAGCACATAGCCTACCACACATACACCTGCTTCCCAGACTGACTATTCAGCTCTGCTTCTCCGTCAGTGCAACAGCACTTCCAGCTCCGACCGTGGCTGAGTCTAAATTTAGCCACAGTCTCAGACAGAGTGATGTCATCACTGGGCTGATGTGGTGCATAACAAAATCCCACTGTCCGTCCACCTCTGTCTGTCTCATGTTCTAACAGCAGGGGCCCAGAGACTAGGAGTTGTGTCTGAACCTGGTCTCCGTCTCTCTCCTGTGTGTCCTGGGCTTCAACTCTACAGCTCAGCTCCACCCCAGCCATGTTGACAGCTGACAGCTTGCGTGTGTTTGATTTTCTCACACACTGAGGAGCTTCACAACAACCATTACCGTGCCAACACAGCCTCTCACCACCGCTGTCTCTGCTGCACGCAACAACACTCTACAAAGAGAAGCGCCAACAAACACGTGTGTGTGTGTGTGTGTGTGTGTGTGTGTGTGTGTGTGTGTGTGTGTGTGTCAACCTTAGTAAGTGCCACTGGTGACCTGGGGCCTGTTGCACAAAAGTAGAATTAAGACATCCGGGATAAATGACTCAGCTGAGCTCAATGAAGCCAAAACATGTGCGTCCAGGCTTAATTGGTTGCACAAAGACCAAGCCAGGATGAGCAGACACGGATTCATTAAGCCAGGTGAAACCAATCCTGGATAGGTGCGCGCTCACGGCTCACTCAAATAGACCCCGCCACAGATCACAGATTAACTGATTTACCATGGCAACTAGAGCCGCGTACTTTTCCCCGTCGGAAGCACAAATCCTCATGGAGGCATACGAGGAGGTAAAAGATATAATTAAGAAGAAAGGCAACACCGCCACAGTGATAAAGCAAAGAGAAAAAGCGTGGCAAAGTATTGCAGACCGCCTGAATGCGTAAGTAGTGCACAATTACACACTCACCGCTCCGCTGAAACATCACAATTACAATTCAAATATTTAATTCACATCTCCAAAAATGCAGTTGTACTGTAATTATGAAACGGTTAAATTTTTAATTGAAATGCACTGCAGATATGAGTGAAATTGTGTAAAGTAACTCCATCACACTGTATAAAGCTATGATAAATTTTTTGATATTTTTACTGAAAACAAGACAAAAATACCAAGTAATTTTTTGCAGTGTGACTCCATTAAATGTGTGTGTGTGTGTGTGTGTGTGTGTGTGTGTGTAGATTAAACATGAACGGGCCAAAACGGACATGGCAGCAGGTCAAAATCAAATACAAGAACATTCTGCAGAATGGTATGGTCCCTGACTAATATTTAACAAAGCACAAGCATATATTGTACCCAGAAGGTGCCTGCTCACACATTGTCTGTACTGTTTTAGCAGTGAAAAAGAATACCCACAGACAAGGCACGGGTGGTGGGTCACCAAAGGCTGACCTTACCCCAGCAGAGGACATGGCCTTGGAGCTAAATAAAGGCAGGCCCGTCTTAGAGGGGATCCCTGGGGGGAAAGAGACGAGCATAGGTTCCTCCCAAGATGCCACCCGCTTCATTCAAGGTATGTCCTTCCATCTCTACATGGGATACAACCACATTCATATTGAATCAATTTGGACTGTCTGACTTTGGTTTACCTATTGCCTTGCAGTGTCTGGCAGCACTGTGTTCCTGTTAGAGCCACCAGCACAAGCACCAGACGATGCTGATCCAGTGAGTACTCCATCAAAGGCATACTGTAGGCCTGGCATGTCTTGTCTACTAGCTTCAATATGAATCCGATTAAATGTGATAGGGTGAAGGCCCCAGTGCAGCAGCAACAGCACATGATGGAGACGATGATGAGGAGGAGACCATCTCTCTGGATTCCAGAAGGCATGAGGTATCATGTTAAGACTGTGAAAGTACTATTTACTCTACAATGGTGAGGAGTCCTCATCAAAATCAAAAAATCTAATTTCTTTTACAGGACCCAGATGCTATACAGTGGGAAAACCAGCCTGGCAACATAGTGCGTATTAATAAAAGGACACCACATCCTGCCAAATTCCAGCTGCGCTAATTGTATTGTGTTCACAGAGCTCACAAGCTATCAGAAAGTTGTATGGCAACCACCTCCGGCGCCAAATAGAACTGGCAGACATAGACATTCAGTACAAGAAGAAAAAGATGGAAAATCTTGCACTGGAGTCCGAAATAAAAAAGAGGACAATTAGGAAACTGGACCTTGAAATAAAAAAACTTGAGAGGGAGGTGAGATATGCCTTCAATGTACACTGTATGCTAACTGTAACACAAATGTATTAATCATTATTTTTCTTTCCTCCCCCAGCTCCAAGAAGATGACACAGCTCAAAATAAAAATTAGGTATATTCTCGTAAAGTCAAGTGAGCCATGACATATGAGCTCTTATTGTGAGCACACAGGACGGTGGCATCTTTCTAAGGTTTTTTTTATTTTCCCAGCAATCAGTACAACCAAGTCATCGTTATAAGGCATCGCCCTCTTTTGCCCACCCCCCCAGCACCAGGTGTGGCCACTAGCCTATATGAAGGCCCAAAATTGTGTGTTCCTTTCTGCTCTGACAATGGCATGCCCATTCGTGCGAGATGTGGTGGATGAAGAAGCACTTGTGCTGAGGAGAGCCTTCAGGCGAGAAAGGGTCTTCAGGGACCGGTTGGACCCACTGGCCTTCCCTGATGACCATCTATATGAAAGATACAGGTTTTCTGCAGATGGCATCAGGTATCTATGCAGACTACTGGGTCCCAGGATTAAGCACCGCACTGCACGGAGCCATGCACTGAGTGTGGAGCAAATGGTTTGTGTGGCCTTGCGCTTTTTTGCTAGTGGAGCCTTCCTGTACTCAGTGGGGGATGCAGAACAGCTGAACAAGGCCACAATTTGCCGCACAATAAGGAGTGTGTGTCTGGCTATCAAAGCATTAGCAGATGTCTTCATCTCCTTCCCTGGCCACAGAAGACTCTGTGACATCAAAGAGGAGTTCTATAGGATTGCAGGTAAGAGGATCTACAAATTACAGGACAACTGTTAACACATAGTAGGATACTCATTACTTTGTGTGACAGGTTTCCCCAATGTCATTGGTGCAGTGGACTGCACACACATAAGGATAAAAGCCCCCTCAGGTGCCCATGAGGCCGATTTTGTGAATAGGAAATCCTTTCACAGCATTAATGTTCAGGTGAACATAACTTTTTGATATTGTCCATTGACGAACACTCTGCATTGCCAGTGATGTGCATTGATTGGTGTAATATTCCTCATCTTATGATTTCAGATGGTCTGCAATGCTGACTGTGTGATCAGCAATGTTGTGGCAAAATGGCCTGGCTCAGTCCATGACTCCAGAATCTTTCGGGCCTCTGAAATCTATCAGTGCCTATCACAAGGTAAGCCACACAACCCCTATTTATAACCATCATGGCTGTGTCAAGAATATCACTGTGTTTATGAGGTAGTAATGATGAGATTTTGTGTTGACAGGTGAATTCTCTGGTGTGTTGCTGGGAGACAGGGGGTATGGCTGCCAGCCTTTTCTCCTGACACCTTTCACAGACCCCCAGGAAGCACAGCAGGCCTACAACCATGCCCATGCCAGGACCAGGGCCAGAGTTGAAATGACCTTTGGCCTCCTGAAGGCACGCTTTCACTGCCTTCACAAATTAAGGGTCAGCCCTGTTAGGGCATGTGATATTACTGTGGCTTGTGCTGTCCTCCACAATGTGGCCTGCCTGAGGAAGGAGAGGGCCCCCAGAGTGCCACCAGCCATGGACTGGGACAATCCGGCAATCTTCCCTGATGACGACAGTGGTCGGCTGCTGAGGGACCAATATGTGTTGAATTATTTTAGTTAGTATGTGTGCTTTCAATTTTGGTTAAATATGTCCTGCGGTGGCAGAGGAATTTGGGTTTTTTTGGGTTCGTTTTTTTACGAATTTGGCCTCTTATGATGTTTGTGCGGTATACTGTGTGTAATACAAGGCTGCAGGGAGGCTACTGCATCCATTCATTTGTCTGTTCAGTTGATGTGTATGGATTTGTCCTGCATTTATTTTAGTGTGCAGACATGCAGGGTGTGTTATATACAGACCTTTGAATGTGTATGTATCATTTTGTATAATATGCTTGGATTCTGTGCTTTCCATCTTGTAGAGTCACTGTGACTTCAGTTTCGAAAGGAGCTGATGGTTTACCTGCTTTGTTTTGTCCTTATTCAATAAAGGAACATAATGTTACACATTGTGTTTTTATATTCATATGGAATGTGTATTTGTTTATATGACAGAGTACTAGGGCCACACTGAAGAAAAAGGATAAAGTCATAAATTTATGAGGCTGGTTCTTTCTGCAGAAAAGCTACATATTGTTTTTACAGTTTTGATACTTATGACAATGTGATACTTAATATTCTGGCACATCAGCATGTCTTTGTTTATGAAACCATACTGAAGTACAATTTCACGAAATGCCCCACATCTGTCATTTTAACAACTGTCCTCCTTTAAAACAACTGGTTACAATATTATGACTTGTGTTTTTTTCCCCTCTGTGGCCCTAATATTCTATCATTTTATATATAGCCTTATAGTCTATGGGAAACTGTAAATTATCTAATGATAGCAACATCATCTAAAAATCGTTTTTTATCCAAAATCATTGAAATTAATGATCACACACGTTTAAATAATGACAGTGGGTCTAGTTATATGTGATAACAATGTATAGTGAGCAGTGAAATAACTATTGGTTTCCATTTGTGGTGACTGCTGACTGACAGTAGGGATGAGATTAAATAGATCCTGGAATTTAGCCTGGTCTGGAGCAGGCTAGCTCCACAGAATAAATCTCCATGGTAATTTATACCATAACATATCCTCCTGCCCCCTATCCATCTTTAGTGCAACCGGATTACGGATCAATTGAGCCAGGATCACCAAGATATCCTGGCTTAATCCCTTATCCTAGTTTTGTGCAACAGGCCCCTGGTCATTCAATGGCTGAGGTTGTTTAAGTTACTTGTCTTTTAGAGAGTGCATACAATATACAGACTAAAACCATACAGAACAGTCTCTCACCCATTCATCACAAACTGTTCCATTTTAGGTGTCATTTAGGATGGTTTTCTAGGGTAAACAAACCTTTCAGATATGTGCTGTATGTAGCACAGTACCCAAAGGGTTATACGTGCAGTATGTCTAAAATACTGGCCTTCCATGTAACTGAGCCCAATGTTTAAGTGTAGGTTTAAACTTGTTTGGAAAAGTGCACTTCAATGTATTTGTCTTTCCCTTCAAGTCCTTTCCAAAACTCCACTCTATTCCTCACTAGAATGAAAAGGAAAACCTTTTAAGACACCTGAAAGTATCTGTGTTTAGTTTGTGCCTGCAATAAGGACTTGGCAGCAAATCCGGATAATGAAAGAGCCTTGAGAAAAATGCTGAAGGATATAATTTTTTCTCCGCTGTAAGGCCAATAAAACATTATATCTGATTATTAAGTGGAAGTAATTTCATCAAAAGTTCTAAGTAGGTAAACAGGAGCTGTAGTTGATAAGGTGTGACATTTCTGTTTTTTTATTAAATGTTCCCAGCCTGGTCACCTGTGATACAAGTCAGGATAAGACGTCCATCCATGTCTGAGGACGTCGGGAGATTACATAGAAACTGGCCACTAGGGGCAACCGTGAGCGCTGTTACCGTCAAGAAGGTTTTGGTTTTGCTTGGGCGTTGTGGACAGGGATGGCAGATGGGAGTAAGCATCTGCCTCAGATACAAAAGGAGGTTGCATGTTCGAATCCAGTTATAGAAAGTTGTTTTTGTGCCTAACCTTAACCCTTACCTTAACCCAGGGGTTCCCAAACCTCCAGCATTGGGGAACATCCCGCGCAGGAGTGCATGCACCACTTCTATTTCTATGGGCATAAGCACTGTTCATGACACAAACTGTTCACACCCCTCTTGTTGGTGGAGAGAAATTTGCATGTTTAAAGCATATTTCCTGCCATTCTACAAATTTTGTCATGGGGTGCAAAGAAAATGTTGCAGTTTTAAAGCAAAAAATGACAACAATATCTATGGGCTAAAAAACCTAAATAAAAAAACATTAGCTGACATGGGCTAGTTGATCTGGACATTTCTGACAAGTTATAAATAGCTCTCTAAGGTATGCAATGACTAACATGACAAGAGGAACTGATTGCACCTTGTGCATTCTACTATTACAACTATCAAGAGTACTTTAAAGCCGGACTGAGTTCCTTAAAAAACCATTCAGAGTTAATGCCTAACCTTAAGATTTCGGAGTTAATGCCTAAACTTAACCCTAACCTTAAAAATGCAGAGTTAATGCCTAAACTTAACCTTAAACACTTTGAAATGTGACGTTAGTCTCCCGAGTGGCGCAGTGGTCTAAGGCACTGCATCGCAGTGCTAGCTGTGCCACTAGAGATCCTGGTTCGAATCCAGGCTCTGTCGTAGCCGGCCGCGACCGGGAGACCCATGGGGCGGCGCACAATTGGCCCAGCGTCGTCCAGGGTAGGGGAGGGAATTGCCGGCAGGGGATGTAGCTCAGTTGGTAGAGCATGGCGTTTGCAACGCCAGGGTTGTGGGTTCGATAAAATAATGTATGTGCTAACTGTAAGTCGCTCTGGATAAGAGCGTCTGCTAAATGACTAAAATGTAAATGTTTGGAACAGCTTCGAAATTTGACGTTTGAGAAACATGGATGAACGTCTAATTCTGACGTGAGACTGTGAGAGCTAGTTGAATTTTCCAGCATACCAAGTGAGGGAAGGGTTTGGAGATGTCAGATTTGCATACAAATGAAGGACCTGTTTAGGCTTGTTTGTGCTCCTCTGTTGATCAGAAATACTATACTATAGAAATGTAGGGAGGGAGGGAATTTCTGTTTAAAAAATATCTTATTTCACTACCACTGGAGTCAGCATGAGGAGGGGTTAATGAGCTAGCTATTTTCCCCTTGGTAACCACCGTAGATGAATGACAGGAGGACAAGTATGCTAATTCACTTTGTGTTTTTTCTTGGTGAGACATGAAACAGAAAAACTTCTAAATGTGATACCAAGACAAACATCAAAACAAGGTAAACATGCAAAGGCTTGTGCCAGCAGCTGGGGATGACAACAAGATGAAAGAAGAATCTGCAGCTAACATCATCATCTAAGAAGAAAATTATAATCCAGTCTACACATCTCAATGCATGAGTAGGTAGGGGGACAGACACTGGCAACACCTTGGGGACTGTCAGAGATTTGATACACAGCAAGAAGCAAGCTTAAGCCGTCAGCTGTATGCCAATGAGTGTGTATATATCAAACCACGAGAGTTGGATGTATGCATCTGTTATAATTGACAGCATTAGCAACACAGCAGCATACTGTTCTTGCACAGTATATTGCAGAGTTGGGGGAACCATCCTCAATCCTCATTACTGTGATGACAGAACGGCCAAGCTGTTTGCGATCTTAGCACAGATCTGAATCACTACAGGCCTGAGCCATTACATCTGCACAGTGCATTAGTGTGAGCCCAAAGGATTAGACACGATCCAGCTGCTTCAGTTCAGAACAGCCAGGGCTCTGCTCTGCCATCAGTCAGTCAATAGCCCCATCAGTATGTCATGCCGGCAGTCCCTCCACCAACCCCAGCCTGTGGCCCCTCAGATCCCAAAACCCAGCAGGTCTCAGTATGAATGCTCTTTTGTGTGTATGTACTGACATGTATGTGTAACTGATAGATGTGCGCACACACACACACACGTTCATGTTTTTAAATATATGTAAATTGTAAAGTATTTTGTCTGTAATGTATTTTTCCAAGTAAGACTAGCTGTCGCCATTGGCGTCGGCTAATGGGGATCCTTATCAAATAAAATCCCCTCCTCTCCTCTCCCCTCCCCCCTCTTCTCCTCCCCTCCCTCACCACAGTGGAGATGCAGTTGCGTCTCAGGTTGATCTCGGTCAGTGAGTCCAGGCCCTGCAGGTTGTCCACCCTGGAGATGCAGTTCCCTGCCAGGTTCAACACGCGCAGCTCAGACAGGTGGGAGAGGTTCTCTATCTGGGAGATCTGAAGGCAGAGGGAAACACAGACAGAAACATCAGTGTGATAAACTAGTGAAATGTTCTCTTAAGTCATTATGAATTAAAGACTAGGCTCATACCTTCAGGGGCTCGTCTTGAGGCTGTGCTGTTGTTAATATATTGGGGAGGTGATAGGGTCCATAAGGGTGATTTTCAGTGTTGAGAATATGCTCTCTGTTGTCTAAATCAAATGATGAGACATGCCAGTTCTGTTTGATGTGCAAAATAAAACTCTGAGTACAGCAGAGTAGAGCAGACACCTGTGTACCCTGATTTACACATCAACTAGCCTAAGGCCATTCCATATCCTCTGCTAAAAACAGCCCAAAATAAATTATACCTTCAAATGAGTTGGAGATAAATTATTTGAATTTTTACCATCCAATATTACCATCCAATTCAACCCTCACAATCGCTCCTTTCGTTTCTGACCCACATTATCATAATTTCAACGTCAAAACAAAGTCAGTATTCTCATTGAGCCATGAGTCCAAAAGGCATCCAGAATCTGAAAGGGTCAGTAGTAGTGAAATGTGGTCCTGGCCTCATTCTGGTTGAGCGGGAACTGCAGGGCCTCTTGTCAAAATGAAACTAACTAGTTCAAGACCCAGGGGATTCTGTCTGTCTGAGTGTGAGGCTGTGAGGTGTGTGCCACTCTGTCCTGTCTATTTCAGGAAGAGGTCAGGGTTGCGTCACAAATGGCACCCTATTCCCTATGTAGTGCACTACATTTGACCAGGGCCCATAGGGCTGTAGTCTATACTAGTGCACTATATAGGGAGTAGGATGCCATTTGGGATACATCCCAGAACTAACTACCACTGAGGGGCCGGCTTTGGGGGTTCCCTTTCCCTTGATGATGATACACTGCATGTTACCCCAGCGGTCAAAGGTTGAAAGGCTCCTGCAGCGAGCTTGATGCAAGTAGACATGAATCAAGACAGACTGAGTATGGATGTTAGCTTAGGGCAGAATCTTTAAATGAACAGTGAACATCATTTAAAGGACAGAAGCTGCATAGAGCTCTGGAGCTCTGTCTAAAAGGACCTCTGCCTTTCCCTTCCATTTGGGGGAGGGAGGAGGATGACAGCCTGCTCTCTACATCTAAAGCCCTTTCATGAGTGATACTGAGGCACACTCTTCTCTCTGACTCTCCTCTTTCATAGCTTGACCAGACAGGGTTATGTCATAGCTGAAGCACTCTAAGGCCAGTGTAACAGTGCTATGTCATGTCTATGTGTACAGTATGTTGTCCAGCTGCCAGTAGTGAGTAGTAGAGGTGGTATCTCAGTTATGGCGTTCTGACAATAGGCCCAGGTGCATTAAGTCCCCCAAATGCCTCTTATAATACTGATGTTATTGGACAGAGACCAGAGAGACAGGTAAGGGATGTTGAGATTGAAACAACTTTTGTTATGACTGCTGACAAATACAACAGAGTGAGGTAATGTTCCACTCCAACTGAGGCCTCCCAGTGGTGTTCTCTTGGATTCACAGTTCCACCATGGCTGCAATGAAAAGCATTCTCTCTCAAGTCCACTTTAACACAAGTCAGCACATGGCTAAACTAATCTCAGGCCTGGGACATCATCCTCTACAAAGCTAAGAAAGCCAGAGGGTCCACTCCACACTGGCTGCATCTTTCACTGAACAGTAATTGTATCTCTATTATGCTCGACCCATCTCTCGTCAGGGCAGATTAGATGTTACAGTTGTTCCCCGCTCATTTTTAGGAGGAACACGAGAGGTCAGGGCATTGTTGAAGTCTTAATGTCCTATAGGGATATTTGCTCTGCAGGCAGGGTCACACAGAACTGTCCTTTACATGTCTTAAAATGTAATAAAAAGGCAAAGTGCATTGTAAGTTTCAAATAGTTTAATAGTTAAGTTAAATATTGTCTGTTTGATGAATGATTTTGAAATTCTAATGTAATTCATTGTAGACATCACATACCGGTGTACTCCTTGCATTCCTGATACAATGAATGTAGTACCGTTCAAAATCTTTCAAGGGATAGAAAAGCCTGTAGCCTTGTCCTCTGTTTCACTCATTGAACAGCAGCCGTTATCTCTAGTGTCAACTAGATGCAGAGGATCCTATTGTGAGCACCATCCATCACTCAACCAATGGAAGGACAGGTTATTTAGCAATATGATGTCATGACAACTTCCTGTCCCCAGAGCACATCTCCCTTCTGGGTAAAACGAGAGGCCAGGCAGGGGTGGTTTGAGTGAGGGCTGAAATTATCCCTTGTTTGTGGTCATACATAGGTGACTTAAACACTGCTGGCTTTGGGAAGTACAAATGTGGTAAGAGAAAGACATAGTATGTTTCGTGGTCAGAAGTGACTGGAAAACAAAGGCTGCTGGGTAGATTAACAGAAACCAATGTTTAATTGGGAATGAGAGTAGGAGACACATGAAAAAGAGCAGCCAGAATCAGAGAGAGGAGTCTCACAGGGACTCTGGGGTGACTTTCACTGGAACAATGTGGGCGATATACTGGCAGCACATTTCAAACAACCAGCACCGCGGACGGATGGCTTTTCAATCCTATCCTCTTTTTGCAGGTGCTGGCAAAATCCTGATTTGACACCAGTATTACTGTGATCCCCTCTCTTCACAGGCTTTTAATACGTTGTGACAGCAGCCAGATCATACTGTAGGCCTATCAAATCGGCCTTCACTCAACTTACCATTTACACTAAAATGAGTTGTATAACAGCTTTATCAGGTTTTCCGTCATTGTAAAAGGAACAGAAATAGCCTTGCCTGTTAGAGAAATTATAGTAATTGAAGAAGAACTGTAAGGTAACCCTGAGCAAGACTGGGATGTGTGGGAGTAAGCTCCTACATATGTTTTAATTTGGTGGGAAAATAGGAGAAAGGTAAAGTACTCTAGTAACGATGGCTGATAGAGCACTGAGTTGCAACTAAAAGTACAAATATAACTCACTGCCTTCACACGACTGAATATAGAATGTACTCAAAAGCCTCACAACAGGAACTAATGCATTTGCTTTCCTGCAGCCAAGCCTGCTTGAGCTTAACTGTAGGGGCCCAGAGTCACTGACGTAGTAACCAACCAGCAGTACGGGTCAGGTGGTAGTGCCTCTCTGCTCTTGCTGAACCTCTCAGCTAGACACAGTTCCCCACTGGTCACGGTATTGCAAACAACATTACAGACACTAAATGCATGTGGATGTATATTTGGAGAACAGAAAGGAATGTAAGTGAAGTTATCATTTTCTAAGGTTTGAAACATGGTACCTGATTGCCATGCAAGTCCAGAACATCTAGTTTAGTCAGGTTATCCAGACTGCATATCCTCTGGATTCTGAAAAACATTAAACAGACAGTAATATTAACATCACCCTGTCTGGTATTCTATACAAGATATCTCTCCTATAACACAATGTTTCTATGACAAAGAGCTGGTATCCCTTCTGCTAACTGAATGGTTACCAGGCACAGGAAATGGGATTGTCAAAGACCGGTCGTCATTTATTTTCTACTGATGGGAAGTTGACTGTTTTCCACTGTCCTGTCGTCCAGGATTGTCTATACAGACCAAACAGTAACTTAGGGAAGTTAGGTTACAGTCCCTTGGAAATTGTATCAGAAACCTAAATCTGTGGCATGCTTTGCTTGAAAGGTACCGCGGACTATTCTGAAAGTGGGTTCTAAAAAGACAAATGTCATGTTTTACAGACTCTGGGACAAAACCAGACCTCAGCGATGGGATCCCAGTGGCAGTTGCCATGATTTGTGACTTTAATCTTCCTCCCTCCTGACCTTTAGTTTTAAAGTCAGGTGATGTTAGATGTAAGATTCACAAAGAGAGCAGTGGTATGGTTTTGTACTGAAATTGGGCACCTGCAGGAAAGTACTTTTCAATGGAGGTTGATATATAGGCTAGCTGTGATGTGGCAGTCATACAGTATCACTTAATTCAAAAAGCAGGATGTGCATATCCCTATGGTAACATCTTTCTAAATGTAAAGAAAAATCCCACAAAAAAATGACAGCATAAAAAGTTTGTCATCTGTCCTTGAAATCATGCACTGTAAAAGCACTGAAATGAGTGGGAGCTCCTATCCTATTGTTCAGTTTGTATGCTTGAGAGACGTAACACAAACCTGTTCTTGCCCAGCATAAGCACTCTGAGAGAGGCCAGGGCTGAGATGCCAGACATCTCAGAGATGCGGTTGTCATACAGGTCTAGGAAGGCCAGGTGCCGCAGATGAGACAGATTGTGGATGTGCGTGATGAGGTTGTGCTGAAAGTTGAGCAGCCGCAGCCTACCCATGCCCTCCAGCAGGGGACACTCCTCCAGACCACGCCTGACCCACAAAACACAAAAGCATTGTCAACAACACCACTGTGAGAGGATGACCCTGTATTATCTTGTTATGATGCAGAGGAGAGGGGGCGCACAGTTAAAAAGGTACAAGCCACCTGATACCACGCTGTCTGCCTTCCAACACTGGCACGCAGGGTTCAGGAGATCTCATTATTCTAAGTGGATCAGGCTATGGATATGGTTTATTGTTGACTAGCCTTTGCCGAATCCCCAACAAACGGATGTTCCGGTTTTCAGGGGAAATGGAAAGAGAGCCTGTGACGGGACTTCCGCTTTTGGACATTAACAAGGCCATGTTAAGTTGCCAAACGTTCTCGAACGTTGCAGATAGAAATGCCATGAATAGAGCCGATGTGATTCCTTATTCTACATATCAGAGATGCAAGTTTGATCTACATAGCCTATTTCTATCTGAATGTTCCAAAACGTTAAATCCTGCTGAACGTGCCCGGCAACACTCCATCTTAACTCCTCATCCAAATGTACTGGATTGCTTGAACACTGTAGAAGAGAACTTCCCCCGTAAAAAAATTAAATGTATCATCAAGACCAGTATGTAGAGGATCTAGTTTCAGGCGTTTCTTTTACGCCTGCAAAGTTGACATGCACTGTCAGAGGGCAGGATAATCTTTACGAGGACTTTGCTGCACCCTACTGGTGAATCCAAGCAATTACAAACTTGGCATTCCATTGCATGACAGTGTATTTAGAAGCTCAACATGGACCACTGAACAAACAAAGCCATGAGTGTTTTAGCCTACCTGTCCAAATCTAGTCGCTCAGGACTCAAAGCGCAGTCATCACGGGAATGAAAGGCAATTGGAAAACCAGAGGGAGAATTCTCACTCAATGATATGGCATCACCTGGTCCTGTTACAAAGACACATTTGTTCAGAAAAGCATTTTTCATAGTAATCAGGTTTTACATGTCCAGAAATGTTTTAGTTGAGCACAGAGCAGAATGTTCCATTAGACTGCGTTTGATCCATGAAAAAAAGAGAGGGGGAGGATCCTGAGCGCAGCCACTCACCAGTTGGCAGGGTGAGGGGTGAGGTACTGTGGGAGTAGATGGCCCCTGCACTGTGGGTTGCTCTCCTAGGCTTCACTTTGTGTGGCTGTGGCTCCAGGTCACTAGTCAGCCCACTGGGTAGAGCAGCAGCAGGGGGTAAGAGGGGACGCTCAGGGCCCATAAACTCACTGACAAACGCCAGCGCAGGGGTGTGGAGAGGCCTGCCGCCGCCACTGTGTGCATTAAGCCTGCTGTCTGGAGAGAAAAGTCAATGGTGAGACAGAGAAGACGGGGACAGGTAAGAGACTGTCACAGTGTCTTGTAACTTAGTCAGGTAGTTGTACCTTGTCTTGGTGGATTCATTTTCATGGTGTCCATGTTTATCTCTTTTGTAAAGTCTTTAGACCATCGGACGTCCTGCTGTCAAATAAAACATTTAATGAATTAGCAATATATAAATTATGATAATTAAAGGGTCCTCAAGACATAATGTCATGCATTGTCTCATTAAAATAGTATAATTTGGGGAATGGGGACATGAGTATAAATACAACTCTCTCAGACTGCTTCCTCTGTGGATCTCTCTACAAAGGCAAACTCACTGGTCTCTGAACATTTCTCTCTGGTCTTTGAGAGTTCACTGCTGTAAAGTGCAGTTTATAGCTGTTGACCTGTGGGGAATGACAGAAAACGATGAGGCAACTTAAGAATGGCAATTGTAACAATAGGGGGACAACAACAGCAAAGCCAAGACCACTTGATAATGTTCATGCATTTGTGGAGCAACAACATGCAACCCTGCCACTGTAGCTAGATTGATAGCAATATTGTTCAGTTATGTGACTGTTACAGAGTTGCATTAGCTTTCTGGATAAGCTAGCTAGCATGCTAACTCTTGCCTAATAAAGACAGAGAGGAAGTAAAGATGATTTATTGTGGACACATCGTTCTTACCGTGGGAGAAAGACACCTTCCTGTAATGGCTGTATTGTTGTTGGTCTGTTGTTTTTGCGGCCGCATTTTTGATAGGGTTACAACGTTGCTATCCAGTCAGCTTGCTAAAATGTGGCTAACTAACAAGTTTTGTTTGGTTGTTTAACGTCAATGTTTAGTTTTTTTAAATGTATTGTTGTGAACTGATGCTACAATGTAAAAATGGCTCATCATGACACTGACATAGCACTCACTTCCCTGGCAACGCCCATCGTTTCTATGGAAACGACAACACTTCTACCTTGGTTGTACCACATCCTGTCTCAATATAAGAAATTCCGCCAACAACCCTAAAAATTAAAGGTTCCGCTTGTAGAATAACCGGTAGAATATGAAATGAAATATAATAGAATGGAATAGATCATTATTGTTAATTTGGTTAGGACAGAAAATCCAACTTCTGCCTAATCGACTTGTTAGATGTCTTCTACTCTGCATTCCACTATGCTGTTATCCCCTGAGCTAAAGCCTCGGTATTAGGTTACCTGTTATCAAGTCTCAGGCAAGGTTATCACCTTCTCTGCAATGACCCCAGTTTATAGGCATCACTGACCAAATCTGGGTCACACCACCAATTTGACAAGACTGTGTTAGCCTGTTGAGCTAAACCCTAGGTCTCCGGTTTCAGGTGCATATTCATTTGCATAAGCAATACAAGTAAGAAAGTAATAAAAGGACAGATTTCCCAGAATATTTTCTGCCTTCACACTTCTTTCAGAGCCATGTCCTCTCACACTATTATTGATGCATTCATAAACACTTTTTTAAAGAAAAAAACTCTCCACCGGTGACCCGCTCAGTGTTATAAAGCTTTGGTTACACTGTCTCTCAGCTGGAAAGGATAAGTGCTAGGAAAGGACTTTCACTCAGACTCATCAAAGTGACATCCCACACACATGCTCATCACAAGGATAATCTATTCATAAAGCTGACACATTTGTGGGAGATGATGTTGTAATCTTATGTGACAAGCAGATAATGGAATGCTCTATATAAATAACAGTTCTTCCACAATTGACCCAGCTACTTCTGTTGTGACACAATGTCCATTTTGTAATAATTTATTTACCACATACACCAAAAATAATGGTCAGTATACTTCAGCGATAATTGTCCCACATCAAAGCTCATAATTATGGTTCTGCAGTCAACCACTTATGCAGGCATTTTATAATATAATATAATTTTATAAGGGCATGATGAAGTGGATTGTATGAATGTGATATATATCTCACAATTGCCAATAAAAACATGCAGCTGCAGCTAAGACACAGGGATCAATGTAATTTGTCTGTCGTTATGTGTTATGCATGAGGACTTGGCCAGTCAGAGCTCTCTGGGGTACAGCGGTCTATAAATATCTTGTCTGACTCAGAATGAGGGAGTGATGTGGAGCAGAAGTAAAATGCTGCACTCATCTGTAAATCAAAAAACATAAGATCTAGCTGCCTTTTGTGAGTACCAGAATCCTGTATATGACAAAAGAAAGAAACATTGTATTTTTTGTTGACTATAACACTAAGCAAACACTTCAATATCAGTAGTGGATTATATACTGTAGGCTATAGAACAGGGCATTTACAGACTGCGAACAATTGAGATTTTCTGTCAAAGAAAGGTGGTGGATAGTAGCCCCACAGAGTCAGTTTGTTCCACATACATTAATAGCTGATGTAAATGCGTGCATGGATGAGAAACACACCTTCTGACAGTCACCTAGGACAGACTCACAAAGGATTCTTCTATGATCACCAGGGCATGTATATTTACTAAGACCTGCATGCATATGTTCCTTCAACTTTACTCCAAAGTGTCTTTCATTCAAGGCAGGATTGCCCGATCGTGAGTCAGATGATTTTGTGAAAGATTGCATGACATTCACAAGCTCAAAAAGCAAAATGTTTCACAATGTTCCTAAGAATCTCATGATTACTGATTTATATACTTCCTTTCAAATTCTTCACAATTGGGACACATGAAAAACACATATCAGATATAACTAAAGTGTAGATGGTAAATGAAACCTAGTAAAGACAGAATAAGAAATCAAATGTTCAGCTTTCTCTATCCAGATGTACATTTAAAATAAATCAACACATGTTTGTAGTGACGATAAGGATTACAAATTAACACCCTTGTTGTTGAATGTTAAGTGCAGGTGAATAGTGGTCACAATTGCATTCAGTCTGGACAAAGAGGAAATACCAGCTCTGCTCTGATCAAGAGAGGGGAGCTCATTTTAACTCAGCTCAGTTTATGGCAATCAATTTACTCCTGCCAAAGGTGTCCCAAATGGCAGCCTATTCCCTACGGGCCCTGGTCAATTGTAGTGCACTTTAAAGGGAATATGGTGCCATTTGGGGTGTAACCCAGGTCTCTATTGGGGCTGTTTCCTGCTGCAGACACCTGACAGATAAGCTGTTGATGGGGGTGGTTGGAACATCTTGCTGCAGGGCCATTATCTGATTGATGTTTGCTCCTGGCTTGTGGCACTGGGAGGTATGGCACAGTCACTGTGGCTGCTGCAGCAGGACATGTGGTTCAGAGGATGAGTCAGTCCACCAGCTGTACAACTCTTGCCAACAGGGTGGAGAAAACATCAAGTCATCTCAGCAACTGTATTAGCAATGGTGTAGCGGTTGTGGTGTGGGTGATTATTTACGAGTCAATTAAAAACAGTCAGCTAGTCATAAGTGCACTAAAGGTTTGGGCCAATGGGGTGTAGGCTTGGAGATAACAGACCATGAATTGGATAATTGCCAGTGCCAAATCCTGACATCTTCAAATCTATGTTTATAATTTTGTTGCAATGGGCTATTGTATTATAGGCCTACACATCCTCTCATAGTAAAAGCCACTGCTGACAGTAATGCCTCATGACACTGTATACACTGGTGTCATTTATTTGTGTCCTTCCCCATAGCAAATCTCTCAACAACCCCTTCGTCTAATGCTAAAAGCCTATTATCCAATTTGCGCGTTCTGAGAAATGGGTCGGCCTTCATGATTGGTGTATTGCAATTTCCCCAATTGCAGGACAGCACGTGGAATGTACACTTGTACTTCCCCCTATTTAGGACACGTGTGAAATAGCAGCCATTTCTTACTAGAAATAGTGACAAAGGGAAAAATACACAAAAATGCAAGCATTGGTAAACGCATTTATCCGTTGTCTCTATTTTCTCCTCCCTCCCTCTTGGCTTCAGCTTGGGTTTTGCTGGTGGGTTGGGGATGAGTGCGGAAAGATGACATGGCCCAATCCCAGAGCTCGTTTCAAAAGCAGAAAGCCTCTTACAAATCAGGAAGTAACAACACAAGACGGCTCCATCCCCTCGGTCTCCCCAGCTTCTAGTTGCGTCTCGCTAGCTGCTAGCTCCACGCCACCCCAGGGTTCTTCGTGGGGTAGAATTTGGGGGCTCTGGCCAGCTGTGGAGCGCATCTTTGGGGCTTCCTTGGCCATCCACCGGCGTGGGTGTCAAAAGCGTCGAGGTGTATTTGCCCCATATCCTGCCGACTTCAATTGTTGTAGTACAAGGAATAAAGGCTTCCAGGAAAGCACTACCACTGGTGTAGCCGAGGAGGAAGTGAACGAACCGGGAGAAAACACATTTATTTCGGGTAAAATGACGAGTGCCACCATGGAGTTTCAGAAACATATCGAATCTGTATCAGGTTCGTCGGCGGGACGGGAAATCGATGAGGTGATAATTGTGGATCAACACCTGCAAGAGATGGGGACTCAAGTGACGATAACAGTGGCTATTCAGGCGGCAGACGACGAGGAACCAGAGGAGGAGGTGTCCTCAAACAATCTCGATTTCCTCGGAGGCAGCTGTAGTGAAGACGAATTTGGAAGACATGATAAATCCAGGTAAATGCATTGTCTTGTAATGGCATGTCTGCCAGTTGTATCCTCCTTTTAACATTATCTGATTGTTTTTTTGAAATAAACCTGTAGGCTAAAATACTGCAATACTTTTTTTGTTTTTGTTTGGTGTGTTATTTTAATGTGAACTTTAATTCCACAGTGAAGGGCTATGGTAATTGCCAGACAGCTTCTAACCACCTGTAGACGGGCATTGTAAGCCCATTGACGTATAAGACAGATAAGCCGATTTGGATGGCACCTTGACACTCATTGCTCTAATTCCCTTGCGTCAACCCATGCTATTGCAACCTGGACTCGGGGGTAGACCTAACATAGTAAACGTAAATCTGGGACACCCCAATTAGTATGATGTGTTACGTTTTGTATGGTATGTATTAATTTCTGGATGTTCATCATCCATTTCTTATGATGTGTTAGGAATTACAATTTGTACAATATGTTACTAATTTGCAAAATGTGTGACGTTACGAATTCCACTTTTATATACAGTGATGGGGAAAAAAGTATTTGATCCCCTGCTGATTTTGTACGTTTGCCCACTGACAAAGAAATGATCAGTCTATAATCTTAATGGTATATTTATTTGAACAGTGAGAGACAGAATAACAACACAAAAATCCAGAAATACAAATGTCAAAAATGTTATAAATTGATTTGCATTTTAATGAGGGAAATAAGTATTTGACCCCCTCTCAATCAGAAAGATTTCTGGCTCCCAGGGGTCTTTTTATACAGGTAACGAGCTGAGATTAGGAGCACACTCTTAAAGGGAGTGCTCCTAATCTCAGCTTGTTACCTGTATAAAAGACACCTGTCCACAGAAGCAATCAATCAATCAGATTCCAAACTCTCCACCATGGCCAAGACCAAAGAGCTCTCCACGGATGTCAGGGACAAGATTGTAGACCTACACAAGGCTGGAATGGGCTACAAGACCAAGCAGCTTGGTGAGAAGATGACAACAGTTGGTGCGATTTATTCGCAAATGGAAGAAAAACAAAAGACCTGTCAATCTCCCTCGGTATGGGGCTCCATGCAAGATCTCACCTCGTGGAGTTGCAATGATCATGAGAACGGTGAGGAATCATCCCAGAACTACACGGGAGGATCTTGTCAATGCTCAAGGCAGCTGGGACCATAGTCACCAAGAAAACAATTGGGAACACACTACGCCGTGAAGGACTGAAATCCTGCAGCGCCCGCAAGGTCCCCCTGCTCAAGAAAGCACATATACAGGCCCGTCTGAAGTTTGCCAATGAACATCTGAATGATACAGAGGAGAACTGGTTGAAAGTGTTGTCAAATGAGACCAAAATCGAGCTCTTTGGCATCACCTCAACTCACCGTGTTTGGAGGAGGAGGAATGCTGCCTATGACCCCAAGAACACCATCCCCACCGTCAAACATGGAGGTGGAAACATTATGCTTTGGGGGTGTTTTTCTGCTAAGGGGACAGGACAACTTCACGGCATCAAAAGAGACGATGGACGGGGCCATGTACCGTCAAATCTTGGGTGAGAACCTCCTTCCCTCAGCCAGGGCATTGGAAATGGGTCGTGGATGGGTATTCCAGCATGACAATGACCCAAAACACACGGCCAAGGGAACAAAGGAGTGGCTCAAGAAGAAGCACATTAAGGTCCTGGAGTGGCCTAGCCAGTCTCCAGACCTTAATCCCATAGAAAATCTGTGGAGGGAGCTGAAGGTTCGAGTTGCCAAACGTCAGCCTCGAAACCTTAATGACTTGGAAAAGATCTGCAAAGAGGAGTGGGACAAAATTCCTCCTGAGATGTGTGCAAACCTGGTGGCCAAGTACAAGAAACGTCTGACCTCTGTGATTGCCAACAAGGGTTTTGCCACCAAGTACTAAGTAATGTTTTGCAGAGGGGTCAAATACTTATTTCCCTCATTAAAATGCAAATCAATTTATAACATTTTTGACATGCGTTTTTCTGGATTTTTTTGTTATTCGGTGTCTCACTGTTCAAATAAACCTACCATTAAAATTATAGAATGATAATGTCTTTGTCAGTGGGCAAACGTACAAAATCAGCAGGGGATCAAATACTTTTTTCCCTCACTGTACATTTCTTTCCACTTTGTTGTGGCTAACATTAGCTAGGTTAGGTTAGTTAAAGTTAGGAGTTAGGTTAAAGCAGTGGATCCCAACTCCAGTCCTCTAGTACCCCCAACAGCACACATTTGTGTTGTAGCCCCTGACATAAAACCCCTGAATTAACTAATTGAGGGCCTGATGATTAATGACAAGTAGAATCAGGTCTGCTTGTCCTGGGGCTACAATACAAATGTGTACTGTTGGGGGTACTCAAGGACTGGAGTTGGGGAACCACTGGGTTAAAGGGTTAGGGAAAGGGTTTGCTAACATGCAAAGTAGCTAAACAGTAGTAAGTAGTTGCTGAAGTTGTCCTTGATGAAATTCTAACACACAACCTTTGGGTTGCTAGAGATTCGCCTTAACTAACATTCTGTCTTAACCATACAAAATGAAACATATCGTACTAATTTCAGGGTTTGGTTTTACATTTACTATGTTACGTCTAGTCTGAGACCAGGCTGGCTATTTTTGCCCTTGTAAATTCCTGTGACCCAGTGCTAATGTATAGGAAATGTGGTTAGTATGTTTCATTCAGGTAGTCTGAAATAGTACATTCATATTCTTAACCAGGTCTACCAATGCATCATAGTCTGTCTTGCAGAGGCATGTTCTTCACTTGCAACAATGTTGCACTTGTTTGGGGGCATGGAACATTTTTGTTTTTCACAGGATACCTTTAACCAGTGAACTACTCGTTAATACTCCTTGACCAGCTTATTATTCTGGCAGGAGAGAATCTGAGTATGACTCGGTCTACAATAATTGGTCCCTTTACAGTGGTGTTGTGTGGGAGGGGTTGACTCCATTTATTTTTTGTTGTCGAAGGGCTTCCCCTGACTTGAACACAGTGGGTTGGATGCTGCAATCATTACATTGTCTGTTCTGTCTGGGGTGTTCGACCAGTGTCTTGCCTAGCCTGCGGGATGGGATCGCTGTGTGAGGAGGCTGGAGGAGGATGACTCATCCACACAGTGATGTCATTCAGACCTTCACTCTGATCGCAGCAGCCAATGCCGGCCCGGCATACCTGTGCACATTTTAAAGCCCTCTGTCAATAGAACTTTGATTAAACCTTTGTTCTGGTGTGGCAGGCAGTAAATGACTGATTTTGAAGTCTGGCTGATATGGTAAATAGCCCTGTCCCTGTGTGGGAGGCGTGGTGTGTGGAGATCAGTGACTCTGCACTCTTCAGATGGAGAGGTCTTAGCGATTTCTGTTCATGTTGGCGGGACACCCGGTGGTGTTGAGGTTCTGGCAGAGAGCAGTGTGACGGTCACATCGTGGTTCGGCAGCCTGTCACTACTGTCACAGGAAGAATCTGAAAATGAAATCTGAGGAGGAAAGAGTCAAGATGGCAGATCTCCAGCAGCTCTTTTCAGCATGTTGCTATGGGTAATGGCTGAGGCTGTTCTGATCAGTTCTCCTGCCAAATCGTTTAAGCTCCTGCCTTGTGGCTCTGTGAACTGGCATGTTATCCGTTTTCTCTTTCTCAGTGGTGCTGGCACGAGTGGTGGGGAACTGGAGGAGGAGAGCTGGCAGCCCCCAGACCCAGAGCTGACCCAGAAGCTGGTGGCCCAGATCGAGTACTACCTGTCGGATGAGAACCTGGAGCACGATGCCTTCCTGCTCAAACACGTCCGACGCAACAAGCTGGGCTTCGTCAGTGTCAAACTGCTCACCTCCTTTAAGAAGGTAATGTTTGATCTCCTGCTGACAGTTTGGTTTCTTGATATTGAAATTGGAATAGCAATTGAATTCCCTGGGGGCTCATGGGGATTTAATATAACTGAATGCAACAGCTGTTCCTAGTGTCAGTATGGCAAGCCGTTGGGGCTAGGAAGTGCATTCTCACATGGGTTGGAAGCGGGAGCAGCTGGTGTGACTGAGGCTCATACATACTCATTGATTTTACCCGTTTCCTTTTTGTTTACACTTCCAAGAATAAGATCAGTTTTTCTCCTCTACTGGTTTAATGTCCAATGTTCACAGCTGGATGAATACTGTGAATGTTTATTTTGTTTCTAGGAGGCGCTAACAATAACAGCAATATTTGTTGCTTTATTTACAAACAGAAATGTGGGAATTTTAAGAACTGTGAAACAACACTTCTGTAGTAGCCAGTAACTTGATTTGCCTTTTGACAGCTGTTGCTTACATATAAATAATCTAATTCTAGATCTGTGGCTGCTTATACGTTATACTGCCATCAGAACAATTGCTTTTTAGTTTTCAGGATGTATGATAAAAAATAGGAAGTTCTAACATACAGGATGCTGCCTGTAAACAAAGTACTGACTTTCACTTCCGATTATCTCTAACACAAAGTTATTTTCCTCCCAGGTGAAGCACTTGACGCGAGACTGGAGAACAACTGCATATGCTCTGCGCCACTCGACAATACTTGAGCTAAACGATGAGGGGCGCAAAGTGCGTCGCAGATCAACAGTGCCCGTGTTTGCCAGCGAGTCTCTGCCGAGCCGCATGCTACTCCTCAGCGAGCTGCAGAGCTGGCCAGAGCTGGGCGTGGCGATGGAGTGTGGGGCTGGCGATGGGAGCGAGGGCGGAGCTACCCAACAGGAACAACTGATGAAGCTGCTGCTGAAAGCGTTTGGAACATATGGCGCCATCGCCTCTGTGAGGGTGCTGAAGCCTGGCAAGGACCTGCCAGCCGATCTGAAGAAGCTGAGTGGCCGCTACACACAGCTGGGCACTGAGGAGTGTGCCATAGTGGAGTATGAGGAGGTGGAGGCTGCGGTCAAAGCCAATGAGGCTGTGGGCAGCGAGGAGGGGACAGGGTCTCTGGGGTTGAAAGTGGTTCTGATCGGCACCAAGCCTCCCAAGAAGAAGGTGCCCAAAGGTCAGCGTGAGGAGGGAGTAGGAGGGATGAGGAAGAGCCACTCACTCAACAGCCGGGTACGGGAGCTTCAGTATCACGAAGACTCTGCCTGTAGCTCCTCAGAGACTGAGAGCAACCCCACCTCCCCCAGACTGGCCCGCAAATCCCGCTCTGTCAATAAGCTAAGTCCCACTGGAGGGGGTGCCACCTTCCAGAACAATCACCTGAGCCCAGCTGTGTCCCCACGCACCAGCCCCTGGTCCAGTCCCCGGGCCAGCCCTTGCTCCCAACGCAAGTCTCCCCACTCCCATAAGTCTCCTTTGGCCAGTGAGGGCAGACTGAGCCCTGAGGCTGGGCGACGTTGGGCGGACTACTCCTCAGACAGCAGCCTGACGCCGTCCGGTAGCCCCTGGGTCCAGAGGCGCAGGCAGGTGGCCTCCCAGGAGAGCAGCCCAGTAGGGAGTCCCATGCTGGGTCGAAAGATCCAGGGCGCAGACGGGCTTCCGCCGGGCGTGATGAGGCTACCGCGTGGGCCTGATGGAACACGTGGTTTTCACTGTGGTGTGTCCATTGGTGTTGCTGAGAGGGGAGAGAAGACTGCTTCTACCCAAACTTGACACTTGTACCCCCTATGCCCCCAGTTCTAAAGCGGTACACTGAGTACAGCGATGAGATTTCACCCAGTCCTTTGGCCACTACATTGACATTCTTCATCCCCCGCCCCACATTTCAATGATCGTAGATTTGTTCTGTGTTATAGTAGTTTGGAGTTTTGCCAGTCTTTGTTATACTTTTATACAATATTTGGTTTAAAAACATGGTGACGCCTAATTTATGAATATTTAAGCTACATTTTGAGTTTTGAAGAAATTCAAAGTTGAGTACTGTATTTCAGACACCAGAGTAATGGTATTTGTCACCTCCATTGCTATCTGAGGTGTTGTGCATGGGGCAGGGTGGAGATTTTTTTATTGGAAAGTGTCCTCAGTCTTGAAGTATGTGTGTGAAATCTCATAACATTTTGTCTGTGGATTGTGTGAACAGTGGTATGGGCCAATGGAGTTGATATCGCCATATGCCTTTTGTTATATTTGTCTATTGTGAGTATCAATGTTATTTGCTCCTTAAACTGTGGCCATATTTCCCAGCCATAAGGTTGAACAGTTATCACATGGACTACTTTTTTATTTTGCCTTTTAAATTTAATTATTTTTCCTGTATGCCAAACTTAAGCTTCCAAAGTAGGGGTTACACTCCTAGCTCTGTAAAAATGAAAAATACTGGATTGGGGGGGGGGGCCCTCCTTGGCTGGAATCTGTTTATCAGTGTGTAGCCTCTACCGAGTCCCCAACAACCGGATGTTCCAGCTTTCAGGGGAAATGGAAAGAATGCCTGTGACACGACTTCTACTTTTGGACGTTAACAAGACGACACTCCATCTTAAATCCTCCACATTTACTGGATTGGTTGAACAGTGCAGAAGAGAACCTCCCCTGACACTTGTTTATTTTTCTCGTCAAGACCAGTATGTAGGGGATCTGGTTTCAGGCGTTGCTTTTACGCCTGCTATGTTGGGTTAATCAGTGTGTAGTGGGGTATATGAGGTTTGAGTGTGCAAAATGTAGATGCGCTTGAACTCTTGCTTTGACATCTGAGCTGGGGTAACGTACAGGGCACTTTCTTTATTGTACAAAATAAATCACTAAAATTGCATTTCGCTTGTGGCAACATTTTCATTTACATTTGATTAGGAACACATCGGCCGACTGGGATTAATGCCCATTCCTAACAAGGTCAAGTGTTTCTTTTAGTTTAGACGATTGTGCAAGATTTAAATTAATATCCTATCAATACCCTAATCACATGTACAAGACTGACAGAATTGGCTACATTCCACAATGAGCCACCATTATCACGAGATTGATGGCACAGATGGGAAGCGCATGAGCTGTAAGAAAGCGTGGATGTTACAGTATCAATACCAGCCTTCTCTGCAAAATTGGGTAAAAACTGTACAGATTGCAGTCGGATTTGATAACACAAGCTATTATTCAGGTCTATTACATAGCTGGATCTAATTGGTATTACTGTGAAATATTGCTTTCAAATGTTCCTTAGCAACCATAAAGGTCTGAAGCAAATACAGTATCTCATGCTGAAATGCTATGAAATCATCAAAATGTGTGATATAGCTTTATCTGGATACAGATACTACATTTACCAACTTACTAATTACTGTATGACCACATTATGAAGACTATTGGAAGTCGGAACTACTGAACAAAAATATAAACGCAACAATTGCAAGGATTTTACTGAGTTACAGTTCATATAAGAAAATCAGTCAATTGAAATAAATTCATTAGGCCCTAATGCATGGATTTCACATGACTGGGAATACAGATATGAATATGTTTGTCACAGATACCTACTTGTTTTTTAAGGTATCTAAAAAAACAAGTAGGGGCATGGATCAGAAAACCAGTCAGTATCTGGTGTGACCACCATTTGCCTCATGCAGTGCGACACATCTCCTTCGCATAGAGTTGATTGTGGCCTGTGGAATATTGTCCCAATCTTCTTCAATGGCTGCGCAAAATTGCAGGAACTTGAACACACTGTCGTACACGTCGATCCAGAGCATCCCAAACATGCTCAATGGGTGACATGTCTGGTGAGTATGCAGGCCATGGAAAAATTGGGACATTTTCAGCTTCCAGGAATTGTGTACCTCCCAGACACCTAAACCCTTCAATGGATTCTTCCAGGTTAATTCTGAAATCCATCTATATAACACAATAACCTTCACCCTCCCCACTGCTGCACCTCACATAGTCAATTCTCTATCAGATAAAGAGGTACCATACTCTGAAATTCTTAACTTCACATTGCCAAAACAACATCATCCCTCAAAAACTTCAAGTGAAGACTGGGGGTCAGCCTGATGACCAAACTACCCAATAATCCCTTCCATGTAGCCTAACTCTCACACACATAATCACACGTTTTTTTTATTGTTTACTGAGTATATTATGTACAATTATAATATGCTTTTTTAACTGATTGAACAAACTTTTTTTTGTACTTATATTTGTGGTTTGGTTTTCATATAAGCCCTTTTGGGCTTTTAACCTCACCTGCACACCATTTTTACCAGTTTCTTTATCTGTACTGTTTTGTCTTTCACTTTTCTTTGGTGTGAATAAATAAAACCTCAAACCTACAGATCCTTGCGACATGGGGCCGTGCATTATCATGCTGAAACATGAGGTGATGGCGGCGGATTAATGGCACGACAATGGGCCTCAGGATCTCTTCACGGTATCTCTGCATTCAAATTGCCATCGATAAAATGCAATTGTGATGTCTGTTGCTTATGTCTGCCCATACCATAACCCCACCGCCACCATGGGGCACTCTGTTCACAACGTTGACATCAGTAAACTGCTGGCCCACACAACACTATACATGTGGTCTGCGGTTGTGAGGCCGATTGGACGTACATCCAAATTCTCTAAAATGATGTTGGAGGAGGCTTATGGTAGAGAAATGAACATTAAATTCTCTGGCAACAGCTCTGGTGGACATTCCTGCAGTCAGCATGCCAATTGCATGCTCCTTGAAAACTTGAGACGTCTGTGGCATTGTGTTGTGTCACAAAACTGCACATTTTAGAGTGGCCTTTTATTGTCCCCAGCACAAGGTTCACCTGTGTAATGATCATGCTGTTTAAGCAGCTTCTTGATATGCCACACCTGTCAGGTGGATTAATTATCTTGGCAAATGAGAAATGCTCACTAACAGGGATGTAAACCAATGTGTGCACAACATTTGAGAGAAATCAGCTTTTTGTGCTTATGGAAAATTTCTGGGATATTGTATTTCAGCTCATGAAACATGTGAATAACACTTTACATGCTGTTGGTGGGAGATCCAGTGAAATGATGCCAAACTAATTGTTTCTTGCATAAGACAGGAATGAATTAATGATCTTTTGTCCTCATCACTCATGATGAGCAATTCTAAACTAATCATAGGGTAATTCACCACAATGGAAGTTGTGTTCTGATTCACCTAGGATTGTTAACTCTCGATGGGTTTGAACATGCAAATGACTGTCCCATTTCTTAGAGAATTCACGTGCTCATAGGAGTAATCATATTCACAATATGTTTCCATAAATGTCAATTAACCCAGTGACCGCTTTCATTTAATTAAATAATTACCCTGTTGTGTTGTGTTCAGCACTGGTTGTCTAGTATAGCATCCATGATTCATATCATCGATTGGACAGTATTTTGGAAATGACTAGGTGATATGGTGGTTCTATTTCTGTTGTATTTTGAGTTGCTACTCGTTGAGATAAACGTCAGCCTCAACTGAGAACAAGTGTTTGATTATAAAATAAATAACATACCCCAATATGAAACTTAATTTCTTATAGGTTGTCTTCATGCTCAGTGAGACAGGTGGCATAATGAGGATGACTGGTATTTATTATTCTAACTGGGTAGCCTTACCAGACAAAATGTAGAGGTGGCTCCCAGTCGATTCTGTTCAATCGTTTGTGAGCCAAACACTTCTATTCTGTTGGAGGTACAGTACAGTAGGTGATGTGGGAGTGAGGAACTGGGGATGGGGAGCGTATACACATTTACTTCTGATTCTACTGCAGATCAGCCAATGAGAAAGCGCTAACACATGCTAGCAATGCTAGGACCAATGCAGGAGATACTGTATGTATATAAATTACATAACCATTAGTCAGTGAGATGTTGAATTACAGGAGTGCGCTTCTCTCTTTCTTTAGGCCTGTACTTCTGTATGCAAAGGCACTGCCTCAAAGAAGTGGCACAGTATTGTTACAATGAGGCAGGGCATTTAATGAAAAAGCACAGGCATCTGTGAAAGAATGTAGAGGTGAATTCTAGGTCACTCATGGAAATAACAGACCAGATGATTTTGTTTATTCAAGTAAGCTTATTTTGATCTCAAAATGTATGGGTATAATACTAGACAATACTAACAGCAAACAGAAGACAATAACAAGGCAAAGCTCAACATTTCACAAGTTTAATATTTACATCATTTTTTAAAACATCTTTGTCATTACAGTGTTCCAACAGAAAAACAAAAAAATCATACCTCCAGAACATGAACACATTTTCAGCAGAAGTATAGGTTACCAGTTTGTGCAGCACACTTACTCAAGCTCTGGATATGGGAAGTTACATATCGTAACCATTAGGGTTGGACGATTAGCCATGAACAATAACGTAATGGAAGCTATATGAAGGAACAAAAAAAATCCTGTTGTACAAGTTCTTTGAAAACAAGTGCTAAAAACCTTCTGAACCAGTTAGTGACCTAGTTTAAGCCTGCACAGCTTTACGAGAACAGCTTTTTTTCTCTCGTGTGTTTTGGAAATGCAGAGCTGTAGTGCAATGCCATGTAATGCTGAAATCTGACATGCATATTGGTGCACATATTTGGTTGGTGGCGCCTTATTTGGGGAGGACGGGCTCATGGTAATTGGTGGAGTGGAATAGTATCAAATACATCAAACACATGGTTTCTATGTGTTTGATGCCATTCAATTCGCTCCGTTCCAGCCATTATTATGAGCCGTCCTCCCCTCAGCAGCCTCCTGTGGTGCACATCCACAATGCAATAAATATAAATACACAATATAAGCCCAAGCCATAATAACCACCATGTAATTTCCCCAAATCTGTATCCCAACCACATTTTCAACCAAGCAATCTGACATTCATGTTGCAATGTTACACTCCAAAGAAAATAACTGTTCAAGTATATTTTTGCTGGTTGGTTTGTAGACAGAACACTGGACGGTTGATCTGCTATCCACCGATGCACATAACCATCCATCACACTTAGCAGGTGCCACATGCATTTACAAAACCTGCAGGGAAGAAACACTATGTTTTTCTTCCAAGCACTTTTTGTTTCTTTTATCGGAATTATAATAATAACTCCATTCATTTTGTGTTCCGTAGCCATAGTTACTGATGGTCTCCTATACATGACCATGCAGTGAGTAAGGATCCCCATAGGTGGCCATGGTTACAGTATAATTCCAAGCACTGCTCAACTGTGCCTACCTCCCATTCTCCAGTCAGTCCACATCAGCCTGACCAACTCTAATCACCATTAACCAAACAACTCCAAAACTATGCTCAGTGCAGCTTGTATTACAGTATACCACTGAAGGCTGCTTGGGCTTGATGATCTGACATGTGTAGGTAGAGGCGGACCTGACAAGGCTGACAGTGAAGCTGCACTGGTGGCAGATGGGACAAGAAGTCTGTCTTTGCAGACAGTGGGAGTTTGGGCAGGCAGACGGTGTGATAATGGGATGGCATCTCCATGGAGTGGATCTTTACAGTCAGGCAGTCTGAACAGAAATGGAGAGGGTATCAACCCTACAACCATCATGCCTGTGGAGTGGGCATCAATCACAGGTTTCAGATGTAGAGGGAGCCATCGGCTGGCCCCACATAGCTCGCCCCAATCAGCAGCACATCAATCAGGGTCCAGATGCCCAGGCCACCGAAGCTGAACAGCTTGCCCAGACCCTCTCTCCACTGGCCTAGATAGAACCGGTCAGCCCCAAATCCACCTAGTGTAATGCTGCAGATAGACAAAACAATAACGTCACTTTTACCAGTAGAATCACAGTTAAGAGCATAGCAGACCTGGACATCTAAGCGGGAAGGCGCGCCATATTGAATGTCCTCCTTGCGCAGTAGACCACCTGCTTGGTGTTGACGAAGGGTGGCGAGTCAACGTGTACAATCGTTGGGAAATTAAAATAAAATGACGGCTGATGTTCTGTTGTCAGAGGCGGTAGGATGGACACTCGCTGCTTTTAACCTTTATCAGCATGGCTTGTTTTGTCCTTAAGAGGTTTGAGTGACTGTTGTGCTACCAAGTCACTAATTTACTTTACAAATGAGAAGATTTTCATGAATTTTTTTCTCAAGGATAAAGATGTTTTATAAAAGATTCAAAGTATAAGAAACCGATTAAACTATTAGAAAGCTCTAACACACTTAAGCTAGTTGGGGTGGTCTTAAAGGGGTGCTGTTTTTCTGCTACTCATTATGAAAAAAAAAGATTTGCAGCTTGGGGGTGTGGTTCGATGTGTGTGTGTTATGTTAGCTATATCGTACCCTGGCCGCTATTGTTGTTTGTCCCTCTACAGTCACTGTAGCTAAAACATCCCAAACAGCCACTGTACGTTCAACAAGGGGTTGGGTGACGAATGGCTTAGCAACTGCGTGACGCAGCATGACAACCTTAACGTGATTGGTCAAGAATCCCAAGCTCCGCGCATTATGCATTTCCTCCTTTCTAGAGTATCTTTAATGACAGTTGTTTGTGATGCTAACGTTAGCTCACGAACGCTTGAGTTGGAAAAAACATCAGTATATAATTAACACGTCTCGTTTTTTCAACCCAACACTGTCGATTATTGGTAGATCTGCTGTGTGTAAAGAAATGGGCAGGGCTGTAAGTTGATTCTGCTGCTACGATTGGATAGCATGCACTGCAGCACACGCGCACCGGATGATATGAGTACCGCAAACCGTGCCAGACAGCGGTTCTGTGTGGGCAGGATGGAAATCTAAACCCAACCCAAGGAAAACGCTGTTGTTCTCGATTCCTGAAATCTCCGTTTTGTAAGATACTGACTTTATGACCAAAATTGTCCTATTTACACTCTGTAGTCAATTTTGGCACCAAAATAAATGTTTCTGACTAATATCGATGCCACATAGGGCGTTTTCAACCAGAGATGTCTTTTTTTTTTGTGCGCTTGTGCAGGAGTCTTACCTGAGTGCCAGTGCTGTAGACCACTTGTACCCTCCTGTCCAGTTGCAATACAAACGTTTATGAAATACTCTTTTACCTGAGAACAAAAGACAGTTGTAATGAATGCACTGCACAGTATACACTCCCCTCCATACGTATTTGGACAGTGAAGCATTTTTTTTTTCTTTGGCTCTATACTCCAGCATTTTAGATTCGAGATATAAAGCACTTCCTGAATCTAGTCCCCCCATTTTAAGAAGTCATAAGTATTTGGCCAAATTAACTTATAGTGTAGTCAAAAGTTTAGTATTTGGTCCCATATTCGTTGCACACCATAACTACATCAAGCTTGTGACTCTACAAACTTGGATGCATTTGCGGTTTGTTTTGCCCAATAGGAACTGAATGGTGAATAATGTCTTGTGCCATTTTGGGGTCACTTTTATTGTAAGTAAGAATAGAAGACGTTTCTGAACACTTCTACATTCATGTAGATGCTAACAACGTGAGAAGGTTACAGAGGCACAAAGATCATACCCCCCCCAAAAAATACTATCCTCCCTTGTTATTGGTAATGGTGAGAGGTTAGCATGTTTTGTTGTAGCCTCTGAATGGCATCTCACTCATTATTCATTCATGATTTTTCTTAATAATGGCATTATCAGGATTAATTGTGTTCAGAAGTATCTTATCTACTCACTTAGAAAGAAAATCATCATTCACCATTAATTTACTTTTCGACAAAACATAACCCAGAACACAACCAAAACAAACTGTAAATGCTTCCAATGGGTTTGTAGAGTCACAAGCTTGATGTAGTCATTGCGTGCAAGGAATATGGGACCAAATAAACTTTTGACAACTTTAATATACTATAAGTGAATTTGTCAAAATACTTATGACTTCTTCACATGGGTGGGACTAGATACATAATGTGCTTTCATTTTTAAAATGGTAAAACGTATGAAAATACCCTCAAATATAAGGTGGCATTCTTCTGCACTGTTGCCTCGTGAAACACTTGATCTCAAATCCAAAATGCTGGAGTATAGAGCAAATATATATATTTTTTATTGCTTCACTGTCCAAATACATATGGAGGGGCGTGTATGTATTTGAACAATAAATGACCCAGATACACTGTACAGTAAGTGTATACCTAAGCAGTGTACGTGGTCCAGTACTTGGCATTTGGCGTTGTAGCGTTTGCGAGGGCAGGCGACCGTCATACAGTTGGTGGAGTTGGAGCACCTGTACTGAGATGGGTCCAGCTGCCAGCAGAACTGGCACGTGATGGACAGGGAGAAGTTGGTCTGCTGCTGCCCCGACTCCCCCTGCAAGCAGAGAAAAATAAACAGCATACTGAAGCATCAACACCACAATGACAAAGTGCTACAGTTACATATTTTCTTTGTAAATGGAGCTCCTTGTTCTTTGTCAAGAACAATCTGTGTCCAACTGGCAAACTGAACTCACTGTGCAGTGGACTCCTCTCTTGGCCTTGCAAGAGAAAGAGGCTGGTTTGCCATAGCTACAGTTGTGGTGATAGCTGCAGTTGATGCAGTCAGCGGGCAGTCTGTTGCATTGACCCCCACTGGGGCATTTGGAAGCATAGCTGTCTGAATCAGTTGGAGATGCTGCAAAACAATGCACAAGATTGTATGTTGCCCCATGGACCTCATTCAGTAACAGCACACCAAAGAGACACTGTCAGCGTCAACATGATAAAAACATCCCATGGATGGAGGCTAGGGAGGAGATTTTACCAGATGATGGAGCAGGAACCACCGGGCTGGTGATGACTGGCTGAGCATCTTGGCTGTAAGGGGGCTCCTGTCCCACGCGTGGGGAGCTCAGGTACCCTGGAAGACAGAGGGGTTGGCATAGATAACGGGAAGGGTGCATCATGTAGCTAGCCGTTACAGCTAACAATCTAATAAACACAGCTAGCTGGAGCAATTGTACATTAGTTAGCTAGCTTTCCAGATAAATTACAGTAGGATCAGAATACAGTAAACTGTCTGTCAGGCGTCTGTATAGACCTGCAGACTACCATTGTGTGGACATTTGCCATAAACTCTTGTTATCTAGCTAGCTAATGCTTTACGCCAGCTAACTACTTTGCTAGCTAGCTAACTAGAATCAGAAGAAAAAAATATCACAGATGAAGCCTAGCCCTGGGATATACAAATCCGTTTTAGCATATGTGATGTTGCATAGCCTTACCATTCACACCTTGCAAACATAGATCCAAAAATAACAGTATTATGATTCCATGGGCTTTCAGGCAGCGTCTCCTCTCAAATGGCCAAATCTGACTGACGGTAGCCATTGTGCTAACGTAAATCAACTTCTTCAATCCCTTTCTCAGCCTTGTGACCCGCCCACAAATGTGGGCGATTTAAAGGAGACGCATGAATTTACTTCTTGATGTCAAGATTATTCAAGAGCAGAGACCTCGAGGGTCAAATGTGTTTTTTTGTCAGATGAATAATGATAGTAGTTACTTGCATCTCCAATGAACAATAAGATAATGAAGGGGAGGTAAAACGTTGAGTCAATATTTTATTCCAAGATACAATCCAACAAGAGAGAGCTACTTCATGATTGTATTTAATATTTCCAGAAAGTGTCCTTTGTTTTACATTGCAACCTTCTTTCAACCTCAACCCAATAAATAATCTTATCATGACATCTTCCTTCATCCACATTCTATCCTTCAGATTAGTGTTAAAAAACAACAACAAAAAAACTGTTCTTGCATGGTCTTTCATACACTACTGCAGGGTTTCCCATGGGTGCAAGTTTTTGTTTTTTGCCCTAGCACTACACAGGTGATTCAAATAACCAACCAGCTGTGTGGTGCTAGGGCAAAAACCAAAATGTGGAACCCAAGGGCCGAGTTTGAGAAACCCTGCACTACTGTACCAAATACATTCTCACTTTGACACTATTCTTTCAAACTGATTAGACAATCAAAGAAATATACATATTCAACTACTCCAAATACAGAAAGGCTCTGTCAGTTTCAAGTGAGTGAGTAGAAAATATTGTATATTTTTCAAACATGTCAATACATTTAATCTACCCCTTTCCATGTCTATCCTTCCCACACAGACCTCTTTGCATTCACAAAATGTCCCTTTTGTTCATCTATTGTGACAGAGAAAACCACAGAATTCTATCTGGCATAAAACATTTTGTCATCTTCTGGGAACCATGTGGTCACCCTGCCTTTCCTCAGAACTCCTCCTCAGCGTTCCGGCAGCGTGACTCTTTCAACAGGGTCAGGCGAGCCAGCACCTCAGAGACGGACAGCTCTCCATGAACCTTGTTGTCCCTCGTACGTACGTTCACGCTGTTAGTCAGCTTCTCTTTCTCACCGACCACTGCCAAGACACAAAGCACATAGAGAAGCTCACAGTCACCACACTGCCAAATCACAGAAAACACAGCTGCCCTAACACATTCACATTTTCAACAACAACATTTCAGTAGTGATGAGTACAATCATGTTGTTTTTATCAGTGGAAGAAAACTGAAAATATTTGAGGTTTACTAGCAAACAACATTGTGATAGTAAAAGGCATCATGAATATATGAATGGCTAAAAAAAAATCTACTATACAAACTATTCTTACCCAGGATGAAGTTGTACTGGGATAACTGGGCGTTGCGGATCTTTTTGTTTAGGAGGCAACTGGAGTCGAAATCAGCGTCTGCCATGAATCCGGCCTCCACAAACTGTTTACACATCTGAAAGACAGAATTAACACTCAGTAAATACAAATTCATCAAAAATGACTGGAAGATTAACTGATCAAATGGAACTAGCAACAGACATGTAAGTTTATATCATGATAAACACAGACTTTCAAGGAATGATGAATGTGCAGCTTCATGCAGGGGCTTACCGGGGCTGAAGCCCCGGGGTCCAGGCCCATGGGGGGCCCAAGAGGAAGCAAATTATTAGTTATTTTTTTACAAAAAATAAAGAAAATATACTGTATATACACTACCGTTCAAAAGTTTGGGGTCACTTAGAAATGTCCTTGTTTTCGAAAGAAAAGCAATTTTTTTGTCCATTAAAATAACATCAAATTGATCAGAAATACAGTGTGGACATTGTTAATGTTGTAAATGGCTATTGTAGCTGGAAACGGCTGATTTTTAATGGAATATCTACATAGGCGTACAGTGGCCCATTATCAGCAACCATCAGTCCTGTGTTCCAATGGCACGTTGGGTTTGCTAATTCAAGTTGAGCATTTAAAAGGCAAATTGATCATTAGAAAACCCTTTTGCAATTATGTTAGCACAGCTGAAAACTGTTGTGCTGATTAAAGAAGCAATACAACTGGCCTTCTTGAGACTAGTTGAGTATCTGCAACTGTGGGTTCGATTACAGGCTCAAAATGGCCAGAAACAAATAACTTTCTTCTGAAACTCGTCAGTCTATTCTTGTTCTGAGAAATGAAGGCTATTCCATGCGAGAAATTGCCAAGAAACTGAAGATCTCGTACAACGCTGTGTACTACTCCCTTCACAGAACAGTGCAAACTGGCTCTAACCAGAATAGAAAGAGGAGTGGGAGGCCCCGGTGCACAACTGAGCAAGAGGACAAATACATTAGAGTGTCTAGTTTGAGAAACAGACGCCTCACAGGTCCTCAACTGGCAGCTTCATTAAATAGTACCCACAAAACACCAGCCTCAACGTCAACAGTGAAGAGGCGACTCCGGGATGCTGACCTTCTAGGCAGAGTTGCAAAGAAAAAGCCATATCTCAGACTGCCCATCTTAATCTTTTATTTTTATTGGTCAGTCTGAGATATGGCTTTTTCTTTGCAACTCTGCCTAGAAGGTCAGCATCCCGGAGTCACCTCTTCACTGTTGATGTTGAGGCTGGTGTTTTGCGGGTACTATTTAATGAAGCTGCCAGAACAAGAATAGACTGCAAACACAACGTGCCATTGGAACACAGGACTGATGGTTGCTGATAATGGGCCTCTGTACGCCTATGTAGATATTCCATTTTTTTTTTTAAATCAGCCGTTTCCAGCTACAATAGCCATTTACAACATTAACGATGTCTACACTGTATTTCTGATCAATTTGATGTTATTTTAATGGACAAAGAATTTGCACTATCGTGCCCTTCATCCGCCACCATCACCTCATGTTTCAGCATGATAATGCACGGCCCCATGTCTCAAGGATCTGTACACAATTCCTGGAAGCTGAAAATTTACCAGTTCTTCCATGGCCTGCATACTCACCAGACATGTCACCCATTGAGAATGTTTGGGATGCTCTGGATCAAAGTGTACGACAGCGTGTTCCAGTTCCCGCCAATATCCAGCAACTTCACACAGCCATAGAAGAGGATTGGGAGAACATTCCACAGGCCACAATCAACAGCCTGATTAACTCTACGCGAAGGAGATGTGTCGCACTGGATGAGGCAAATGGTGGTCACAGCAGATACTGACTAGTTTTCAGATTCACTGCTTTTTTAAAATATACACTGCTCAAAAAAATAAAGGGAACACTTAAACAACACAATGTAACTCCAAGTCAATCACACTTCTGTGAAATCAAACTGTCCACTTAGGAAGCAACACTGATTGACAATACATCTCACATCGTGTTGTGCAAATGGAATAGACAACAGGTGGAAATTATAGGCAATTAGCAAGACACCCCCAATAAAGGACTGGTTTTGCAGGTGGTGACCACAGACCACTTCTCAGTTCCTATGCTTCCTGGCTGATGTTTTGGTCACTTTTGAATGCTGGCGGTGCTTTCACTCTAGTGGTAGCATGAGACGGAGTCTACAACCCACACAAGTTGCTCAGGTAGTGCAGCTCATCCAGGATGGCACATCAATGCGAGCTGTGGCAAGAAGGTTTGCTGTGTCTGTCAGCGTAGAGTCCAGAGCATGGAGGCGCTACCAGGAGACAGGCCAGTACATCAGGAGACGTGGAGGAGGCCGTAGGAGGGCAACAACCCAGCAGCAGGACTGCTACCTCCGCCTTTGTGCAAGGAGGAGCAGGAGGAGCACTGCCAGAGCCCTGCAAAATGACCTCAAGCAGGCCACAAATGTGCATGTGTCTGCTCAAACGGTCAGAAACAGACTCCATGAGGGTGGTATGAGGGCCCGACATCCACAGGTGGGGGTTGTGCTTACAGACCAACACCGTGCAGGACGTTTGGCATTTGCCAGAGAACACCAAGATTGGCAAATTCGCCACTGGCGCACTGTGTTCTTCACAGATGAAAGCAGGTTCACACTGAGCACGTGACAGAGTCTGGAGACGCCGTGGAGAACGTTCTGCTGCCTGCAACATCCTCCAGCATGACCGGTTTGGCGGTGGGTCAGTCATGGTGTGGAGTGGCATTTATTTGGGGGGCCGCACAGCCCTCCATGTGCTCGCCAGAGGTAGCCTGACTGCCATTAGGTACCGAGATGAGATCCTCAGACCCCTTGTGAGACCATATGCTGGTGCGGTTGGCCCTGGATTCCTCCTAATGCAAGACAATGCTAGACCTCATGTGGCTGGAGTGTGTCAGCAGTTCCTGCAAGAGGAAGGCATTGATGCTATGGACTGGCCCACCCGTTCCCCAGACCTGAATCCAATTGAGCACATCTGGGACATCATGTCTCGCTCCATCCACCAACGCCACGTTGCACCACAGACTGTCCAGGAGTTGGCGGATGCTTTAGTCCAGGTCTGGGAGGAGATCCATCAGGAGACCATCCGCCACCTCATCAGGAGCATGCCCAGGCGTTGTAGGGAGGTCATACAGGCACGTGGAGGCCACACACACACTACTGAGCCTCATTTTGACTTGTTTTAAGGACATTACATCAAAGTTGGACCTGTAGTGTGGTATTCCACTTTAATGTTGAGGGTGACTCCAAATCCAGACATCCATGGGTTGATAAATTTGATTTCCATTGATAATTTGTGTGATTTTGTTGTCAGCACATTCAACTTTGTAAAGAAAAAAGTATTTAATAAGATTATTTCATTCATTCAGATCTAGGATGTGTTATTTTAGTGTTCCCTTTATTTTTTTGAGCAGTGTGTGTATATATATATTTTTTTTTAAGGTAGTTTATTCTGAAATTATTCAGACCCCTTGACTTTTTCCACACTTTGTTACGTTACAGCCTTATTCTAAAAAGGATTCAATTGTTTTTCTCCCCATCAATTTACACACAATACCCCATAATGACAAAGCAAAAAATTTTTTTATAAAGTATTCAGACCCTTTACTCAGTGTTGAAGCACCTTTGGCAGCGATTACAGCCTTAAGTCTTCTTGGGTATGACGCGACAAGTGTGGCACACCTGTATTTTGGGAGTTTCCTCCCATTCTTGTCTGTAGATCCTATCAAGCTCTGTCAGGTTGGATGGGGAGCATCACTGCACAGCTATTTTCAGGTCTCTCCAGAGATGTTTGATCGAGTCCGGGCTCTGGCTGGGCCACTCAAGGACATTCAGAGACTTGTCCCGAAGCCACTCCTGCATTGTCTTGGCTGTGTGCTTAGGGTCATTGTCCTGTTGGAAGGTGAATCTTCACCCCAGTCTGAGGTCCTGACAGCTCTGGAGCAGGTTTTCATCAAGGATCTCTCTGTACTTTGCTCCGTTCATCTTTCCCTCGATCCTGACTAGTCTCCCAGTCCGTGCCGCTGAAAAACATCCCCACAACATGATGCTGCCACCATCACACTTCACCGTAGGGATGGTGCCAGGTTTCCTCCTGACGTGACGCTTGGCACTCAGGCCAAAGAGTTCAATCTTGGTTTCATCAGAACAGAGAATATTTTTTCTCATGGTCTGAGTCCTTTAGGCAAACTCCAAGCGGGCTGTCATGTGCCTTTTACTGAGGAGTGGCTTCCGTATGGCCACTCTACCATAAAGGCCTTATTGGTGGAGTGCTGCAGAGATAGTTGTCCTTCTGGAAGGTTCTCCCATCTCCACAGACGAACTCTGGAGCTCTGTCAGAGTGACCGTCGGGTTCTTGGTCACCTCCCTGACCAAGGCCCTTCTCCCCCGATTGCTCTTTTTGGTTTTTGCTCTGACATGCACGGTCAACTGTGGGACCTTATATAGACAGCTGTGTGCCTTTCCAAAACGTGTCCAATCAATTGAATTTACCACAGGTGGACTCCAATCAAGTTGTAGAAACATCTCAAGGATGATCAATGGAAACAGGATACACCTGAGCTCAATTTCGAGTCTCATAGCAAAGAGTCTGAATACTTATGTAAATAAGGTATCTGCTGTTTTATTTTTAATACATTTGCAAAAAACGTTCTAAAAACCTGTTTTCGCTTCGTCATTATGGGGTATTGTGTGTAGATCGATGAGGGACATTTTTAAAATACATTTTAGAATAAAAGGCTGTATCCTAACAAAATGTGGAAAAAGTCAAAGGGTCTGAATACTTTCCGAATGCACTGTATCTGCGACCAACAGATGCATATTTGTATTCCCAGTCATGTGCAATCCATAGATTAGGGCCTAATGATTTTATTTGAAATGACTGATTTCCTTATTTGAACTGTTACTCTGTAAAATCTTTTAAATTGTTGCATTTATATTTTTGTTCAGTGTATGATATATATATATATATAATACACACACATACATATACATATATACACACACACACTTTTTTTAAAAATCCAACCACAGGAGCCCACTCAGCATGTTCAAAATACACCACAGAGCATAATTTAACCATAGCGTATCAATAGTTAATACAAATTAACCAGATTAATTTATCACATGCACATACAGGTATCTGCCAAAATAAAGGAAACACCAACACAAAGTGTCTTAAAAGTGTGTTGGACCACCACGAGCTGCCAGAACAGCTTCAATGCACCTTGCCATAGATTTTACAAGTGGACCTAAATTATGCCAGGAAACTGCACCCCACACCATAACATTTAGTTTGTATTCCTCATTTACTCAAATGTTTCCTTTATTTTGGCAGTTACCGGTATGCCTACAGTCACAAAGGCTGCAGTTTGGGAGCATGCACACCAAATATACAGCTTGTTTCATTGTGGCCATAGACATAATCCATAGAAGGGTTTTGTAACCTCTTACCCTGGCAATTTGACTGTTAAACTCATGGCTACACTAGCAATGGATGCCAGTCCTGACTTGAATGGGAACTGCCATCTATGGATTATATTTCTATGATTGGTTGCAGCTGTCGGTTTGCCTTTTGCAGTGAGTAGCTTATGGTTGAATCTTAATTAGGTGAGTCAGTGTGCCACTGGAAATGTTATTTAGTAGCCTACTGTGTGTGTATGTATATATATATATATATCCTCCTAATATCGTACAATCTGTTTGTCATTTCATTGGCCTGGGCTATTGTTTGTTTGAATTCAAGACCAGATTGATCTCAATTTGTCAGTCAGAGTAGCCACTCATTTCAGTCATTTGTGTGGTATTCAAAAAGATTCAGCTAATGCCTTCTGTCATGTAAATGATGAGGAACTGCCTCTGCTCAACTGTAGCCTATGCCACATGGCAAACGTTATTATGGCTTTACTATAAAGACGCTTTTCTTCAACAGTACATGTACCATGCATCAAATTTGCATCTTGGTACACAGATTTGTTCACAGAAAATGATGGTGTACCGGGAAGGGCCTATGATTTCTTAATCCGGCCCTGATCATAAACTGTAGAAATATGAAAGGAAGACAAGTTTGGGAGATAGAAGGCTTACCCTCTTGGCATATTCTTCACAGGTAGGGTTGACAGGCACAAACATCACCTGACGTGGGGACAGCCAGAGGGGCCTGGAGAAGAAACATTATGGCTGGATAAGTAGCAAATCAAAACACTATATACAGTGGGGAGAACACGTATTTGATAACCTGCCGATTTTGCAGGTTTTCCTACTTACAAAGCATGTAGAGGTCTGTAATTTTTATCATAGGTACACTTCAACTGTGAGAGACAGAATCTAAAACAAAAATCCAGAAAATCACATTGTATGATTTTGAAGTAATTCATTTGCATTTTATTGCATGACATAAGTATTTGATACATCAGAAAAGCAGAACTTAATATTTGGTACAGAAACCTTTGTTTGCAATTACAGAGATCATACGTTTCCTGTAGGTCTTGACCAGGTTTGCACTCACTGCAGCAGGGATTTTGGCCCACTCCTCAATACAGACCTTCTCCAGATCCTTCAGGTTTCGGGGCTGTCGCTGGGCAATACGGACTTTCAGCTCCCTCCAAAGATTTTCTATTGGGTTCAGGTCTGGAGACTGGCTAGGCCACTCCAGGACCGTGAGATGCTTCTTACGGAGCCACTCCTTAGTTGCCCTGGCTGTGTGTTTCGGGTCTTTGTCATGCTGGAAGACCCAGCCACGACCCATCTTCAATGCTCTTACTGAGGGAAGGAGGTTGTTGGCCAAGATCTCGCGATACATGGCCCCATCCATCCTCCCCTCAATACGGTGCAGTCGTCCTGTCCCCTTTGCAGAAAAGCATCCCCAAAGAATGATGTTTCCAACTCCATGCTTCACGGTTGGGATGGTGTTCTTGGGGTTGTACTCATCCTTCTTCTTCCTCCAAATACGGCGAGTGGAGTTTAGACCAAAAAGCTATATTTTTGTCTCATCAGACCACATTACCTTCTCCCATTCCTCCTCTGGATCATCCAGATGGTCATTGGCAAACTTCAGATGGGCCTGGACATGCGCTGGCTTGAGCAGGGGGACCTTGCGTGCGCTGCAGGATTTTAATCCATGACGGCGTAGTGTGTTACTAATGGTTTTCTTTGAGACTGTGGTCCCAGCTCTCTTCAGGTCATTGACCAGGTCCTGCCGTGTAGTTATGGGCTGATCCCTCACCTTCCTCATGATCATTGATGTCCCACGAGGTGAGATCTTGCATGGAGCCCCAGACCGAGGGTGATTGACCGTCATCTTGAACTTCTTCCATTTTCTAATAATTGCACCAACAGTTGTTGCCTTCTCACCAAGCTGCTTGCCTATTGTCCTGTAGCCCATCCCAGCCTTGTGCAGGTCTACAATTTTTGGACAGGTGTCTTTTATACAGGTAACAAGTTCAAACAGGTGCAGTTAATACAGGTAATGAGTGGAGAACAGGAGGGCTTCTTTAAGAAAAACTAACAGGTCTGTGAGAGCCAGAATTCTTACTGGTTGGTAGGTGATCAAATACTTATGTCATGCAATAAAATGCAAATTAATTACTTAAAAATCATACAATGTGATTTTCTGGATTTTTGTTTTAGATTCCGTCTCTCACAGTTGAAGTGTACCTATGATAAAAATTACAGACCTCTACATGCTTTGTAAGTAGGAAAACCTGCAAAATCGGCAGTGTATCAAATACTTGTTCTCCCCACTGTGTGTGTGTGTGTGTGTGTATATATACAGTGGGGAAAAAATGTATTTAGTCAGCCACCAATTGTGCAAGTTCTCCCACTTAAAAAGATGAGAGGCCTGTAATTTTCATCATAGGTACAAGTCAACTATGACAGACAAAATCAGAAAAAAAATCCAGAAAATCACATTGTAGGATTTTTAATGAATCTATTTGCAAATTATGGTGGAAAATAAGTATTTGGTCAATAACAAAAGTTTCTCAATACTTTGTTATATACCCTTTATTGGCAATGACACAGCTCAAACGTTTTCTGTAAGTCTTCACAAGGTTTTCACACACTGTTGCTGGTATTTTGGCCCATTCCTCCATGCAGATCTCATCTAGAGCAGTGATGTTTTGGGGCTGTCGCTGGGCAACACGGACTTTCAACTCCCTCCAAAGATTTTCTATGGGGTTGAGATCTGGAGACTGGCTAGGCCACTCCAGGACCTTGAAATGCTTCTTACGAAGCCACTCCTTCGTTGCCCGGGCGGTGTGTTTGGGATCATTGTCATGCTGAAAGACCCAGCCACGTTTCATCTTCAATGCCCTTGCTGATGGAAGGAGGTTTTCACTCAAAATCTCACGATACATGGCCCCATTCATTCTTTCCTTTACACGGATCAGTCGTCCTGGACCCTTTGCAGAAAAACAGCCCCAAAGCATGATGTTTCCACCCCCATGCTTCACAGTAGGTATGGTGTTCTTTGGATGCAACTCAGCATTCTTTGTCCTCCAAACACGACGAGTTGAGTTTTTACCAAAAAGTTCTATTTTGGTTTCATCTGACCATATGACATTCTCCCAATCCTCTTCTGGATCATCCAAATGCACTCTAGCAAACTTCAGACGGGCCTGGACATGTACTGGCTTAAGCAGGGGGACACGTCTGGCACTGCAGGATTTGAGTCCCTGGCGGCGTAGTGTGTTACTGATGGTAGGCTTTGTTACTTTGGTCCCAGCTCTCTGCAGGTCATTCACTAGGTCCCCCCGTGTGGTTCTGGGATTTTTGCTCACCGTTCTTGTGATCATTTTGACCCCACGGGGTGAGATCTTGCGTGGAGCCCAAGATCGAGGGAGATTATCAGTGGTCTTGTATGTCTTCCATTTCCTAATAATTGCTCCCACAGTTGATTTCTTCAAACCAAGCTGCTTACCTATTGCAGATTCAGTCTTCCCAGCCTGGTGCAGGTCTACAATTTTGTTTCTGGTGTCCTTTGACAGCTCTTTGGTCTTGGCCATAGTGGAGTTTGGAGTGTGACTGTTTGAGGTTGTGGACAGGTGTCTTTTCTACTGATAACAAGTTCAAACAGGTGCCATTAATACAGGTAACGAGTGGAGGACAGAGGAGCCTCTTAAAGAAGAAGTTACAGGTCTGTGAGAGCCAGAAATCTTGCTTGTTTGTAGGTGACCAAATACTTATTTTCCACCATAATTTGTAAATAAATTCATTAAAAATCCTACAATGTGATTTTCTGGATTTTTTCTCCTCAATTTGTCTGTCATAGTTGACGTGTACCTATGATGAAAATTACAGGCCTCTCATCTTTTTAAGTGGGAGAACTTGCACAATTGGTGGCTGACTAAATACATTTTTTCCTCACTATATATATATATATATATATATATATACACATATATACATACACACGCTCATACATACATACACACACACATAATTAAGACATTTAAGAGCAGAAAACACATCTATATACATGACTGATTTTTCAGTCTATGATTGCATCTTATGTAACACTCAACAAATTAATTGGTCCTCTTTGCTACTCACCATTTCCCTGCGTAGTTCTCAGTGAGGATGGCTATCATCCTCTCCACAGAGCCTAGAATGGCCCGGTGGATGATGACAGGCCTCGCTTTGTCATCCCCCTCCTTCCTGCATGTCACAGGGTTAACAGGATTAAACATCACTATCAGTCACAGCACCACTTCATGTTCAATTACAACTACTTATTTATTCAACCTTTATTTGTAAAGGTTAGTCTCATTGAGATAAAAAAAGTGTGACTGGTATGACCTTTATGAATATAATTTATACAGTTGTTTATAGAGCTTCATAATGTTCTCTACCTCATTAAAAAACTACTTGAATTTTTTTTATTTTAAGGACTTTTAAATCAACTTTCTAGTACAAAGTGTTCAGGTGAGAACTCGTATTGAAGGAGGGATTACTGACTAATCTTGCCTCCTATAACAGGATACAGACTCAGCATTGTGTCACGACTAGTTTGATTAGGTGACTCACTCACCCCACAAAGGTCAGGTTAAAGCGGATGGGAAGCTGGAAGTCCAGCTGAATGGTTGCACATTGATGATACCGGCCAATAGCATCTTTGATCTTAATGTCAATCTGAAATGGCACAACAAAAGTATTACTTCCTGAGAGTTTTAGACCTTACTTAATTGAAGGGGGAATGCAATATCTATCAGGGAAATAGATGGCTATAATAGCTACAAACATTTAATTACATTGATTTCCTGATCATTCTAGACCTTATTTAATTGAAGGGGTGAAGAAAATATATAGCAAGGAAATATCAGTGGTTGTAATACAAACCTTGGGTCCATAGAAAGCACCGTCTCCGGGGTTTAGTTTCCATGGCTCCCCAAACTCATTCAGGCTGTTTTCCAGTTGCTTTCAAATAGAGGGAATCAATTAACATACATTTAAAATATATTCTGGGTCATTTCGTGAGAGTCATTCTTTCTTTAAATGATGTTTCTCTATGTGACATTTCAGGAATATTTCATGGACACGCACGCATGTTTAATTCTACCTTCTCAGCCTGGTTCCAGACAGCGATATCTCCTAGGTACTTCTCTGGACGGGTTGAGAGGTGCAGCTGGAAAGAGAAGCCAAAGACATCGTAGACACAGCGGAGGAAGTCCAGACAGCCCTTCATCTCAGACTCAATCTGCAGGAGAGAGCAAGGGAATACAGAGGGTCATCTGAATGGCAAGGAGGTTAAGTACCCAGCAGGGTTGGGGTCAATTCCATTTCAAGAAGCAATGAGGAAAATTGGAACAAAAATGTCTATTTACTTCCTGAATTGAAATGGAATTGACCACAACCCTGGTACCTAGCTACTTTAATAAGATGTTCCTCTTCAATAGCCATAGCTGGTCTGGTCACCTACCTGTTCCATTGTGCAGAAGATGTGAGCATCATCCTGTTGGAAGCGGCGCACCCTCGTAAGGCCGGTCAGTGTCCCTGAAAGCTCATTCCTATGGAGCACCCCGAAATCAGCCAGTCTCAGAGGAAGCTCCCTCCACGACCGAGGCCTGTGGCTGAACATCAGACTGAGGAAGAAGAGGATGGGAGGATCCAGGAGAAGGTGGACGGAAAGAGAGGGTGATGGATGATAAGATATGCCGTTGAAGCAATGGGAGGAGTTAAGGTTACATAAATGCTTTGAAAGTCCCTTCCTTATAAACCATCATACTTTCATATTAACCAATAACATATAGGAAGGGCCTGTTTCCCAGACAAAGATTAAGCCTAGTCCTGGAGTAAAAAGTTATTTCAGTGGATATTCTCCATTGAGCATGGTTTTTAGTCCAGTAAGTAAGTAAGCAAGCAAGTGGCCTTGCATCTCCTGTTTCTGCAGCATGATGTATAAGTACACCCCCTGGAGAGGACGCTAGACTATTGCAGGGCCTTACCCCCAATCTATCTCCTTAATGCTGAGTTCCAAGCAGACACATTGGGTCCCATTTTTACAGTTTTTGGTATGACTCGACCGGGGATTGAACTCCCAACCCTCCATTCTCAGGGCGGACACTCTAACCACAAGGCCACGGAGTTGGTTTTTAGTCCAGGACCAGGCTTAATATGTGTCCGGGAAATCGGCCCAATAACAAACCAATGTACCTACCAGTGTCCAGGACAGTTCATGGGCTTCAGTGCAAAGATGTCCTGCTCCACTGGGAAGGAGAACATGTTGTCGCTGTAGTGCTGCCAGTGGCCAGAAGTCTCCCACAGCTTACTGTTATAGATGTTAGGAGAGGCCACCTCCTGGAAACCTCTTCTACAGTACTCCTCCTGCACAGTACAGTCACCAGATCACAGCATGACTGAATGGTACTGAACTTCAGCATTCTAATGGTTACTATGGTTATAAAGTACCAAAGTAGTACATGAACATGCTGTAATAGTGAATTCTACAGGTGGGTATTGTAGTTTCTTGGCAGAAGCTGAACGGATTGCTTCTCTGCCTTTTGGCTACGATCAGGTGTAGGTGGTTGAGGCTGGTTGGTCTTGTCTTACCCTGATGAAGTCAGTGAGTGTGTTGTACAGGTAGGCTCCACGCGGGAGGAAGAAGCAGCTGCCAGGGCTCAGGTCATGGAAGAAAAACAGTTCCTGTTCCTGTCGTACAGTAGAGACAAACAGAGAGGAAGCTTCATGACTTCACAGATATTGACAGTTACAGATAGTGAGGCAGCTTCCTCTCTGTGGGGAACATGTTAAATCAAACGATAGCAAATCTGTCCATGAATGACACCCACAGACGTTTCCTCTACTTCTAAATGAATAGGATCACACCATCATAGGAGTAACATGTTCAGAAATAACTTTAGACTTTGTCCCCCTGGTTAACAACAATGAAAATAAAAGCAGCAGTGAGTCCATGGTTTAATAAAGAGATCAGTGTTGTGTTTTAATCAGTTGTGGCTTGGCCGTGGGGCTGCTGCCATCTGTGTCTCCCACAGGGAGGATAGATCCAGCCTGCCTGAGGACCAGCTGGAGCTCACATAGCATGACTCACTGATACAACATGCAGTTAGACACACAGCACCCCCTACAGGGACAACCAAGCAACAACACTAGGCACGCAGTGCTTAAAGCGTCCTCATACTTCCCAGTCGAAACAGTTCAGAAGAGTTTGTGCATATATTATGAAGACATTGTGTCTTGATGTTTTTGTTCGTTTTGGATTTCGGAAAGTATTTTTTGGGCTGTTCGGGCACACATTTTTTCCGAGGCCAGATGAAGTTTGGGAGCCAAAGTATACGCCCCTTCGTCCGTGAGTGGTCAACTTTAGGGATTCTTCAGAGTTCTTGAGTTATTTTAGATTAATTCAGACTTTTTTTTTAGGAAGTGTATACTGGCTACGGCATCTCAAAATGGCCAAACAGTACTATTTCCACTTTTTTTTTTCCAAGCAAAGGTATTTAAGGGAGTATGCGAGCACACTCGTTCGGATCGCCGAACTGAAGCTTGCTGACGCCTTTATAGGTCTGTCTGTAAAATATAGTAAATTAGAGTGATGTGTTACTTTCAATGTTGACAGTTCTGTAAGTCACTTTGGATAAAACTGACCACTAAAATACACTGAACAAAAATATAAAAGCAACATGTAAAGTGCTGGTCCCATGTTTCGTGAGTTGAAATAAAAGATCCCTGTCTGTAACAATGCCCTTTTGTGGGATAAAACACATTCTGATTGGCTGGGCCTGGCTCCCATTGGGTTGGCCTGGCTCACAAGTGGGTGGACCTATGCCCTCCCAGGCACACCCATGGCTGCGTCACTGCCCAGTCATGTGAAATCCATAGATTAGGGCCTAATGAATTATTTATTTAAATTGACTGATTTCCTTATATGAACTGTAATTCAGCCAAATCTTTGAAATTGTTGCATGTTGCGTTTATATATTTGTTCAGTATTATATCCTTATATTAATTGAGGGTCTCTTTCAATGGCTTGTGTTTAGATATCAGTGCAGAAGAAACCCAAACACCTGATCCCACTAATAGTCTTCCTCAGTCAACTCCCAAAGTGACTCCCCCACTGTGAGGACTGACCTTTCCAATCTTCCGATGGTCTCTGTTCCTAGCCTCCTCCTGAAAGCGTTCCCACTCCTTCAGCATCTTGGAGTCTGGGAAGGAGATGCCGTAGATACGCTGCAGGGTCTCCATGTCCGAGCGGCCCTCCCAGTACGTAGAAGAGTTCTGTCGATATTACAGGAAAGGAATGGAGCGGAGAGGAGATACTGTGACATTGTTTTTCAGCTGAAGAAGTGATTGGATATTGTGGTCTGTCTGCGTGCTTCACATACCTTGTAGATCTTCAATGCTTTAATCTTTCCTGTGTGTCTTACGTGGGGCCCACGACACAGGTCAATCAAAGGCCCACATCTAAAATAGTGGATAACTCATTTTAGCAGGGCAGGGACCAGTGAGGGTCTTCAAATTCATTAAAGAAATAGTTTACCATATAGCCAACTCCTTCGCATTAGGCGCATTTGTGACTGATTTATAATTTGATGTACATGCCAAAGATTTATGTGAACGATTCAAAACAAGAGGGTATAAAGAATAATTATTGGACAATTCCCTTGAGAGTAAGACAAACTCAGTGGACTGCATTACTGCAACCACGTCAAAGGAATCCCTCTCCTTCCTCTTAACTTTGGTGTCCACCTACAGTCCCATTTCGAGGTCGATCAAAGAAGTGGTTAATAAACATTGGCATATATTATACAGCGACCCCAGCTTTGGTAAAGCGTTTGAATCCCTCCTGAGGTTTTGCTATAAGAGACACTCAAATTTACAGGATTGTTTAGTACAGTCAGATTTGCCTAAGAAAAAAGCATTGGATTTAATGTCTATCATTCCTGATGGCAATTTCCCTTGTCACAACTGATCAGAGGGAACTCTCTTATCCATCCCCATTCCAGTGAGAGGATAAAGGTCTGAGGTAGAATAACATGTAACACAAAATATGTTGTATATCTCCTTAAATGTTCCTGTAACTTTTATTATGTGGGCAAGACCAAACATGAACTTAAGACAAGGATATGTGAACATAAGAGCTCCATTCGCAACCATGATGAAAAAATAAATCACCCGTTGACAGGAATTTCAATAGCCATAAACATGAACTAAGTGCCTTACGTTATATGGGCATTGAATTGGTGAAAGCGCCACGTAGGGGAGGAGCGAGGGATGAATTACTTCTCCAAAGAGAGACATATTGGATAGACCGCTTGACCACTCTTGCCCCAGCAGGCCTTAATGAGGAATGTTATTTTTCTTGTTTTTTTGTAGTAGGTTATAAATAGGCAAAACATTTAGGTATTGACAATGTATTTGTATTGTGTGTCTATAGATCTTTATTTGATTGTCATGTTTCCCCCACAGCTCCCTCTGCTGGGATCTCTTGATTGAGCCAAAACTGACTGAATTTATAATTATGCCCACCTGTGTGGTCTTGTTGTTGTGACATTGATTGCCATTGCCTTGCACGCTGAAGGGCTCATACACGAAACGTTTGTGCGGCAGTACAAATTTCAATTGAAGTTTATTTACCGGAGTGCTGTCCTATTTCTGTTCTTCAAATTCACCAACATGATAAATCCGTCTTCTGAATATTTGCCGTACACCAAATAATATTCTGTGATGTGTCATTTACAACTAAACATCATGAGCTGCTTACCTGTAGACTGTTGTAGTGGGTGTGGTGACTTTCTCATTCAGAATGCGACACTTGAATTTGTTGTACTGAAATTATGGACGCAAACAGATTGGAAAAAAATAGATACCAATTGCTGCCCATCTACTCACAACCCCAATGAATAAGAAACATCTATAACACATTATATAATCGAGCTACAATCTTTCACCAAAGGGTGGAGAGATGCCAATGTAGTGCAGTGTAGCGGTCCTCTCCTCTCACCTTGAACATCTTCAGTAGGGTCTCCTTGCTGACCTCCAGCCTCTCGAAGGGCTGTTTCTCCTTCACCACAGCCTTGCACAGTGCCTCCAGGTAGTCAAACTCTGTACTCGAAACCCCCCTGGCCAGGACAGGACACAGGTCAAACAGAACCCTCAGTAACAACACATGTCATTGGCTACTCACTACACCAGCTCTGTATCATTTCTGCTCATTCTTTTATAAAGGAGACTGGAAGCCTGTTTTTTTCTTAACAATGATAGATGCTTACTGGGGTCCATCGAGGAACATGTCATAGTAGAAGCCATTCTCAATGGGTGGTCCATAACACAGACAGCCTCCATAGAAACGCTCCATGGCCTCACCAAGGATGTGAGCACTGGAGTGCCAGTATACCTGAAACAAGGAGCGGAAACATCTCTGTTACTACCTCCAAGAACAAAGACTATAGAGATTAGAGAGTACGATAGCCCAAAGGGCACATTATACTCACAGCCTGGGCATCGTCATTGTCAAAGCGCAGGATCTCCAGTGAGCAGCTCTTCTCCAGAGGTCTGTCCATGTCCCACAGGTCCCCGTTCACCCGGGAAATCACTGCATTGTCAGCCAGGCCCTGACTGAGAGAAATACGATATACCACCATCACCACATAGTTCTCATGTGCTGATACAAACAATGGCAAAGACAGAGGGTGCAACTGATGTCTCCCAGTAACATCATGGTCCTCCTAACCTGGTCCCAGGTTTGTCTATGCTGCCGTTTTTGCCATGACAATGGCCATAGGAGTTGACTGCACAGCACAAAAAGATATGGGACCGGGATATCATGGTCCAAGATAAGCTCCAGATCCCTCACCTGATGCCACAGGCCAGCTGGTAGGGGGTAGTGACCCATGCCTGACCCTCCACCCTGCGTCCATCTGGCAGCTCCACAGTGATGGGCTGGCTGTCTGCAGCTCTCCTGGCCAGCAGGGCATCACTCTCCTGTTTCAGCTCCTCATACAGCTGCATGCGCTCCGAGATGTAGCCAGGCCACGGTTTCAGCTGGAAAGAGTAACATGGTGATTTATAGGAACTTAGGGAAAGCAACTGGGGGGAATTATTTGGGTATTGGTAAAGATATGGCACAACTTTGAAGGGAAGCTTGATTGCATGCATGAGAATTCTAGAATAGATGGATGGGATTTTGGACCTTCAGGAGGTAATGTTCCTAATTATTACCTCTCTGCCACCGCCCCCTCCTCCCTGTGCCTTCTCTGGCTTCTCTTTCTTGTTGTTCTCTGGCTTCTCTTTCTTGTTGTTCTCTGGCTTCTCCCTCTTGTTGTTCTTATGAGCAGCAGGTTTGGTCTCATGAGTTGCTGCCTGCACAGATGTGCAAAATCAAAGGTTTGATTTATAGGTGAACAAAAACATGCAAATATTGTCATTGACGTTCAACTTAGTGTAAACCACAAGAAAGAACTGTGGTCTTATATCCATATGATATTCCATAAGCATGTTCAGTGGACTACACACAGAGCTGTCAACCTATTTCGAGACCATGGGGCAGGGGAGGGTTAGGCATAAGGTTGGCAGTGTGTTTAGGTTTAAAATAAAATGTTAATAAGATAAATTGTAGAAATGGGAGGGGTTTAGGCATAATTATTACTTTGTGGCCATGGAAGCTAGCGACAACCCTATTATTATCTGGCAGATGGCTGGATAATGTATCTAGCGAACACTATAGGCTGCCTAGGCTACTACTAGCTGGACTAGGACAGCAAGCTATATGCCACATACAACAACCACACAATTATACATGCACTAAGGTGGTTAGCTAGCTACCTTATTATTATCAGCATTGCGGTTCTTTGGTTGTTGTTGTTGTTCTTTCCCTGTTTTCTCCTGGCCTTTGTTTGTGCCTCCCTTGCCCTGTCCCTCCATCGCGAGCTCTTCCTGGAGACCCCGGCGGAGGTGCACGAGACGAAATTTGAGCTTCTCATTCTCGCTCCGTAAGCTCTCCAGCTCCGGAGAACTGGCGAGAATGCTGGCTACGTCTGGACCACCATTTAGCCCGTCTCGTAAGATGCTAAATTCCCGAGTGAGGAGCTTTATCTGCTCCGCTTGCGCGGCCAAACGTGCTGCCATGCACTCCGCCATCTTTAAATTACTCTTCTCTTTCATCAGCAAGTGGGAATTGGGTCCTCCTGTCGTCAACAGTGAATGGGAATGGAGAGTCATAGCGCCCTCTTGCGCTTTAGGTTTTGTGTTGTAACGCTCACATTTTGATCAGTTAACGTCAGCTTGATGCTGCTATTGTAAAAGCCACATACATAGTAAGAGTCTCACTCTAGCAATGACTGATAACTATTTCAATAAATGTGAGGTTGTCTTCTCTGGATTGCCTTTACAGATAAGCCGAGTATGAAATATCAAACCGGTAGAGGGCAGTAGAAAAATTTGCCATGGTTTGGAGCATCGACGTGTTGACGTGTTTTGATCAGCTGACAACGACATCACAGTGGAGCTAGCTAGCAATGTAAACAATAATTCTGCAACTCATAGGTACTTGAGCCTGAGTAGGGATGTGATTTGAATGTAACTGAAGGAGTGGGATGGTTGTTTGATTTATTTTTGTATTTTGTATTATGTCACCCTCCCCCTTCCCGCAATGGAATATTGTTGGTTTCAATATCCTGTACAGTAGGTGGCGGCAAAACACCAAAAGGTGTAGTCTGCCAATAAAACTTTGAAGAGGAAGAAGAATCATTCTGCAAATTCGGCAGTATTCATACATGAATGACGGTAAATATTTGTCTAAATATACACATTTCTGAGAGTTATAGAACATTGAGAATAGGTATAGAAGATGGGCTGAGTAAAAATATAATTGCTTGCTAGGTAGCAGCAAGTCAGCATAACTGCTATGTATTATACTGTAACTAGGTAGCAGCTAGCTGCAACAGCCATCATTGTAGACGTTCCTGTTTCGTTCCTGTTTCACTTCAGTCTGGTCAGATTTAGGCATTGTTTTTGTAGCTACATTTGATTAAAGTGAAGGGGTCCACAGACACAGCAACTTTGATGCAACTGTGAACATCATCATCATGGCTTCGAGCTTCGACCCACCGAAACTGGCTGATTTCATTCTCACTGAGAGGCTGGGCAGTGGCACCTATGCGACAGTTTACAAAGCCTACAGAAAGGTAGGTCATTCGTTGCAGACCGAGTTAGCTGGATCTGTAGCCTGTTCCGTACTACAGCAGTGTTCAGTCTACTGGATATGTGTGTGCAGGGGGACAACCGGGAGGTGGTGGCAGTGAAGGTGGTTGGGAAGAAGAGTCTGAACAAGGTGTCTATGGAGAACCTGCTGACTGAGATTGAGATCCTGAAGACTGTTCGCCACCCTCACATTGTTCAGCTGAAGGACTTTCAGGTTTACAATCAGTTTAATATTTAATTAGCCCATCCCCACTCATATAAGTACATTTCATATAGGCTATCCTGAGTCCCACATTGCTTGCCAGACAAGACGGCACAAACTGATCTGGGACTCAGCAGGCTACATTTCAAATCCTTGTCTGAGTGAATTGAGTCTAAATCCCGTTCTCTGCCCTTGGTCAGTGGGACAGTGAGAACATCTATCTGATCCTGGAGTGGTGCTCTGGTGGGGACCTGTCCCGCTTCATCCACAGTAGGCGCCTGCTACCTGAGAGGGTTGCTCGACGCTTCCTGCAGCAGATAGGTGAGTCACACCAGAGTCAGTGGTGCTTTAGGTATAAGTAGCCTACATTCTTTAGAGCACTATTTAATGATGTTGAGCAGTTCTCTCTCTCCCTCTCTCCCACTCTCTCTTTTTTCTCGCACTCTCTCTCTCTCTCTCAATTCAATTTAAGGGCTTTATTGGCATGGGAAACGTATGTTAACATTGCCAAAGCAAGTGAAGTAGATAATAAACAAAAGTGAAATAAACAATAAAAATTAACAGTAAACATTATACTCAGAAGTTCCAAAAGAATAAAGACATTTCAAATGTTATATTATGTATATATACAGTGTTGTAACAATGTGCAAATAGTTAAAGTACAAATGGGAAAATAAATAAACATAAATATGGGTTGTATTTACAATGGTGTTTGTTCTTCACTGGTTGCCCTTTTCTTGTGGCAATAGGTCACACATCTTGCAACTGTGATGGCACACTGTGGTTTTTCACCCAGTAGATAAGGGAGTTTATCAAAATTGGGTTTGTTTTCGAATTCTTTGTGGATCGCTGCAATCTGAGGGAAATATGTGTCTCTAATAGGGTCATACATTTGGCAGGAGGTTAGGAAGTGCAGCTCAGTTTCCACCTCATTTTGTGGGCAGTGTGCACATAGCCTGTCTTCTCTTGAGAGCCAGGTCTGCCTACGGCGGCCTTTCTCAATAGCAAGGCTATGCTCACTGAGTCTGTACATAGTCAAAGCTCTCTCTCTCTCTCTCTCTCTCTCTCTCTCTCTCTCTCTCTCTCTCTCTCTCTCTCTCTCTCTCAAATCAATTCAGTACTTTATTGACATGACAAGTTAAATTACTTACATTGTCAAAGTATACATATAACAAAAAATGGTAGGACCAACAGCAATAAGGCACTCTCTCTCCCACTCTCTCTTCTCTTGCTCCATGTCTGAAAACAGCCTGCGCTCTTCAGTTTCTCCATAATCATAACATCTCCCATCTGGACCTGAAACCCCAGAACATTCTGCTCAGTGGTTCTGTCCTTAAACTAGCAGGTACAGCGCACTGCCAAGTGCCACAATCACACTTACATACAGTATTTTTTTGGTCACATTTCTATCTTTATTAATCTCTTGCATTTCATTACCATGGGACTGTGATATGAAACATAGCTGTGAAATCATAGCATTGCCAATATGCCAGAGGTTATTGGTGGCACTGTCTCTGCACTATTCAGTTGTGACATTCAAAAAAAAAAGATGGAATGCAACAGTTGCATCACTGAATCATGCATTAGAGGATTTTGTAATACTACTCCTAGTATTACCAGGTGTATCACAGTCTTGACTTAGACTAGTCTAGTGCCCTTTGCACTGACACATTTTTGCCCTATGCTGTTTTCAGATTTTGGCTTTGCAAGTTACATGTCTCCGTGGGATGAGCAGAGTGCTCTGAGAGGCTCTCCTCTCTACATGGCCCCTGAGATGGTGTGTCGACGGCAGTATGACTCCAGGGTTGACCTCTGGTCTGTGGGAGTCATCCTGTATGGTGAGATCACATATTTAAATGGAGAACTCTCTCCATGCAATTAAATAGAACACTGTCCCATCAAGAACACTCTATGCTCTCTTAAGCACAAACCAGACATTTCAGTGACATCAAACTTCAACGTTACTGCTCTGAATGCCGAAGATGGTTTAAGTTTATATTGCTTTCTCACTTACTCTTGTCATTTATTTGTTGTTCTTCCTTCTGTATGTAGAGACACTATTTGGCCGGGCACCATTTGCCTCCAGATCCTATGCTGAACTGGAGGAGAAGATCCGCAGTGACAAGCCCATCGAGGTAAGCTCTGTTACATCTATCTAACGAAGTGTGTGGTAGCAATGATTGATTCTTCTAAGAGTGGTCACAGAATGAACATTATTTCGCCTGTGAGTTTATTTGCCACCACAGGGTGGCACACTTGCTCAATAAACCTTATCTCTCAGTGGAAGGGACACTCCTGTGCCAGAGTGGGTTCTACAGTCTCCTCCTCAGCCAGTGGTCCTGACAGAGTGTAATTAGTTGGAAGATAGATATAATTTATTTGACCAATTTAAAAATATAATTCCAGCCACAAGTGGACACCCTGCATTCAAAATCATCAAGGATAACTCAAAGTACGTTTTGCAACTTCTTATAAAAAACATTGTGGTCCTCTGGTTGTGTTGTGTGTCCCAGCTGCCTGTGGGGGCCAGAGTATCCAGGAACTGCAGGGACTTACTGCTGCGGCTGCTGGACAGGGACCCTGACACCCGCCTCACCTTTACTCAGTTCTTCTCCCACCCCTGGGTGGACCTCGAGCACATGCCCAGCGCAGAGAGCCTGGGGAAAGCGGTGTGTGTGTGCGTGTGCATGCGGGTGTGTGAGAGAGAGTTAGATGTGTTGGTGTGACTCGATGTCTGTCTCATCTTGCAGAAGGATCTGGTCCTGAAAGCTGTTCAGAAGGACCAGGAGGGGGATAGATCGGCTGCTCTGTCTCTGTACTGCAGTGCGCTGGAGCACTTTGTCCCCGCTGTTCACTGTAAGAGCAACATGCACAACCACTACCTGCCACAATCACAACTTCTCTCAGGTCTCTCATCTATCTAATGTCTAATTCCGTACCACAGTCCAACATCAACTGAAAAGAGATACAAGCTCACAGAACTGGAGATGACATGATCAGAACACTATTGGTAACTGTCTAAGAAATATATATTCTCTCCCCTTTCCAGATGAGACAGACAGACTGCGTAAAGATGCCCTTAGGCAAAAGGTACAGAGTACACAAAGTATATTTAGTCTATTGTATTTTCATACACCAAAGGCTGGACTGAAATTATTTGAATAATATGAATAACGTATGGCATGGATGAAAATCACATGCTATGGATGACATAATAGAATTAAGTCAATGTAAGCAATATAAACCCCTCCTGCAGGTTAGTCAGTATGTGTCCAGAGCAGAGGAGCTGAAAGCGCTGGTGGGTGCAGACAACAGACTCTGCTTTGAGCAGTTCAAGTCCACCAGAGACATCCTGAGAGGTAATACAGCTAACTTTAGCCGTTGTACAGCATAGATACCGTATTCCATTACCCTTATATAGAGGACCTAATTTGAACCCTACTTTATTTGAAGGGAACCTTCGTAAGGACTTGAAAACACATTCATAACACACTCCCAAGGAGCATGTTATCAAGTGTAACTGGGTATTGAAAAGTACCTAGAGGGTGTTCTGAGAAGGCCTCAGGTCCAAACCTTACTCTCTCTCTGTCCCCCTCTCAGAGATGTCCCGTGACCAACCACGCATGCTGGCTGCGCTGGAGCTGGCATCTACAGCCATCTCCATGGTAAGCTGAGGGGACTGGGTATCATGAGCAGGGCATGGAATGATGATGGGGCTCTGGGGAGACTACCAGAGAGGAGTGAGAGAGCTGGGAGGGTGGTAGTGGCTTGTAGATGCTGTCTACAGCAGGTTTGAACTTGGCCTGTAGTGAAGGCTGCAGCTATGGGATCTGGGGGCTTTCTTGAGAGTGGACTACTATACCATAGTGGTACGGCTTCCCTTTTCATAACACACTTGTATTCCATTCCAGGAGGAGAATGGGATGGAGGACCATGACACACTGGCTCTGTACCAGCAGAGTCTGGGAGAACTACTGCTAGCCCTGGCAGGTAAGGTCTGCTCACTGAAAATCACACAGGACTATATTAGTCCTTTAGATGGAGAAAACAATTATTCAGTCATATCTATGCCACATACAGCGTCTGCTGCGTGGACTCTAATAAACACAGATGTGATTTTACAACCCTGCGGGGAGTCCGGGAGTAACAAAGTAATTCAATCTCCAGCATTAAGAGGCTATTACATCAGAGACCGCAGCAGAGCCTGGCCTGAGTTTCTGCTGTGTCTCCAGCCCTCAGCTTTGGCTGGCTGTTATTGTTATTAAAGAGAAACGGTGGCAGTGGTGGCCCATAATGGTCTCCTCTCCTCAGCTCTCTGGCTGCCTCTGCTCTGGCTCAGTGTCTGTATGTAGATTAGACTCCTCTAGGCTGTGGCCTGGTGTCTATTAACCCTGACTCCACATGACCTCATCTGAGAGATGGTCCAAATGGCGGAGGGAGGCCAGGCAGGCAGGAGGGATGGGGATGATGGTGGAGCTGGAGCCAGATGTGTCTTTGAGCTGTGGATTGGACCTGGTGCCAGCGCCCTGTGTGTGGTATAGAGCCACTCGCTGCCATCTGGTTCCCATTGAGAGCCCAACAGTTCATTTCTCAATGTTATTACACACTGGAAACAAATAAAAACTATTATCTGTCTAATAGAGAAGAGACGGCTTGAGTTGTTAAATTATCTTCTGATGGATCAGGGGGATCGGGACCGGAACGTCAGACGTCAGCGAGACCAGGGGGATTGTGGGAGAAAACAATGTCCCTTTTGTCTCACTATAGCCTTTTGTTGATTACGTTCTCTTCCCAGAATGCCTTTCTGCTGGAGAACTGGTCCCCTCTCCTCCTCCTCAGGCAGGCTAATTGAGGAAATGCTGCTTCAGTTTCAAGGGTTCCCCCTGAGCCTCAGTGGGCTATCACAACCAAACTGGCTCTGTAAATGACCCACTCTTGTGCAAACATGGTGATTGGGAGAGCAGTGATCCATCTCTTTCTATTCTCTCCACCCTCCCTCCCTCCATCCTTCTCTTTCTCCCTCTCCTCCCCCTCTATGTCTGTGTCGTCCAGCTGAAGCCCAGGGGCGCAGGAGAGAGCTGCTCCACAGTGAGGTGAGTTACTGGGGGTGAGGTGGATGAGAGTGTTTAGGTGAGAATGTGAGGTGAGGGGGTGAGGAGGCACCTGGTTCAGTGCTCACTGTAACAGCACATAGATCACCTGAAGACAAACACACACACAGGTCTCTGAGACCAAACAAGCACAGCTATATCTGGGACACAACACCCAGGAGCATTCTCTGGTAGTCACGTGAATGTTTACCCTGAATAAAAGCTAATAAGGTAATAGATCAGTGACACTGCAGTTAGGTGCACATATATCACAGTTATATGACACTATAATGGTGTCCACTCCACTAGTAATGGTCAGGTGAAATAGCCAAGCCTTGCCCTTGACATTTAGGTGGAGAGGTATACTCTTGCAACAGTTAATTCAATCAGTCTGACTGTATTAATATTCAGTGGTAAAGAAAAGTTATATTCTTTCATGTTTTGAGCATTTGTTTTGCAAGCAACCAGGTCAACAACACACAACAATGTTTCGACAACAAACCCCAGAGGGAGAGAGATTTAAAGCTGGGCTCATAGACCTCCCTATTTGAAGTTTTATAGGCGCTTGGCTTAAGTAAATTCAGATGTGGCTGTAATAATCTAACGCTGGGGAGGACTGCAGATCGAAAGCATGTGTGTGAGAATGCAAAGAGCCCCGATTGCAGCTAGGAATGGTCTCCATGTGTGTTGGTTCATGTCTCCTCTTGAGCACAGTTCAGCCTTTCTTAACTCAGGTCTGTAATTCCCAGTTCAATATGCCTGGGCTTATCATATAAGAACACCAGCCTTGATCTAGCTGGTAGGTTAACACATTTATATTACAGCTGTAATCTTACTTTGGGTGTAATTTGATAGTATTACAGCCTTGGTATTGAGGTTAATATGATATAAAAGGTTGGAGTCTGGGTGGATGCAACTGCCTCTGTCTCGGTCAGGATGATTATTCTACCCTCTTTTAAAGGGTCATTATAGGAAGCCATCCACCTTGGTCTACCCTCATCATCATCCTCATCACGCCCCCAGACGTTATAGATAGGAGAATGTGAATCACTGTGCATGGATTACAGACTAAACACCACCTCTCACTTTGCAGATCAAGAGCCTAATGACCAGAGCTGAATACCTCAAAGAACAGATCAAGGTAGGAATAGCGATGACTTGATATTAGATATTAGTAGATATAAACCCTTTAGGTATATTATATATTAGTAGATATAAATCCTGTAGGTATATTAGATATTAGTAGATATAAACCCTGTAGGTATATTAGATATTAGCAGATATAAACCCTGTAGGTATATTAGATATTAGCAGATATAAACCCTGTAGGTATATTAGATATTAGTAGGTATAAACCCTGTAGGTATATTAGATATTAGCAGATATAAACCCTGTAGGTATATTAGATATTAGTAGGTATAAACCCTGTAGGTATATTAGATATTAGCAGATATAAACCCTGTAGGTATATTAGATATTAGTAGGTATAAACCCTGTAGGTATATTAGATATTAGTAGATATAAACCCTGTAGGTATATTAGATATTAGTAGGTAGAAACCCTGTAGGTATATTAGATATTAGTAGATATAAACCCTGTAGGTATATTAGATATTAGTAGATATAACCCTGTAGGTATATTAGATATTAGAGGTATAAACCCTGTAGGTATATTAGATATTAGTAGATATAAACCCTGTAGGTATATTAGATATTAGCAGATATAACCCTTTAGGTATATTAGATATTAGTAGATATAAACCCTGTAGGTATATTAGATATTAGTAGATATAAACCCTGTAGGTATATTAGATATTAGTAGATATAAACCCTGTAGGTATATTAGATATTAGTAGATATAAACCCTGTAGGTATATTAGATATTAGTAGATATAAACCCTGTAGGTATATTAGATATTAGTAGATATAAACCCTGTAGGTATATTAGATATTAGTAGATATAAACCCTGTAGGTATATTAGATATTAGTAGGTATAAACCCTGTAGGTATATTAGATATTAGTAGATATAAACCCTGTAGGTATATTAGATATTAGTAGATATAAACCCTGTAGGTATATTAGATATTAGTAGGTATAAACCCTGTAGGTATATTAGATATTAGTAGATATAAACCTGTAGGTATATTAGATATTAGTAGGTATAAACCCTGTAGGTATATTAGATATTAGTAGTATAAACCCTGTAGGTATATTAGATATTAGTAGATATAAATCCTGTAGGTATATTAGATATTAGTAGATATAAACCCTGTAGGTATATTAGATATTAGTAGGTATAAACCCTGTAGGTATATTAGATATTAGCAGATATAAACCCTGTAGGTATATTAGATATTAGTAGATATAAACCCTGTAGGTATATTAGATATTAGTAGTATAAACCCTGTAGGTATATTAGATATTAGCAGATATAAACCCTGTAGGTTTAGATATTAGATAAACCCTGTAGGATATTAGATTAGTAGTAAACCCTGTAGGTATATTAGATATTAGCAGTATAAACCCTGTAGGTATATTAGATATTAGTAGATATAAACCCTGTAGGTATATTAGATATTAGTAGGTAAAACCCTGTAGGTATATTAGATATTAGTAGGTATAAACCCTGTAGGTATATTAGATATTAGTAGGTATAAACCCTGTAGGTATATTAGATATTAGTAGATATAAACCCTGTAGGTATATTAGATATTAGTAGGTATAAACCCTGTAGGTATATTAGATATTAGTAGATATAAACCCTGTAGGTATATTAGATATTAGCAGATATAAACCCTGTAGGTATATTAGATATTAGCAGATATAAACCCTGTAGGTATATTAGATATTAGAGATATAAACCCTGTAGGTATATTAGATATTAGTAGGGTATAAACCCTGTAGGTATATTAGATATTAGTAGATATAAACCCTGTAGGTATATTAGATATTATAGATATAAACCCTGTAGGGTATATAGATATTAGTAGATATAAACCTTTAGGTATATTAGATATTAGTAGATATAAACCCTTTAGGTATATTAGATATTAGTAGGTATAAACCCTGTAGGTATATTAGATATTAGTAGATATAAACCCTGTAGGTATATTAGATATTAGTAGATATAAACCCTGTAGGTATATTAGATATTAGTAGGTATAAACCCTGTAGGTATATTAGATATTAGTAGATATAAACCCTGTAGGTATATTAGATATTAGTAGGTATAAACCCTGTAGGTATATTAGATATTAGTAGATATAAACCCTGTAGGTATATTATATATTAGTAGATATAAACCCTGTAGGTATATTAGATATTAGTAGGTTTGTACAGGGTTTATATCTACTCAGTGTGTTTAATCCCAAGCAAACATTTATGTCCATGATTTTGAGTCGTGTCATCTTTTGTGTGTCTTTAAGATGCTGGAGACCCAAAAAGACGTGTCAATGGATAGAGAGCCTCTATCAGAATCAGTGAGAAGTTGTGAGTATCCCTACTCTCTGCAGTGAATAGTAGCTGTGACTATTCACATTTCCCCTTAGATATTGTGTACGCGCTGGTGTAGGTGTGTGCGCCATAGAACGTCCCACCAGAGGGGCTTGCAGACTGGGCAGTGGGATATACGAGGGCTTAAGTGAGAAATGGCCGCCTGAAGCTGTAATGAAATTTCCCTTCAGTGGAGGTTTTTCCACTAGTAAAACACAAGCCGTTCTCTTACCATGCTGACCTCCCCGTGGGAGTGTCTGGATCTTTGATTTCAGCTCAGTCCTGCACAGCGCTGGGCTGCTCTGCCCTCTGACCTCCTATAAAACCCACCTTGTGAAAGTGAGACTTGGTTCTAACCAAGGAGAAGAAGAACCCCCCCCCCAGTCCCAACACACACACATGCACAACACACACATGCACAACACACACGCACACTAGCTGCAAGGGAGGGAGTTAGTTGATATATAGTAGAGCCAGACAATATCCAGACAATATCCTGTTTCGAGTTAGAAATTCCAGAGGAATTATGGGCAAAGGGGGTTCAATGAATTTGGAACGGATTCAGATTTCATAAACATGGCTTGTTACGTTGCTGTTGTTTTAACACGCCCGCGGCCACAGTCAGCCATGTCATGTTGGCTGCTCTCCAGCTGGAGGGTCACAGAAATCCCAAGACTGTCTGGCTGGTGACCTTTAAACTACTACTACGCTAACTACAAACACAGCAGTAAAGTCTAGGCCTAATGCTCTCATTCTGTATCCTAAATGGCACCCTATTCCATACATAGTTCAGCCCGGTCAAAAGTAGTGAGCTATGTGGGAATAGGGTGCCATTTGGTACACTGCCTCAGTCTCTGAGCTTGTCCGATAATACAGGACAGTAATACAGGCATTCTACTTGTTTTGCCATGTGCGTTGAATACATTGGACATCTTAATTACTCAACAGAAATCTACTCACAGATCAGTACTGAGGTAAGCCATGTCTGTATGATAATAATGCAGTCTCTAACATCTGTCTGTCGATGCTCGCCCTCCACAGCATGCTGTGTGCAGTGAGCCAGCCTGGCAGTAGGAACCAGAGAGAGCGGCCATCGTGTCTGCGGAACCCCAGACCTCCTGCCTCTCTATATGTCAGGTTAAGGAATTCCTCAGGCCTCTGAGACCATGGCCTCAGTAGTCTCGCATCACTATACTTGTAAGTCTCAATCATCGCACGGCTGTTGTTTCCCAACAAACGTGAGAAAGCCTGGAAATGGAGGCTATGGCATCAGAGACAATCTACCCTGGACTTCAACTAGCAGCTTATCAGCCTTGCATCCCCCTCACCACCACCAACACAACACATAAGACTGTCACAGTCTCCAGTCACCGCTCAGCCTCAAAGCCCTCCTGCCAAACCATTCATATGGAAAGGCTGGACAGCTTGTATGCTAATACTGTACTGTCATGATAAACTAGGACTGTATCATGTTGTTGTATTATGTTGCAGGATGAATAAGGGTAATAATGAGCCTCTAAAATGCTTATAGTTGTCTAAATAGATGGCGACTTGAACTCAGAATGGCTACCCAGCATAACGAGTTTGTAGTCTGTAACTGAAGGGAGTTATCGAAATTGATCATGAATATTTGGGAAAGCCCTTCTGGCATCTGTCGCCACAGACACACACACACACACACACACACACACACACACAAACGAAATCCCTTTTCTGTGGCCTGACCACAGCCTCACCACGCTCTCTCCGCTGATGGAGCAGCCTCTACCACTATGAGAGGAAAACTGGAGAGGTGCGGCTGCTGCCTTATTTACTCTCTAGACTTTCATTTACTTTTGGCTTGGCACCGGTCAGGATGAAGGCATACAGTAGCAACTGTGAAGTCAAGGCGTGCGTCACTACTCAGCCTGCTTTAGTGGCCTGCCAAAAGGTTGGACATTTGGTGACAGGTTAACAGTTACTGCTGTTGTGGGTCTTTTCCTTTGTATTTGTTTTCAGTCAGCCAGGTTGTGTGTATGAATCTACTTTCAAGGGAACTTTTAGTATTTGTGAATATAGTGTATCATAGGAAGCTATCTGCTGTCTGTAATCAGGAAATGGAATGGTGTAACTGACAAGGAAGGGAGTGCAAAGAAATGTCTGTTGAATTGAGAACTGACAATTGTGTATTGTTTTTGTTGAAACATTTTGTATGGGTATGATTTTATAAATTATTTATTACCGTAAAATGGCTGATTCAATTGAAAATAAAATTGCTATGTACAGTGTTCTCATGGCCTGTATTCATTGTGTTTTAAGATAAAGGCCATACTTTGTCCGTGAAGTATTTTTTATTTATTTTTATCAAGAGTAAATTAACATACTTGTAGTTCAGGTTGAAATGTAAAGCTTGGTACATTAGCTTTGTGGTAGGAGTGTAAGGGTTCATGGATGTCTTGGTGAGTCTGTCGCTGCCTGTTGGAGGTCTCCTGCTGTCTCCTGGCTACATAGTCACCATTTGGTTCCCTCTACTGAGGACACAGCTGGACCATTTCCATAACGTAAGGAGAGGAAGCTCTAATGTAGTCCAGGGTAGCAGAGCGGGTAGAGGACTGGCAGGAGCACCAGTAGAGATGGAGGTATACGCTAGAAGAGAATGCCAAGAAGTTGAATAGTGAACCATTATGCCTTTTACCCCTCTGACCCCCTTGCCAACCAACCACAGCCCCGTGGCATTGTGGGTTTAATTGGCCTCCATTTCAGTGCAGGTCCATCATGAGCACTTGTACCCTTTCCCCCTCTCCTGGCTCTATATCAGCCTCTGTTGGTACTCCTAATGGGACAACGGTGGAGCTGTATTGACATCAGCTAAAGTTATAAAGGGGGGTGGGTGGGGGGTTAATCCGTAAGGAACTAAGGACCTCTCAACTTCCCAACCCCCAAACACACACACATCAACCATTCACCATGGGTAGACTGCTATCATGAATAGAACATTGTACAGATGAGAGACAACTCTCCCCTAAATCCCTGTGTCACCCCCTCTCCTAGGCCTGGGGGAAGGAGAGAGAGAGGGGGCAGGCAGGGGTTTGTTTCAGAGAAACGTTGAATAAAGATAATTTAGAAAATGGGCTCCAGCACACTGCAGCCTCTGTAAATCCTCCCTCTGCCGTCCCCCACTCACCCCAAGGCTCCCCTGCTTATGTTTGTTTTGATTTTGTTCCCAGAAGCTGAGTGGGGGATTTTAAGGAGGGGTGGGGGTGAGTTAGAGTTGGAGAACTTTTAGATGCATGGCGATGGTTAGACAGATTGGACTGAGCCGAGTTAGGAGGGTCTTACCTCAACTATACAGAATCCATTTCCCTCCCTTCCGTTTCTAAATGCACCAGTGAAACTGACTTTTGAACAATCTAAGGACTCTCTGTTAAGCGTTACATTATTTTCTAAACAAAATACATGCTGGTCTATAGAGCAGAGTTACTTTTTAACTCTGCACTATTGGGAAAGGGCTCGTAAGTAAGCATTTCACTGTAAAGTCTACACCTGTTGTATTCGGCGCATGTGACCAATCAAATTTGATTTAGGGGAAGATGGGTAGGGGCCAACTTGGTCAGTCTATTGTCAAAGGAACCATGAATTCAACACAGATTTTCTTTCATGACTTCAAATTCCACTTATCTTGACTACTTAAAACTTAATAGATTACATAACACTTTTACACAGTTTGTTAATGACCTGTAAATAATGAATTATTACTATGAGCTATTTCTGCCAAAGCTTTATATTTACCTACTAACTGACCTAAAAAGTTATTAGCAGGATTTAGGAGATTAGTAGACACTAAAAGTCTACAAAAACACACATCGCATTCTCACTGTGATATAAAAACTAGACATATTAATGTGCTATATTTCCTTTGTTATTTCTCTGAAAAGGAAATTGTAGACCAAGAGAACTGAGAAACACTAGAAGGCAAAACTACCAAATGCACAACCCCGCATTCTCAAGGGTCATGACTGACCTTTTAACACCTACAGGGACGCAGAAAGTGCAGTTTGTACACAAGTAATTAGGTACAATTTACCTGGTTGTTTCCTAGACACAGTGTCAAAGGAAGCAGTAACGTATACCTGAAATGTCTCAAAGAGCACAGAGAGTCCTGGCCGTCTCTTCCAAATTAGATGTATTGTGCAGCCAGACACTTAAAATTCCTGTTTGGGTTTCAGTTATACTGGGCATGATCCCTAAAGTATTACACAATGCTGGCATTATGAAAGGTACACAGCAGTCACACAGTTACTTGTTGTTTCAGCAGCCACAGGAGGCATTGATTTAGATGCAATCACCCTGTTCTAGGACTTGATTTAATATTGTGTCAACAAAATACGCGTCTCTAAAATGTTTTTACAAATTCCGGGGAAGACGGATTATATGAGAAGACAATAGTTGTGAGAAGTCCTGCTTTGTCTTTTTATGTAAAAGTTGCTACCAGAAATGCAAGTGTATCATTTCAAAGATCAACGCAGTAGACATTCAAACCGACTCAATGTCTGCTGGTCCTTTAGCTTTGCTTGGCAATGGCACAAGTTGACATTCAAAGACGACACGTGACTTTGGAGCCTGATCCAAAATGACATTTTCCCCTTATTGAACATTCCAGTCTTCTTCTCTAGTTCCAGCACAGTTACATTTGCCTATACTTTAGGTCTGATACTTTTGGTGTGATGTTTCATTTAGTTGGGGGTTGGGAAACATTCCTACTTTTGAATAACATACAAGATGTCAAATAAACAGTTGGACTTTTTGACTCACACTTAATCATTTTATTACATACATTCTTTCCCATATATAACAACTATCCATTATTTCTTTCCACACTGGTTGAGATGACAAATCTACCTGCAGTATTGTTTCAAAAAACATTGTTTTTGTAAATGTAAACTACTGCCATATTATTCATGAGGTGGTGTATTGACTGCAAAGTCACAATGGACATAATTGGAGACACTAATTTACAGCATTAATATATAACATATAAATGTAAAACATAGATTCCTTCCGTATTTACTTTTTTATATATATATAATTTAACATCAACATGACAGTTACATTTCCATATGGACCAGCATCTACCCGACAAGGTGAAAGAAAAAAGAAATGACATTGACAATCATGACAAAAACGAAGATTAGTTTAGAAAAAACTTCAAGTGACATCTTGTAAAGATAAGGACACAGGAATGATTAGCTTCATTGAAAGATAATAAATGAACTTTTTTTTAGCTTTTTCCCTTCTTACTAAATATCTAGGCTAACTGTCAAGCATGTTTCTAGCCTGGAAAGGAACCCATTACACTTTATATGAAATGAATAATAAATTAAACTAGGCCTATCAACAAGTAGCTTATGTACTGCCATTCAAAGTAATAAACTGGGATTTCTTATTTTTTCTGAGAGAAAAACAATAGTGCCACTTCTTTTGTACATAAAAGTCTATGATAAGTCCGCATTCACCTTGTAGAGGCCAGTCTATAATGAGAAGGGTGACTTCTTGCTTCAATTTTCCGGGGGGAGCCCAACTGCCCATTGCCACTCAATAAAGAAAGGGGGAGAGTGGGGGGACATTTTAAATAAAACTATCAAGAGTGGGGGATGTGTCATGGGGGGTAGGGGGGCTGCTGGAGAGGCACTTCAGTTAATTTAACTAGGCCTACTTGATCCCAAACCCTTGTCTGTTCAATAGCAGTTCCCCACAAATATTTGAAGTGTGATGGCTGCAACAATGCAGAGGCCTCTAAAATAGAGAGGAAAGCAAACAGAAACTGGACTGGTCCAATGTTTATCTTAAGTCTTAATAAAGCCACACTCCAAGGACCATTGAGACGAAACTAAACAAATAGGCATAAGAGCTTAAAAGGTAGCCCAGAAGTAATGGATGCAATGCCCAATGAGGAGTAGTGTTACAATGAAGTCAAGTTTGGTTCACTTCTCCTTAAACAATCACTTTATGGATCTTTACACTCTAGAAGATGATTATTTTTCATTTCGACCTAGGATATTCCATGAGTAGCCTAGGCCTAGTTTACAAATTGAATTGGTGCTCTGAATGTCGTGTCCATTCTTGTGTCCCAGATTAAGGCATCACATCAAAATATGAAATATCCATTAGGCCTTTAGGAGTTTATAAGGAGCAAATAGTCTTCCCGCTACACCAAACCCACGTGCTCATTAGATTGGACCCGTCCCCGAGCATACATTCCTGTCTGTCCAACTGAGAGGTCACAACAAGAGGCCACATTCAATTCTCAATAGAATATCCGTGCAAGAGTGATGCAGAATAAGGCCATATAGCTCGACAGCTGCGGTGAACTAGAATTTGAGTCAGGAGGATATATCTCCTCTGTTTTCGAATCGTAGTCTTCATCCTCATACATATCGTCCATATCTGCCTGGTCTGAAATAACACTGTGGTCTCCAATCTGGCACAGTTTGCTCATGTTCTCCTTGACTACCTCACAGAACGGCCTTTCCACCCCGTCGCACACACACCGGTTTAGTAGCATGCCATTTGGGATGAATAGCATCTGTTGTATTGTGGCCTTGCACCTGGACGAGCATTTCCTGCCGTTGAAGAGTTGCCCACAGTAAGACAAGTAGGCTGTCAGGGAGGAGTGGCAGCCGGTATCCTCCTCGCAGCGTTGACGGGCCTCTGTGCATCCTATCCCCCCCGCGTCTCCAGGATATCTTCGGGGGAGGCATGGCTCAATCGCCTGCTTTGCATCCCTACACTCCATGTCCTGGCCACAGTCACACCTCTCGAGGTAAGGCCCATTGCGGGTGTGATTCAGTCTTATCAACGCGTTTATACAGTGGCTGGGGCATTGCCTCCTGGTGCCTCTGATGTTTCCTTCACAGGCGGCTTGATACTGGCTGTATGCAAGCTCACAGTCTGCCTCCTCATGGCATCGTAGCAGGGCTTGCCAACATATTAACTGGGCATCTAGCGCCACCAGCACCGATGAGAAGAGCGCCAGAGCGCTGCACCAACTTTTCATGCTGGAGAGAGCTCTAGTTCGGCGATGCGCACATTTTCCTCCACTTAGTGCGGGACAAAACGTAATGTAACTAATAAACCCATTTAGTATGAGGCATTTATGGTCCAAACAGAAATGTATTTAGTAGGCATGTATGGTCCAAACAGAAATGTATTTAGTAGGCCTAGCTACAAACCTAAAGATGTCCCTCTGCCTCTCCAATACACGCTTGACAGTTGTGGAATAACAGTCCGTTTTATGAGGGTGAATGAATCCAGTCTGGGACGAATGAGTAAGAATGTTGTAATCCTTTGCATAGATTCAGCTACGCTATAAAGCAACAATTTCCTCCGCAAAACTGTCACAGTCGTGTCAGGAAAAAGGAACAAAAAAGTGACCACATGCGCTGTCTAAAGTTCGGACACCTACTATCCACATTTCTTGCCCTAGTTTGAAAGCATAACTATTTTTGCTCTTGTTTTCAAAATATGTCCAACTTTCTTGGCTTTAAAAAACGTTCATATTTTCCGTGTTCTGTATTCCATACTATTTTGGTTGAATTCATTAGGACTGCCACTTCTCACTGTCGCATTTTCTCCCGCTATGTGTCTTTGTCCCCCTCTTGCAGTTACGTTTCACGCTTCGTTAATCTTTTCCCCACAACACCCCTCCTTCTCCTGAAAAAGAAAGGAAAGTTTTCCTTCCACCCTCTCCCATTTACAATCCTGGTCAACGATTGGTCGTCATTGGGGAGTCCGTGGGACTCATTTCTATAGCAACGTAGTTTTTGGCAATCTGCTCGTCATACAGGATAAATAAAATGTTTATAAATTTAATGAAACTCACGACCTGTGTGGTCCCCCCTTACAAAACACGTCAAAGTTTGGGGAGGTAGTGAGTGGGGGGTGCACACAAGCCCCATAGCAGTCGACAGAAGGAATTCCATTGCTAGAAGCTCACATCTGCACCCACAGCTCCAATTTTAAGTGCAGAAAAAACAAATCTGTTCCTTTTTAGCGATAACCCAAGGAGGGAAACCTCTATGAAAACCGTCGCACTGTGAGGGTTTCACTTAAAGTTCTACTAATTGTCGCTCTGTTCACTCTCCCTCTCGCTCTTCATTCTAGTGAGTTTTTAAGCCCTGATTGATAGAACAGAATGGAAGAGAATAGTATTGTCTGGCCCGTTTCACCCCAATTGTGTCAGATTGGCCATGCAGTGGCACCGTGTCTTTCTAGGCTGAAGATTGTTCACGCCCTGCGCCTATCAATAGAGGAAGGTTTCAGCATCAATATATTTTACAGCTCTCCCCTTTCACACCGCACTTGAAAACTACCAATAGCTCAGGCTTCTCTGCTATTGAAATGCTAACTAACTTGTTTTGGAAAAAAGCGATTGGAAAAACCCGTAGCGACACCCGGGCTGTCTAGAAATTTCACAAAGCAGTTTCTGGCTGGCTTCTCCCTGAAAAACATTGTACACTTTTGCACAGAGCCAATGATTCTGCAAGATGGCTGAGCTTATTATCAGACTTCACTGGAATGTAAAGTTGCCACTAATAATGGTAATAATAATACTAAAATAATAATAACATCATTATGAAGGTTAATTTAAGAACGTGGTTATAACAACGGTTATAACAACTATAATATAATCATTTGGCCTATCATTGTAATGATAATAATTTCATGATAGTAAACCTTGATCTGATGAGGGGCTAATATGGATTTTGGATTCAATTCAGTTTGTCATTAATTCAACAATCATCAAGTAACAAACATTCCGATGACATTGTAGTTTTGTCTCCACCTAGTGTTCAGAACATTAGGTTTTGGTTTTATAGCCTCAAACCATGGCTACTGTAAATTATATGTTATAAATCTTCTGTCCTGGAGTTTCTGACCAGATGGTCAGGCATGCTGGATAACAAATGGAGAAACATGAAGCATACATAATACAAATCTGTTTATTATGGTTTCTGTTTATTATGGTTTCAACAGTCAGTCAAAAATCAATAAGATTCATACAGCACTGAACAACAAAGATGATGTAAAAGAAGCAAAGAGTGGACAGGAAACAGAAACATCATGAACAACATGTCTCTTCCTGAAATATTATCATGAGATCAACCTGAATCACCCCATAGGGTGACTGGAAATGAAAGAGGCTCTTGCTGTTGGCTTTAAAGTATCATTGCAGGTCACACACTTTAATACAGAGAGATATGTATAGGTGATCAGGCTCTGTAAGACTTGAGTAAGAATGAATTATATTCACACTTGTTTGTCTTGTTTCATGGAACTGACAAGAAAGCACAAAGTAGCTATCACATAAAATAAGCTACTAAGGCATGTTCACCATCCTTTCTTCAAATTCAAGTACTGTAACGTCACGAAAGGACTGTTGAACTATCACAAGACATGAACCACTGTATTGAAGAAATATATACTGTATATTACTGTAATATAAATAAGGTTGACAAACCCCTCTCCCGCTCTCACCTGCGTCTTTACTTAGTGATACAACAACAATTCAGACACATACCAAGTACTATATGTTCATATATATGTTAATATATGTTCATAGTAATGTGTACTTATTAAACACTATGACCAGCACTCAGCCAGAGGATGACACTTTCAAAGACAGCACTTGACATATCATAGCGGCTAAACGACACCAAACCACTGGCACAAAACAGCACTGAGATGGAGAGGTCAGGGGTTAGAGGTCAATATGAGGACAGGTTAAAGGCCAGAGTTGAAAGGTTAGATGTGTTGGCATCACAGAGCACGAGCTGTCTCCAACGAGTTAATGACCATAGACTAGATGGACAACAGAACAGGCTAACCGCAAATACATTTACACCTGCAATAGATACAACAGACACTTGGTTTGGAATGTACTGATTGTGGTCCCAAGACATAGAAGTTTTATTTAGTCTCACACTTAATATTACTATTTGATATACTTTGTGCCATTGTCTGAACGGTTTTCTGCTAACGGACTTTGGCATAAGACTATTACTCTGTTTCCCCTACAGCTTAGACAGTGTTTACTCTGATTCCTTGGCCAGAAGATGCTACAGTATGTTTATGTGTGTGAGGCAGTGTTGACTGTATGTGTGTGTATTCAAAGCAACATGACTATCAACGTTTGTACATGGTCATAGATCATATGATATCTTACATAGATCCTTTGTTGTATAGAGAAAGAGAGTAAGGGGATAGAGAGAGAGCAGGAACTCAGTCAGCCAGCCAGATCACATGAGATTGCACTTCTCAGCGGACTGTTTGAGGTCTTCCAGCGTGGCCTGGGCCTTGTCCTTCAGCTGGTCAATGTCCACATTCTGGATGTTGGTCAGCTGGCCCAGGACAGACGTTTTGGACTCCTCCTCCTTGTTGTCGTCAGCGATCATCTTGGCTAGCTCTGTGGGCAGCTCTACGTCATCCCCCGCCTGCTGGATCTGAGTGTCATCCAGCTCATTCTGGGTCACACACACAGCGGGGACACACACACAGGCCAGTGGGTGAGGGTGTAGGAAGCAAGGGCAAGGGAGAGGAATGAGATGATTGAGCGATAGTGAGAAAGGAAAGAGAGTACAAACAGAACACATTTGGATGGTATTTTTGAATGTAGTAAGAAAATGCTTGCATCAAATATGCAGAATCAGTAATGGATGTACCTTTGGCAGTCTGTATTTGTCCCGGAAGTGACTTCTAACTGTTGCCCGCTCAGCTTTCTTCTGGGCAAAACTAGCATCTCGTTCCTGCCTGGGGAAAACCAGAGCGAAAATGGTGTAACAGTGGATGAAATAGTGTCGCTGCATGTAAACAAACACACACACAAACACACACACACACACACACACACACACACATAACGTCTGCAAAGGTGGGATAATCTCGAGGCCTTACTCAAGTTGATGCTTCATAACGAACGCCTCCTTCAGTCCACCTCCGTAATTAGACTGAAGGATTAAGGATTTAATGGCATTAGTAGATACTAGATAGCATTAGTGGCAATGTGAGGACAGATGCTGTAATGATAATTTTTGTCATCCATAAGGCTTTTTGTAATATAAATATGTAATGGTCTTTAGTATGGAATGTCGTTAGATTTGTTGGAAATGTGATGTATCACAAATGCACAAATTCATTGGTTACGATTAGCCACATAGCTCAGCCATCGCGGTTAGAGTATTGGGCCAGTAACCGAAAGGTGGCTGGTTCGAATACCCAAGCAGCCAAGGTGAACAATCCGTCGATGTGCCCTTGAGCAAGGCACTTAACCCTAATTTGCCCCAGGGGAGCCGTACTATTATGGTTGACCCTGTAAAACAACACAATTCACTGCACCTATCCAGTGAATGTGACAATATTAGATTTTTATACCACTGTGGATCTCATAGTGAGGGTTGAAAGAAAAGAGCACAGGGAGTCCTCTGCTGAACTGCACTCTGACTCAAGAGTCTATGTCACGCCCTGACTCAGGGGACGGTTATTTGTTGAGTCAGGGTGTGTATATTTCGTGTTGTGTTTATTTCTATGTTTATTTTCTAGATCGTTTAGATCTATGTTGGCCAGGGTGGTTCCCAATCAGAGGCAGCTGTAGCTCGTTGTCTCTGATTGGGGACCATACTTAGGCAGCCTTTTGGCACCAGTCTGGGTGGGATCTTGTTCCGTAAAGGTATGTTATTTGTCTACCTTGGACTTCACGTTTCGTTTGTTCTTTTGTCGTGTGTTCAGTACGGAAATAAATATGAATGCATATCACGCTGCGCCTTGGTCCTTCTCGTTAATGAACGAGCGTGACAGAAGATCCCACCAATCCTGGATCAAGCAGCGTGATGAGGAGAGAGGATGGACTTGGGAGGAGATGAGCGAGAGTCTGGCAAGAGGGATGGAGGCCATGATCACGGGGGAGAGACAAGCCCAAAACATTTTTAGGGGGGGGCTCACGCCGTGGACGACGAGGCAGCAGGAGGCCACGATAGAGCGGTTCAGCCGTTTAGCAGAGGAGGCCGCCAGATTAAGGGGGTCATTGGTGCAGAGGGAGCAGAAGGAAAGTGTAGAAGCACGGCGAGAGGAGCTGGTTAGGCAGCAGAAGGAGCGGGGGTTAATGAGGGAACCCAGTCCCGCTCCTTGCACTAATCAAGTGGTGCGTGTCGCCAGTCCGGTCCGGCCCGTTCCTGCTCCCCGCACCAAGACAGTGGTGCGCGTCGTCAGCCCAGTCCGGCCCGTTCCTGCTCCCTGCACCAAGCCAGTGGTGCGCGTCGTCAGCCCAGTCCGGCCCGTTCCTGCTCCCTGCACCAAGCCAGTGGTGCGCGTCGTCAGCCCAGTCCGGCCCGTTCCTGCTCCCCGCACCAAGCCAGGGGTGCGCGTCGTCAGCCCAGTCCGGCCCGTTCCTGCTCCCCGCACCAGGCCAGTGGTGCGCGTCGTCAGCCCAGTCCGGCCCGTTCCTGCTCCCCGCACCAAGCCAGGGGTACGCGTCATCAGCCAGGTCCGGTCCGTTCCTGCTCCCCGCACCAAGCCAGTGGTGCGTGTGTCCAGTCCGGCACGGCCCGTGCCTGGTCCGGCACCGGTCAGCTGCTCCACTCCGGAGCCAGAGTAATCCGCTCCACCGGGGTCCAGTCCAGCCCCGGTCAGCGGCTCCACTCCGGAGACAGAGCAGTCCGCTCCACCGGTGCCTGATCCAGCTCCAGTCAGCGGTTCCAGACCAGACCAGGGGCGCAACGGGGAGGTGGAGAGTAAGTGGTGGTTACACCCGGAGCCGGATCCGCCTCCGAGGCGGAATGCCCACCCGGCCCCTACCCTATTAGGTTTATGTGGCGCGGTCGGAGTCCGCACCTTTGGGGGGGGGGGGGGGGGGGGGGGTACTGTCACGCCCTGACTCAGGGGACGGTTATTTGTTGAGTCAGGGTGTGTATATTTCGTGTTGTGTTTATTTCTATGTTTATTTTCTAGATCGTTTAGATCTATGTTGGCCAGGGTGGTTCCCAATCAGAGGCAGCTGTAGCTCGTTGTCTCTGATTGGGGACCATACTTAGGCAGCCTTTTGGCACCAGTCTGGGTGGGATCTTGTTCCGTAAAGGTATGTTATTTGTCAACCTTGGACTTCACGTTTCGTTTGTTCTTTTGTCGTGTGTTCAGTACGGAAATAAATATGAATGCATATCACGCTGCGCCTTGGTCCTTCACGTTAATGAACGAGCGTGACAGTCTAGGCCAACAGAAGGTGGACGAGCAGCAGTAACGCCTGGGGGTGGAGGAGGAGGAGGAGGAGGAGGAGGGAGGGAGGGAGGGAGGGAGGGAGGCTGTGCTCTTGCAGTGAGACCCAGATGCAGTCTACTGCCGGTCCACTGCTCTACTGGGGAATTATATTCAGACTTCTGGGATGTAGAGTGGCACTGACTGACTGACTGACTGACTGACTGACTCACTGACTAGCACTCACCTACTTCCACAGCTGCCAATTTAGTGAACCCACAGAAGCCTAGGATCACACCACTCTACATAATACTACACCCTCCCAACCCAGAACCTAGGACGACACCACTCTACAGAACTCTACACCCTCCCAACCCAGAACCTAGGACGACACCACTCTACAGAACTCTACACCCTCCCAACCCAGAACCTAGGACGACACCACTCTACAGAACTCTACACCCTCCTAACCCAGAACCTAGGACGACATCACTCTACAGAACTCTACACCCTCCCAACCCAGAACCTAGGACGACATCACTCTACAGAACTCTACACCCTCCTAACCCAGAACCTAGGATGACATCACTCTACAGAACTCTACACCCTCCCAACCCAGAACCTAGGACGACACCACTCTACAGAACTCTACACCCTCCCAACCCAGAACCTAGGACGACACCACTCTACAGAACTCTACACCCTCCCAACCCAGAACCTAGGACGACACAATGCTACATAACACTACACACTCTGAACCCAGAGCCTAGGATTACTCCACTCCAGAACACTGACTGAGTAGCACACCTCCTTTTACAGCTGCCAAACCAAAGCCTTGGATCACCTCACTCTACAGCACACTACAGCCACCCAGACACCACAACACACCCCATCACCATCCTATGTCCTCAGCCCTACACCACCATACAAATATCATCATACTGCAAGCCTTATGTTGAGGTAAATCAGGTATTTATACTCTCCACCACGTACAGCAATCCAGCAATGCTACCCATTTGGTAACTCCAGCAGAGGGCAGACAAGAGACAGTTTGTGTTTTCCGTGCCAGCCCTTTAAGTATTACTCAAATAATCTTGGTCCCTAATTTTCCAATATCAGATTGAAACTATCACTGAAAATGTGAAAATCTGATATAAACACCTGAATAGGATTTAAATCTTTCAAAGGACAAGACTTACACCTCGCACCAAACATTCCGAAGCAGAGACTCCATGAACCGAGATGACGTCATGTGACCTATGTGATCATGCCAACAGTGTGGTCTGAATGACAGCATGACATCATAATGCATACATACAGTACTGTAAACAATGGCATGATACATGTGCATGGCCAATGATAAGGTCATATCCCTATCATCCAGGGGATACAGGAACAGCCTTGGGCATACGCAACATAGGTGGTCGCCTAGGGCCCTATCAGCAGTTTTCCTTGTTATGTCAGTCACTGACAGTCACTCAATTAGCCCATGTCAGCTAATATTTTTTAGATTGGTAAATTAGTCTACCCAGCTATCTAAACGTGTAGTAATCATGGCCGATTTACCGACCGAGCACGAAGGGCCTGACCTCCAGGGGGCCCCAATTGATTTTGTTAGTCACTCTCATTCAGATATCATATGAACATGGCATAAGTCATGGCAAAATGTGTAGAATTTCAGGAAATTTGCTTTAAAACTGTACTTTTTTCTCTCCGCCCCATGGAAAAATGAAGAAAACTTGCTTTAAAACTTCTAAATGTTCTCTCCGCTGTCAAGAGGGGGTCACTAAAATGTTTTGCCCGTGAGGTTGGGACCCCCCCAACCAAATCTTGCCTTGGTCCCCCAAAAGGCTAGGGCTGGCCCTGAGGGGATATATACTGAATGTACAAAACATCAAGAACACCTTCCTAATATTGAGTTGCACCCCCTTTTGCCCTCAATACGTCGGGGTATAGACTCTACAAGGTGTCGAAAGCGTTCCACAGGGATGCTTCCCACAGTTGTGTCAAGTTGGCTGGAAGTCCTTTGGGTGGTGGACCATTCTTCATACACACGGGACACTGTTGAGCGTGAAAAACCCAGCAGCGTTGCAGTTCTTGACACAAACCGGTGCGCCTGGCACCTACTACCATACCCTGTTCAAAGGCACTTCAATCTTTTGACTTGCCCATTCACATACACAATCCATGTCTCAATTGTCTCAAGGCTTAAAAATCCTTCTTTAACCTGTCTCCTCCCCTTCATCTATACTGACTTGAAGTGGATTTAACAAGTGACATAAATAAAGGATTATAGCTTTCACCTGGATTCAACTGGTCAGTCTATGTCATGGAAAGAACAGGTGTTCTTAATGTTTTGTTCACTCAGTATATATTCACGGTGGCATTACTGTTATCTTGCCCACTATGAATGAACATGAGCATGTAAAACACCACACAGCAGCACATAAGCCAGCGCTCTGTGAGAGCCAATGGTAGAGCTCCTTTCTCTGATGGCACTGAGATGACGAGTCTTGTGTCTTTTCCTCTCAAGGGCATCATATAACCAGGGGATGTCATTGTGACTACTGTGCCTGATAACATGACTATATATGACATGCCACTGCAAACAACCCCATTCTCTGTGGATTATACAGAGCACTGACACCAGGGTTTGTGCTGTGATCTATTGTATGGCGGTAGCCACATTATAATAGCTCACCTCCCATGAAGGTCAGTGTAATGTATGATGGTATGGGATTGAGGTCAAAGTGGGCTGTGGGCTGTGGACAGTTGAGGCTAGTCTCTACATTTTTACATTTTTGTCATTTAGCAGACGCTCTTTTCCAGAGCGACTTACAGGAGCAATTAGGGTTAAGTGCCTTGCTTAAGGGCACATCGACAGATTTTTCACCTAGTCGGCTCGGGGATTAGAACCAGCGACCTTTCGGTTACTGGCACAACGCTCTTACCCACTAAGCTACCTGCCGCCCGTCTCTGAGGGGAGTCAGTGGATGCTCCACCATGCCTGACATGTCAACAGTAAACAGGCTGTTTGTCCTGGAGCCTGGAGCCATGTGACCTTAGGTCAGGGTAGTGCCCTGTAGTACTACCCATTTCTTTTTAATTAAGTATACTTTTCATATAGATACAGGTGTGTGGAGGCACTGCACATCATAAGACACATTTCAAGGGTATTTCTTTCACAGGACAATATATATGTTCAGATCTATGAGCTTTTGTAGAATCATCTGTTTCAAACCTTGAGGACATCTGCTCCTCCTCTCACATGGGAATTTGGAGTAAGGTCAATGAAATTATCAGATATTTTATGATATGGACAGAGGACAGTTTATGGCTATGGCAATGGGTTTCTTTGTTATACCCAGATAAAAATACATTTCAAGATCAGAGATACTCACATCAGACTAATGTATTCTGTTGAGGTGTCTACTCTTTGTGAGCAAAATGTAGATGTAGGCCTACATCACAGGGACATGCATGAAAGGGAGGAAACTATTTGGAGAGCTCATTGAGGATGAGATTCCACATTTTACATCAATACATTTTTAGATAAATTGGACATAAAAGTAACTGAATTCACGCTTTAGAATGAATCTGAGGACAGGTACCAAACTGAAGCATTAAGCACAGTATATGCTTATTGGAAAACGAGTCCATTTTGCAGTATAATTGGGCATTCAACTCACTGGGATTATTTACACATGTTTGTTTCTGGACTAGGCTATTGCAAGGATTCCAATGGAAAACCGTCCTATATAGCCTAATTCTTGAAACCTGAAAGAAAGCTCCTTTATCGAGTGTAGCAGCTGTGTGGTGAGCTAGAGAGCACGCCGTGGATCCCACTGATGCGTAAAATAGTGCATTGCGCACGGGGGCTTGTAAAGGCACCCGCTCAGCAGCGTCTTTACATTGGACATTACACAGATAAACGCCGCTTTATAGTACGCAACCCTTTCAAAATCAGTAGGCTATTCAAAATTGATCGATAAACTTGGGTTTGTTCTTACTTTTCCTCCTCTAACTGTTGTTGATATTGTTCAAATTCCTCCTGGGTCATTCCTGCTGCTGCGGCTTCCGATTTATCTCCTTCGGGCTTTTCCTCAGTCAAACCCCCGGTCAGGTTCTTCACATGCCCTCCCACCATTTGTTTCACCATAAAAGCCATCTTTCTGCCTCTAAGAGTCCGTTAACTGACCGGGTCAGAACGTGGATCTTTGATGCGCTCTTGATGAAAGCTGAGTAAATCAATGGATATCCACCGAGTCTCCTAAAAAATATATGGATTAAAGTATTAAACTTGGCGATAAAGTCAATACAATCATCCAAATGTTTTACTCTCGACACTCCGTCGCGCACGGCTGTGAGGGATTGAGAAGAGTCGAGTTTCAGCACCAGTGCCAATGGACAGCTACGCGTTGAGGGGGAGGTTAGCAAGAGATGACGTGGCTGCACAAATATCTGAGACAACAAGTTAGACTCAACTCTACCAATCGTGTTTTTTCCCTAACCCTAACCCAAACTCCACTCCCTCTGCCCAATCCCACGGAACGCTGGATTAAGGGTGCGCTTTCATGATGCACTCTGGCACCACACATGGGATCCCGTGATTCGCCGTCTGATTATAACTCACTATTGAGTCAGACAGGCGCTCCTCACATTCACAACGGACTCCGGCAGGGACAGACACACGTGACGAGTCAACTACGGTGTCTACTATCTGTTTTTGTATGGTTTTGATGCCCGTGCGTCTTTGGGGTCATTTTGTTTCCAGGGTTTCCAAACGCACTTATGTCATATGAAATAAGCTGATCCAATTTGGAGTTATACATAACCTATCATTAATTTTGCATCATTTGTCCTGTGTAGTATAGTCTAATACTATTTTTATTAAAATGTAATGTGGATGAAGGAATATCATCTGCTTTCCACTGAGCGCACATAAACATGTGTGTCATATGGGGTGGGTGTGGGCAGTTGTCTGCTGCTCAGGGAGAGAGAGAGATTGAGAGAGAGAGAGCAGCTCCTGCAGGCAAACTGGTGTGTAATTGCATTTGAAAGGAATGCTGCACAAACCTCAATAAACAGTTGTTCATGCCTCAATAAAGGCTATTTTGCTTTATGGTTTACATACAGACCACACACTCACATCACTTATATCTGTTTGATCCTTCACCACCAGGTCATTAACAGTGTCTCACCTAACCTTCTGTATCACCATACACCACAGTACAGGAAAAGGTTATGGTGTTACAAATCAATGAGACCAATTAGAGATCAGAATGGGTCCATTTATAGGACGAAGTGTGTCTGTAGGCCTACACTGTAGGGGTCATCATTAAGACAATATTATTTAAAGATTTGGATACAGATCCTATCTTTCTCTCTCTTCTCTCCCTCCCCCTCGCTCCCTCTCTCTGCTCCCCTCTCTCTCTCCCACCTCTCTCTCTTTTACTTAAATCCCAGAAATGTGAAATGTATACTTTCCACAGATATAGTATGAGGCGCATCTTCAATCAACAACTTTTGCATCATGATGTGCGCAGCACGCCTGCCACCAAGAAGCATGGCCTACTTTCCAGTGGATTAGGAGAGACAGATCATGTCTCAATGCACTCTGTCACAGGCTTAACAGACCCACCTGGGTAGTTTCAAATCCCCTGGCTGCCAAACTTCAAAGCCTCCTCTACATAAAGTAAATTGAATTATAACTTTCCAAATAAGTATGATCGAATTGTAATCTGTGTAAAATTGAAGAATTGGCACCCTGAGGCGATGTTTCTTATTAAAGCACAAGTGTTCTCTCATTTGATCTCTATTCTCCTGGGACCTGCTCTCTGTTCACAGCTCAGGTCTCGTCTTGTCTCACACACTGCTCTTCATGAGTCACCATTCAGCCCTGGATAAGGAGGTTGCATACAGACTGATATTAATATACATTATGTCAATGATACAGATATACAGTATAGTTCGAGACTGCAGATACCAGTGGGACCAGGGTGTTTGAGGGTCTCCAGGGTCATCCATTCCACTGCAGGCCATGTCACATGAGAGTGGTAGTGGTGGTGAGGAGGATACTGATATTGATACAGCATGGTGGCTCAGCTTTTCTACATTCTATATTCTCACATAGGCCTATACAGTTACTCTATAATTGATGACTCTGACAGACAGAGGATATAGATTTATCTCGATCTCCCTGTGCATCTCTCTCTTCCTGTCTCTCTCCCTGCCCAAGGACTGAATCACCACCAATCTGCTCAGACAAACAGACAAATAAGTTTGTTGAATCTTTGAATGTTAAGTACTGGTATGCATTTTTCCTTTTTTGTTGCCTTACAACCTGATTTTGGGGGGGTTTGTATCATTTGATTTACACAACATGCCTACCACTATGAAGATGCTAAATATTTTTTATTGTGAAACAAACAAGAAATAAGACAACAAAACAAAAAACTTGAGGGTGCATAACCATTCACCCCCCCTCAATTGGATTGAGGTCTGGGCTTTGACTAGGACATTCCAATACATTTAAATGTTTCCTCTTAAACCACTTGAGTGTTACTTTAGCAGTATGCTTAGGGTCATTGTCCTGCTGGAAGGTGAACCTCCATCCCAGTTTCAAATCTCTGGAAGACTGAAACAGGTTTCCCTGAAGAATTTCCCTGTATTTAGCGCCATCCATCATTCCTTCAATTCTGACCAGTTTCCCAGTCCCTGCCGATGAAAAACATCCCTACAGCATGATGCTGCCACCACCATGGTGTCGCTTGCTTGGTGGTGCCCCTTGCTTAGTGGTGTTGCAGACTCTGGGGCCTTTCAGAAAAGGTGTATATATACTGAGATCATTTGACAGATCATGTGACACTTAGATTGCACACAGGTGGACTTTATTTAACTAATTATGTGACTTCTGAAGGTAATTGGTTGCACCAGATCTTATTTAGGGGCTTCATAGCAAAGGGGGTGAATACATATGCACGCACCATTATGTGACTTCTGAAGGTAATTGGTTGCACCAGCTCTTATTTAGGGGCTTCATAGCAAAGGGGGTGAATACATATGCACGCACCACTTTTCCGTTATATATTTTTTTGAAACAAGTTATTTTTTTCATTTCACTTCACCAATTTGGACTATTTTGTGTATGTCCATTACATGAAGTCCAAATAAAAATCCATTTAAATTACAGGTTGTAACACAGCAAAATAGGAAAAACGCCAAGGGGGATGAATACTTTTGCAAGGCACTGTATCTGATTAGAATAATGCATTGGGGCAATTATTCCGAAAATCCTTAGTTTTATAAATAGGTTGCGATTTTATGTTCATTTTAGTCTAGATGATGAAAAAACAGATATTCATTGCTCTGCACACCATATTCTTACATACAGGTAACTGCCAAAATAGAGGAAACACAACATAAAGTGTCTTAATAGGGCGTTGGGCCACCACAAGCCATAACAACTTCAATACACCTTGGCATAGATTCTACACGTGTCTGGAACTCTATTGGAGGGATGTGACACCATACTTCCACAATAAATTCCATAATTTGGTGTTTTGTAGATGGTGGTGGAAAACGCTGTCTCTGGCACCACTCTAGAATCTCCCATACGTGTTCAATTGGGTTGAGATCTGGTGACTGAGAAGGCCATGGCGTATGGTTTAAATTGTTTTCATGCTCATCAAACCATTCAGTGGCCACTCGTGCCCTGTGGATGGAGGGATTGTCATGCTATGGAGGCATAGCCATGGTAGCCAAAATAATGGCCTGCCCAACATTTGTATGCATGATCCTAAGCATGATAGGATGTTAATTGCTTAATTAACTCAGGAACCACACCTGTGTGGAAGCACCTGCTTTCAATATACTTTGTATCCCTCATTTACTCAAATGTTTCCATTAGATAGAATGTTCTATGAAAATGACCAATGGAACTATATGCAAAGCATACACGTGACGCATGAGTGCATTAATGAAAATGCCTTACACAAACCCTTATATAATGAGTACGCATGGACGAGCACTTTACACACAAACCCCAACAGAACTGTGCGGGCCTGCCTGGGTGAGTGCACAGCTGGCCCTGCCTCAGCCTCAGCCTGCCTGGATCAGCCTATTTCTGTGTTTGTATGTCACAGTGTAGCGTATGGAGCTGTAGCTGAGGGGCTTGGTTGCTGTGACCTCTGAGACATAACCCCAGTTCAGTGTGAAGGGGGTAGATGTAGGACCCAAGGAACCATCTCCCCTCTGACTTCCCATATTCTGATTAAGTGGTACTGTTTAGTCCAGTGAAAATACACACACAGAGTATCCTTATCCTCCAGGAAGGAACTCACCAGCAGAACTCACAAATGTGCTGCTCACTAAATGTGACTGGAGCATTTCCAGTGATTATTGTGAGTGAACATGACAGAGAGCACCATGCCATCCATCTCCCCGGGTTAGTCAGGTGGTGGTGGTGTTTAGAATGATCACACAGTGGGATAGAGACTCCTGGGTGTCAGCCATCCCTTCTGATCCTCAACAGTTGTCACACTTTTGTTTCCTCAGACGAGGGCTTAAAATCCTCATGTAAATACTGACTGCAGCAGCACACAATAGAATGGTTCAGGGAGCTTTGCTTGCTAGGAGCTCTACAGCGATGAGTATATGCGGTCATCAGCTAGTGCAGGGCTGTCACTTACTTTGCCTAAGGGACCATTTCTATGAAAACAATTGTCCAGAGGGTCACTCACTTTTCACCTGTGGTGCTTGAACAAAACAATCTAGGAATGACCTAATTCCATTTTGTGGTGTTGTTTCTCCAACATCAAATCTTCTTAAATAATCCAAGAGGCAAGTGTTGCTTGGTGTTAGCGTTACATCATGGCAGTTTGCACACAGCCCATGGACAGCATGTTTGACACCCCTTAGGTTAGTTTTTTAGGTGCTAAACTACATTCCGGGTCACGATGCTAACACTGAGCCTTCCACTTACATCACTGTCTACCATAAGCAACACATTATGTTGGGGCTTAGCATGAGTATGAAAACATTCTAAGTGTAGCGGTCAGGAGGCTTTAACATGAATAGAAAACCATAGGCATCATCATGTAGATTGGATACGAATCTTGCCACTGGGAATTATAAAAAAAATATATATATATTTAACCTTTTTTTATCAGGGAGTCATACTGAGACCAAGGTCTCTTTTACAGATGAGCCCTGAATGACATATATTACAGAAAATACACACATCAATATAAATACAAAATGCAAGTAGAAAGAAAAACATGGTCATATTTTTTTTGCTTAGAATACGCCCGATATCCTGAATATGAGCATAAGGTAAGTTATATAAGGCAACACAAGACTGGTCCATACCAGCTTCCCATTCACTTAAACCTATTACCTTTCACCCTCAACCTCTCTCTTTCCCTCTGCCTGTCTCTCTGTCCCCTTCTCTCCCATTACCACACATTCCCACCCTTCCCATCTCTCCAATGCTCTCTCTCCCCTTCTATATCTCTCCCTCCCTCCATCCTGTATTTTCCTGATGT